TCACACCGTCACAAAACTTGTGATAATGATGTTCGTTTGAAGACTTACTTCTTATTTGTTTCCGATTGATTATAAACAGAGATTGTCAAGCGTTTCGATAGTGTTGATAAATTGTTATTTTGTACAGGTCTAAACATTGCAATCAGATTAGACAAGCTCATTGCTTTCTGCATCGCAGTCTTACATGGAAAATGTTTGATCGTACACAGGTGAAGTAGTTTTAGCTACCGTTTTGGAGTTTTGTTCGTAGTCGAGATATTTCACTTGAACGTACGTGTTTAATGAACGAGTATCCGGATGTTCGAATGACAATTGTCTGGCTCGCATCACTGAAATATAAACAGAATCTTAGGCATATGGTTTTCTCTATTCGATAATTAATCATTCTAACGGATTTTTTTGACAAAACAAACAATTTGCTTACCGTGTAGAGTAAGAATCGAATTTTGGGTGTGATCATCATTGCCAATTGAATATGCAATACATAATGAACCTGAAACAAATAGATATCAGATTGAAATATTCATTAGAATGAGATAATTACCTCGTTTCGATGGTGCTGTGATTGGTTCTTTGGATTTCTTTATCGGAGATAAGATTTTACATGGAACAAGACGTTTGCTCTTCTTTACGTAGTCAACCAGATGATCGGTTAATGAACGTTTATTCGAAGACGCCGGTGTGATTAATAATCCATCATCATTCATCATGATCGAATGATAGTAATGATAAGTCTGAAAAAGAACAGAATTCCAGATTTTAGTCTTTCCGATCTTCGAGCGAAGAATTCGATGATGAAATTTACCTCAGATGAACTGGCACTTGTATCTGAATCTGAAATACGTAACGAAACGAAATTGAGTATGAATGATTAGAAAAGAGCAATGAAGATGTGTTTATATATATATAATACATACGTCTGAATAGCCGATGTTATTCTTCTTTTTTCGATCAACCACAGGCAGCTGTATGTTGCTCACCCAAGTGTCTCGAAAAAAAAAGAAAAAGAATGAAGTTAACTCTTTTGGAATGATATTTTAACCTCCTATTTTCTTCTAATTTAGCGATGATACGCGACCTCCTACATCCTCGCTAATCACTCGAACAGACAGTCTGATTGATATGTATACAAGCGTAACGATTGTGATTATATGTACATAGAGATACTATTCTGTCAACGGACACCACCATTGCTAACGGTAGTGTTCGAAAAAGGTGAAGGGGCGGGCAAGAAGGATTAGGATTGCACAATGATCGGAAAACGAATGATCTAATTGAGTTAATCATCAGTTTGAAAAGAACACTTGTCGTCGCTGATTGGAAGACATTTTCATATCCTTGCGTACATGATTGATATCATTTACCAAGGGAGGAAACAATTTCTAACCATGACGTTTATATCAAAAAGCCGAATAAACAGTTCTTTTTTGTCTTTTTGATATGGGCCGGTGAGAGAGAACAGATGACGTGAAGTATTCTTCAAGATAATCAAGTGAGACGCGCATGCATTCATCCATACAACAACAAAAAAATCAAACAAAATTCATAAACGACGAGATTCTCAACGGTCAGTTCAATCGAGAATATTTTACCTTTGACTATTCAACGGAAATGACAAATCTCCGGCATAGGAGAACGACAATTCATCTCTCATTTCTCACGAACGAAATGTCATCTTGGTTTTAAATCGACATGTTTCTTTTTCTCAACTGATCTAATTTCAAAGAAAAAAGAAAGGAAAATGTTTTCCCTCTTACCACTTATTCGTTGATGATGGTGCTCTTGGTGAGAGTCAATAAGATTCGACTTATAGCGTTGTCGTGACCAGTGATGTTGTTCTAAAATATCGAAATATTTTATTCTAGAGAAAATGATGAGTTATGTTAAGCTATTTTCGTCTGTCAATAAACGATGAAAGATGAAGAAAAAAGGCAAGTGACGAGATTAACTCATCCAGGTTGAACAATCGAATATTCGTTCTCATGCTTTTCTTCTGTTAACGAGCGAGAAAGGAAAACAAGCGAAGGTGAGAACAGAATTGTCATACGAACACATGCCGCTGTCATGGCTCGCAAACTCATTCGTTATTGAAGATGAATTCCATCGAACTATCTTTCATCACAAACGAAAAATCGTTATCTTATTGCCAAGCGACATGGAGAACAAACGAATCTATTTCATGCTTTTACAGTTCCCTTATTCATGATCATTGTGATTAATAGAAACAATAGGAGAAGAGACAGGTGAACAATTCTTTTGATGCTCATGTAAGCATGCTTAACAGATCATCGAAGAAGTCATGAGATCTACCGAAGAGAAGAACTTACGTGATGAAAACATTGCTTTCGAATGTTCAGTTATGAAAAATGACAACGATGAGTACATGTGTTTGTTGCTTAAAAAGCAGAGAAAATGCAAATCTGACGTGGGTATTTCTCTTCTTCTCACTTGTCTTTCTCATAAATTTGATAACAGACGGGATGAGGCATAGAGATGTTCTAAGTGTCTGTGTGTCGAACAACATCCACTTGAGTGAAACATTAACAAGCAAATGTTGTTATTTTCTACTAGAAAATTCACACATCTATGTTAAATACATACGCATTTGTTTTCCTTGCTGACTTGATCCGAGAATAGTCAAGAATAGAATTTGCTTCGAGAGATAGATGATGTTTTATAGAGAAACGAAACTATGAATTGATGAGATCAATCTATATAGACAAAAATGTTTCTGATCCTAATATGATTACGCAATTAGATGCGCGCGCGCGCATGTCTACGGTAGGTGGCCATTCCACCGGTATGAATACTATCATTCTTGCTGCTTATTTTCGAATTAAGAAGACTCATCTCTCGTTCTCGTTGTTTTCTATAGATAAATAGCATATGATGAAAGAAAGTCTTACATAAACTATCAATCTTGGGATCGATTACCACATCAAAACTTCGAACTCGAAAGATTGACATACCGTATCAATGTATTCTTCGACACGTTTTGAATTGAAATCGACTTAATGATTAAACAGCGCAACAGATCGAACGAGCTTATAGACTAACAACGAATTAGAATCTCGCGATCATTTTCACACTATTTCCATGTTCGCCTGATGCCATCAGTAAACACGCGCATATTCGTTAATCATTAACGAAAGACACCAGCCTGTGATGATGTTTCAAGTGAAGATCTCTACCTATCAATTATAGTCACTATGGACAATCATCGATGATGTCACCTCCTATTGAGTGAACAACTATTTTTCCTTTGAAGTCGACGAACTCTCGAGCTTAAAAAAGGAGGTGTGTTACGGAGGAAAAGAAACGGTGCATAATTACGAGGTTTCTAATCGATGAGCGTAAGTTGCATTCTGTTAGCCAATGCCCGATGGCTGTTCATTTTTATATAATGAAACAAATCTGTATTAGTCACTTGATCAGCTAGATACACATTCTCAAGAGAGATAAAGGGTGGAGAAGCTTTATCACGTCTAATTTTTTTTTTGTTTTCACCATGAAGCCCTATTCATTTTCTGTAATGAGTAAACACACGTGTACGAAGAAAAGCAAATGAATAGCCTAAGGCCGATGAAATGCAGAATGTCCGCCTACTGCGCATTTCACGTCATCGATACAGGTATATACATATACATAATGAAATAACTTTTCTATTGTCGAAAAAAGACGAAAGTCAAGTGTCTGGAAAAAAACGGAGATTTCCTAGTGAAGAAGAAAAACAATATTTCGGTGCTCATTAAAAAGAGTGAAGCGCAAAACCTATCTCGTTGTTCTATTTAGACAGATGGTGTATTTAACCTTTTTTCCTCTTCACTTTTTGCATTAATTAAGAAAAAAATATCAACTCAGTCGCTGCAGGCATTTAAACTTCGATCGAGATCTTTGATATTTGGCTTATCTATCTCTACGTTCACACCTTCGATTTTATTGTCGAATCCTTCTGATATAGGTGATAATTGCTTGTCTCCAATATCCCCTGTTAACTGATATGACGTCGAAGAGAAAAAAAAACGAATTTCGAACGTCAAAAGTCTGATAACAATACACGTGCCAATCGACCAGATTGAACGAATTTTTTTCTCGATTCAGAAAAAAGGTATTAATAGTGGATACTTGAAAATCTATGGAAATAAATGCATCAAGTGGATATCCTGCCGATGTTCGTCACGGGGTGATCATTGATCGATCATCAACAATGAATGGATATATATATATATAAATATGAAGAGGGAAGGTAAACGATTGACACTATATGTCAAGTATGACGATAGTCCATGATTCATGGATCTCTCGACATGCTTAGATGAATAATTACAGGGGAAACCAAGGTGTAAACTGTTAGAAAATGTCGAGTTAAGTGAAACAATCGAGCGTTGAAGCGGTGTACGCTTTCATTCGGGAAAGGTGTGTTAATACATTCCGTTTAGACAGTATTCGGATGTCTTTCATGTTTACAAAACAAAATTATCTCCGTGACAGGTTGATTAGAAAAACAAAACAAAAAGGAGGATAGATAGATTCAATCATTCAGCACGTTACAATATCGCTAGTTTCATGTTTGCCAACGGAGAAGATCGAACGTTACTTTCGTTTCGTTTCATTTCGAAAAAGAAAGTCAATCAACATGGAAACAATACTAGACGAAAAAATTCATTCTGATAGTTCTTCATGTTGCACATAAGTGGAACGATTAGGTACAATCGGTTGCATAATCAACCTATAAAAGCTTGTGTTTTTACGTATTCAGATTCGAAGTGATGTTCGAGTGACTGTCGAGAAATCATTTTGGTATCGCATGTGAATCTTGCACAATAGTTGTTTCATTTAGGCGAGATAAAGACTTGAGAGAACATTTTATCATAAATGAATCTGAACAACTGTTTGTTTTTATCAAAATCATTCTCGCTCAATATAATTATTCATTAGAATGCCGATCTATCTTTGATAATGATAAGGTTCGATAAGAATATTACAAAATATGTTCAACTACTGTTTATATAGATATGACGGATGAGTGTGGAGACGATTTAAGACTAAGAACAATAAAAAATAGAAATTGAATCTATTTTTATGAATTGTACCATCTTTCAAGTAAAAAAAGATGAATCGATTTGGATTCTTTTCTTGTCGTACCATGATTTCATGTGTCGAAGTTGCTGAGATGCATCCTCATATCGAAAGTCGACGAAAAACTATATTATTCAGGATATTGATATTTTTTGAGAAAATATGAAGATGGTGGTGCACACTGAGAAGTTCACAGAATCTAAACCTGTGAAGGAAGGCGCTTCTTAGATACCGCAACTAATCCATAATTCATTACGCTTGCTGGTAATCACGACTTTAAACGATGATCACGCCGATCAGCGATATCTGTTGCAAAAAATTTTCGTAGGTATTTGAATGCGAAACTCTCGCATGGTTTGTCTTTACTAACACTAACGAGTAACACTATTTATGTGATACACCCTGATTTCAGTCATTCATATGCCATTTCGTAGAATATAGTGATTTTAGTGAATTTCTAGCTTGTGGTATGGTAGGTGATCAAAAATCGAATATCAACATTCCGACTTAACATCTTGTCTAAAGATAGGTCTACATATAGTTAGTATCTCATGAAAATCTCAGCTCAATAGAACACTCCATTCATGAAATATTGCTGAGGCAAAGCCACTCGCATCTTCAGACGGATTGGGAGAGCATCATATTTTTTCAAGGGAATGATATCTCGGAAAAGGTATGTTCCATTGAGCTGAGAATTTTATGAGATACTAACTATAGGTAGACCTACCTCTAGACAAGATCTCAGGTCGGAATGTTGATATTCGATTTTTGATCACCTACCATACCACAGGCAAAAAATGCACTAAACTTCCTACTTTTTAGGTTTTTGACTACATCACTATACTCCATCAAATGGTATATGAATGACTGAAATCAAAGTGTATCACATAAATCGTGTTCCTCGTAAGTCAAGTATTTCAGTACAGAACAAGAAAGATGCAGTGAAATGATTATTCATATCTTACGGTTCTGTAGAATCATGTGAGCATCAGAACAATCTTTTCGAGTGCGTTTTCTGAATATAATTCAAAACGACAAAATTGTCTTTAATTTTTTTTTCAAGTAAAACAGGTTAGTTTCGTACACTCGAAGGTATTTCTGGCCAATTGATGATGGTAATCTGATTAAGTGATAAGTCCTGTAGAATTTGTTGCAGAACATTTTTGGCTGAGGATGTTTCTTTACTTAGAAGAATTACCATTTCTAAGAGGAAAAATATGCGATTAATACTAACAACAACAAATCATGCATAATCAACCAAAGTATTGGATGTCGTGAAACAGCTTGGAAAGTTTGATGATAAAAACATCTTGCTAATGCCTTATATGAACCTATTGGAATTGTTTTTAGTATAAAATTGTGATTAGCACACGATGTTTGTTATCAAGGTATAATTATTTTATATAATATCAGAAACTAATTTAGTTCGCTTTTACATCCATGCGAAAATCATCGACATTTTATTTTAATCATATTCTGTAGGATCAGCTTATGAGTTTATTGTTAATAACCACGACGATAATGGAATAAAATAAGTACTATTTAAAAGATATATTGAATGTTCAGTAAGATAAACTAGTTCCTGAGTTCTTAAATTAGCAATAACTGATAGAAAATGTTCAGCTTATTATATTAAGTATCAGCAACGGGACAAATTTGATTGAGATAAATTTTAACTAATGCACCAGTAAGACAGACTTTACTTTGCTATTTCCTTGGTTTTTTATTTCGATTTATCGCATCAGTTTTTTTCACAAATCGCTTTGTCTAATAAGTCGCTTTTATATTCAACGACATGAGCCATGTATTTATCTCTGTTGTCAGTCAGCAGTTAGGATCAGTAGCAGAAGTTTCTCGCGAAAACCGAACAACATAATGAATTCACACTATCTCACATGATGACAAGGATTGGTTTTTTACTGAGATCGCCTTCTCTCTGTTCAAAATGCTCTATTCACTATCGAACGAAAACAGTCCGTGGACAATTCTTGTGATAGTGCATTTGAATGTACCGATTTATTCTATAATATAACTAATCCAGGGTCAATTTTTATTCATTGACTATAGAAATTTTTCATCGTACAATTTGTTTTATTATCTAATTCTACTGACCACTTAAATCCGTCCCAATGATAATGCATTCAGTTCTGAGAAGACGGTCAACATTTTATCGATAATGCAGAATATTTTATTCAATAGTAAACTGATAAGGAACGATTACTTAGGGACAGATGAAAGTACATCATGAGCTTTGAAGTTGAATTGAAAATGTTGCATTATTTCCAAAACAACCTCACGTTGCATAGTGTGTCTGTATTTTTCGACGAAAAGTAAATGAATAAAAGAAACAAACAAAATGAAAAGCTTTCTTTTCATGTAGGATATGCCTGAGTTTGGGCTGTGCATATAACTCCGGTTGCTAAAGTCTTGTTATAAAGTATTCGTTCATGATTCGAGTATATGAATGAAAGCGAATGGTGAGAGTTAGAAGTAATCAACAAGAAGCAGATTTTTTCTTTGAGTTGAGATTGTTTCGTTGCGAAAAATTGTTCGAGAAGATACAATTTGATGCTTGTATAGATAAAACAAACGATATTTTCCTCCCATAGTTTGTGTAGGACGTATATTTAGCCAACTTTGACTTGGCATTACTATACAGCATTGAATCCTCTACAAAATAAACTATTCCACAGAACGAAAAACTGAAACTTACTTTCACTTTCCGAAGAGCTATTTTCGCATATGTTAATACTTATCAGACTACCACTTTCGAAAAATTGATCTCTTGAAATGCCACATATTCGAAAGTTTCAAAAATCTTCGTGAACGTTATCTTATTGAAAGGTATTCAACGCATTTAAATGTTGCCTTCGTTGAGCGACTAAAAATCCTCCAATAGACATGTGAAGCTGACTAGCATTCATCCAATATAGACTCAAGAATATCACTAATCACAACTAATCCAATAGTAGTTTCTCTCAGTCTAATGACAAACGAAATCGCTGCACTTCCCTCTTCAATTGTTTTTCATTTTCACTAACAGAACTTTGTTTTTTCGAGAAAGTTCAAATTATCCCAAAAAACAGTTATACAAACTTCTCAAATCAACGCATGTTTCTAATCGTCGAAACAAACAAATTCAAAACATTGACAATATTTGTCATTTTCTGAACCAACTTGAACACTTCCGATCCAAAACAAAACAAACCTTTCTCACCTTCTAATGACATTCTTTGATATTCCCTTTATAATATTAATTCTTCTACTACATTCACGTCTGTCCACACAACTTCTAAACCTATCCATGTGAATTTGTTTGAGAAACAACACTTATTCACGATTGTCTGACAAAACTAATTGTTACCTAACATGTTTTGCTTCTTCTCACTAACACTTCGTCGTTCTCGTCTGCCAGAATTGACAAGGACAAACAACACTGATCTCACCAATATTGTTTTCGTTTTCATCGACGAAACTCGAAGCATATTCACATTTAACACGTGTAATAAGTCAATACAATATCGAAAGTGTGAATTTTCATTGTCATAATAATTATTCGCCTGTGAATTAGTTACATAATTGGTCTATCAATTAACGTACACTCTCTACACATTCAATTAGTTGCACATGATGATCATTTCGAATCTGCTTGTTATGCATAGCTAATGAGTTTTTCTTCCGTTCGACACGAAAACTCGCTTCATCCAGTGAATGATAGAACACATCATCTATCTTCAAAGAAAGATAACAATTCCAAACAACAAGCTGGTTTTAAAGGATTATATTCATTTTCACAGTAGTGTATCGTCATCTACGGCGATCAAATGAATTTGTTAGTGGTGTCTTTTTCGGTGACACTTTCTTCTTTTTTTCGCTACCGATGTGCTGATCATTAAAAGAAGATACAGACAACAAGCATGATGCTGACAACTGATATGATAGATTTAGTTTGAAATCGAGATAACACACAGTTAGAGTTGACATTAATGTAATTTGAGAATAACACAAATGAGATCAAAGAAATTGCCTCTCACACGTCGTTATGATTCGAAATTTCGAAGAACGCTCGTTCCTGCTTGAGGATCTTTTCACAAGATCTTCGAAAACAATGATCAGCTGATTAAACACATTAACGAAAAACAAGACGTGCTTTCTTTTGCGTTCTAGACAGCGAGAGAGAGAAGAAAACAACATCTTTTCTTCACATCATTTCATTTTCAACAGCTGCATTAACGAATATAGAACGACTGCCAGTCAGTCAGACGTGTCTGTTTCAACAAGCAGAAGAAGAAGAAGAAGAACGAATCTTTCCTCATTAAAGCTATCTGTTTAATTTCTTCGTGTTTTTTCTCTTCTCTCCTTTCCCTCTTCCTCTTTCTCTCGGAAAAGAAGTGTAATAAATAATCGAACTTCGTAAATGACAATCACTGACAGTTCCCCAATTTATCTTCACTGATCAATTGACCACGACACACAGACAATGCAAACCACAAGAACGATCTTCAGTGACAGGTAAATACATCTACGATTGATTCATTCATTCAAAAGTCATCGCCACTCAAGTAGACGTGTACAATTGAATTAAACGATGAAAGGGAATCACATGCGCTTCACTTTGAAAAGGCGCCTACGATTGCTTTCAACATAGACTTTGGACAAGAGTGACAGATAGGCCTAGTCCAGCTGTTTGAGAATATTAGGCAACATATTACGCGTAAACTTTTCTCACACATCCATCTTCGTGGATAGTTTTGTTAAACTTTGACATGATATAATTACGAAAATGAATGTGCCCATAGTCTATAATATAAACTAACTTTTCTATTCTTTCATTTCATTCTATTCGAACAAGCATTCGTAGTCTCTTTGATAACGTTCGATGTGATTAAATCTGCATTAAAGTGCAAATGAAAACAACGTTAGAAATTTCGTATTCTAACGTTCTCTCTCTTCCTCCTTTTGTTATTTCTTCTTTTCCAACGAACTCGCTTTCCCGGGAGGAAAAAAGTGTTGAAAGGATGTTATCCGTCATTGCATCGATTTCGTCTCCCACCCATTCACTCCCTTTCCTTTTCCTCTTGCTGGGGTGTCCTGTTCGTTGCTTTTCTCTCTATGTTTATTGAACACGTTCAAAAAATTCGTTAAGCTCGACAAACGTTGAGAGCGCGCATAGAAGCGAAAGAGAAAAGAAGAGAAGCAAATATTTTTTTTCATCAATCTGAACGAGGAAAGGAGAAAAAATCCATTCACGTTAGTTCAACGATGATGAAATGCGCATAGCATCATTCGTTTGCTTCGCTGTGTTGTGGTGACTATTATCTTCATAGAGTTTATCAGTTATCTCTAAATACATATACACTCATGAATACTTTACTTGATATCGAATATTGGACGAACATGAATAAGACAACTTCTCCGTTAAGTTGTCGATTTACAATAAGGTAAAGCATTGTAACAGGAGATATGCAAAGAAAGTCGAACGACAGAGGAATTCAATGTTTTCATTTATGTTTAGACGAACACCTCGTCGGAAACTGGTGTTTTCTTCAAGCGACGATGAAGCAGATGATAGTCCACAATCGATAAGTTCAGGTAGAACATTTTTCATACGTTCAAGTCACTTTCTAGAAACAATTCTTTTCGCACTCTTTCAGTACTGAATGTCCGACAAGAATATCATCACTCGATTATTCAAGATGAACAGTAAGTATTTGATTTTCGTCAGACAATGACTAAATCCCATGGTTAGTTTCACATGAACGGCGAGAGATTTCGTTCTACTTGATTTATGACTGACAATTCGATGGCACTCAAGTGTAGAGTGTGCGTCCGACCGTTGACACTTTTTTTCAAAAATTTTTCCTTCTCTTCGCATTCAAGTGCAACGATCTTACCCTCATTTTTTTTGCTCTCTCCCTCGCTCTCTCATGCAATTATAGACAAGTGTCAACTTTCATGTCACGAATGTTTTCTCCCTTGAGGTAAATGACCGACTATCAATAGATCGACAATTTCTGTTTTGTTTCTTCTAATTGTATTAAAATGATTTTCTTAGGTTGTCGATGAAATCAGAAATGACAACAGCAAATATCGTTACACGGACGAAATTAGAACACTACGGCTTTAATACGCTTGCACGACCAGCTTCATTGCGGCTAAGCAAACGACTACCATTAGCGGTGCAAAATCCAAATAAGAAAGTTCGTTCAAGTGAATCACAACATTCAATGCAAACACGTTCACAATCATCATCGGTTTGTTACGATTGAGAGATAGTACTAAACGTTGTAACATGTAAATTCTCCTATTTCTAGGATTCGCATTCAGATAATCTTGTGAATTTATTCGACAAGACTCTTTCGACAGTGACACCAAATCCTGTTCGTGATCGACAACGACGATTAAAACCATTACCTCTCTGTTTGTCTGACAACGACAAGAACATGCCAATTTTAACAGTTCAAACGCCAGAAGAGAATTCCAACAAACGTACTTATGATGAAGACGAAAACAGTGATCATTGTCGTTCAATAAAACGCAGTAGAATCTTCGAAGAAAACAACAAAGAAAACAATCTTTTTATCAAACGTTCTCGGCGCGGCGTTGGCGTAAGTATTTTTCCGTTGCTGTACCAATAATATACTCACACGTTCTCTTTGCCTTCAGTTAATTCGTAGTTTGACAGAACCCAGCGAAGAACAAGTCAAAGTATCTGTTGAACTCGGGACAAATCGAGATTTAATTGGTGATCGTTCACGGTCGTATCTTCTACCGAGATGTAAGAGTCGCAAACATCCAGATTTAGCTTGCATAAGTCCGGAAACGGTACGCATATCGATCTCTTTGCAAAGTAGAAATTGAACCAACGTGAATCTGTTTAGATGGTTGATGTTTTAAACAAGAAATACTCATCTGAAATTGAAACTTTGCACATCATTGATTGTCGGTATCCATATGAATATGAAGGTGGACATATCGACTCAGCGAAAAACCTTTACACACGTTCACAAGTACACGATGCGTACTTTCGGCAACCATTGCAATTGAATGATCCTTCCAAACGAAACATTTTCATTTTTCACTGCGAATTCTCATCAGAGCGTGCACCATCACTGTAAGTAATGCATGTTTTACTTTGAACATCCATTACAGGAAACTTTCTTTCCTTAGATTGAGATACTTTCGATCAGAAGATCGCAATATCCACGAAAGAAGTTATCCACAACTACACTATCCAGAAATATACCTTCTCGAAGGCGGTTACAAAGCATTTTTCGAATACTCTAAAGTACGTTTGCGATATTTAAATATCTGATGAAAATTAATTCGCTTTCTTATAGGAATTCTGTGTACCAAAACAATATCGATTGATGATCGATGTGGATTACCAGGAACAATATCGACAATATCGATTTGAGACGAAACAATACGATAAGTTTACAGGTGCAAATGAGACGACAGGTGGAGGACGACGAACGCGCGGATTGACATTTCGTTCTTGTCTTTCATTTTCTTCTCAAACAACTCAAGCTCGCTCGTCAAATATTCGATATGATCTACGGTACATCGGATCACCATCCTAATCTTAACTCGCTTTTCTCTCATGCTTTTTTTTGTTCAAACAAAAGTCTTTTACTCATCATATTGATGAATGAATATGGCAAATCTTCTTATTCTGAAAAATATGTCTATGTGCGTGTCGGAAATACTCATTGTGGAGTATCAGTTTTCTCCTTTTCTCTCTCTCTCTATCTCTCGCTCGCGTACGTCTGTGACTTTCTCTTTGGCGTTATTCTCTCTTTCGGACGGTAGTGAAGATGATGAGACTGTTTTTATACAATTGTCTGTTTTTTATACTAGACTAGAAAAGAATAATTCATTTTGCTTTGTTTCTTGTGTATGAAAAAGAAAAAAAAATCATTATTGTTTAACTGGATTTGCTTCTTTCCCTTTTTTTAATTATTCGCAACAGCGAAAGGCAAACATCAACGGATACTGTTTTCGTCCTTTTGCGAATAGATAGCAATTATATTTCTCAATAATCTGTTCATTAATACTTACCAAAAATAGATGGTTAACATTTTCTAGTAGTAAAGGTTACGAACTGAGGACAATGTATAAAAGGACCATCGGTCTGGATTTTCCGACAGGAAATAGATATGATCTTACTAATCAGCGTTGTTCTGATTGTGCCTCTCCAACTTCTCTATGGTTTAAATGCTGGTGATCTCTATCCAAGCTATAGCTTATCGCAAGATCCACTTAAAGTTCTCGAATGGTCGGACAATCGTGCATTGGCGTATGTAACAACCGTTCGATTATTTGATTACGATCATCATATATTTCAATACCGTCGGTATCCATGTCAATATTTCTACACTGATGAAATACAATTGTTTTCTAACAATGAAACGTCAAATCAATGTTCGTACAACACGACAACGAATGAGTATCACTACAATTTTCAACTACACTTTGATTCGCGTCATGTCGAACCGTATATTTTGGAAAATATTGCTGTACAATGTGATTATATAAATTGTAGTCTTTCGTTATTGAATATAACGTACATTTTCATCGGCTGGAACTTAAAAGGTCGAGATAATAACCCTGATTGCTCATTCGACATCGATCAACTCTATTATGTTCTTCATATGCCTTACACCATCTCCGAAGTGATTACACTCCGATGTAAATCATTAGCGGCTTGTAATCAGTCGAAATACAATATCGAACAAGCGTTACCATCACAAGTTCAATTGATCTATGGTTCATCTTACGAACTGGAAGCTCCATACTGTTCGTTAGAAAAAAGTCTTAGTTACATTATAGAAAAGAATTTAGCGGAAACAAATCGTCTCTTACAAAAATTAGTCGGTTTGATAGAACGAGGTTTTGGTCATTCGAATGCAAATGGACAAGCGAAAATGAACGACTATGTCGAACAGGCTTCGAACAAATCGAACGAAATTTTCGTAAAGAACAACTCGAATTGATGTGTTTGAGCAGTTTTTATAGATCCGAGTGACATCTATGTAATTTGACCTTGATTTGATCGATAAATATATGTATTTTGTAAAAAACCTTCCTAGATAGCCGATAAAATGTATGTTTTTCGGTATTGACTTGATTCATTAGAGAATTATTCATGGCTGCCTTGCTCAAAAATCAACTCATCAAACGATTATCTAAGTGTGAAATATTTCCAGTTTCGTCTGACGAAAACTTGACGTATACGCACTTTCTTTTCGTAGATTTGTCAAGAATCTTTCATCAAATCAAATCAATCTAAGTACATTCAAAGGCGAAGGCGAATTATCGTCGATTAATCTAGACGAAAAAGCACTCGAAGATGTTATTGAATTACCCAGCTGGCTGAAAATTCAAAAGGCGACATGTGGACGAGTCTTTATCAAAGTAATGTCAGTTCTGATAGACGAAGATAACGAGTGTATGTTCGTGTCAATTTAGATTCCTTGGACGAATTTAAAAACATTACCAATTCAAATAGTAAGAAATGATTTGTATTCAATCGAATTCTAAATGATTTGTATAGCAACTCGATGATGTAACGATCGAAATTGAAACATGTGAACAATTGCGCGATGTACAAAGCTCAACGAATGTAAATGATCCGTAAGAATCTTTTACCGTTTTGTCTGCATGTCGAAAATGAGGTGCTTCTAGGTTGGTGGGTAAATATGGCTTTATTAATCGAGTTATCGATGGTATATCATTGACAATCACAAACCTTACATTTGAAATTAAGGCACAAGGGTTTAAAGCATCCATTTGTGTATGTGTATACATTATTTATGACTCTTTCGTTCGGAGAAAAATGTTCGTTTTAGTTACCGAGTTTAGATATTTATAGCACAGCTCCAAATGGTAAACGAGTTGAGACGTTGACGTTAACACGCCTACGAAACGCGACGAAAGATCACATTCTACTTTTTAAAGTAATAGGAAATTCGATACTATTGATAAAGACTCTTTAAAATAAAATTCAAAGGAAATATCGTGGTCGAACGCACGTATTCAAGCTAGTTCAAATGATAACAATATCCCAGGGACAGCACTACGTTTTATTGCGAACTCCTGTCGGATACGAATTGCGATGAAAAAGAGTATTCAAGGTAGATTATTTCAAAGATTTCTTCTGAAATAATATGTTCTTGTTACCTTTCCAGACAGTTCTTTAGTCACATCTCGGATAATGATCAATTTCGATGATTTCTTATCGGTTATTAACGACGCTCAGTTCAATTCAGCACTGAATGCTTATAAAGAAATAACTCAATTGATGAAACGAGCATCTGAGCAGAAGAAACGAAAAGTCGGAGAACAAATGAACGTAAGTTTGCACTCATTGTAATTCAAAAGCAGATGTTCAAGTGATAAGAGTCGAGTTGGCAACAGACGGATTTGTTTGTTTTTGTCTTGCTACAGAAATCTGAACGACAAGCGCAAACAACAACATATCCACCTAGACTATCATCGAATAATCTACACGAAATGGCCAATCCTATGTATGCCTTAAATACCGACCAACAGCCTGTAGATGCATTTACTCGATTTGATATTATCGAAACGTCAATGCATTTCAATATTAAAAGATTAGATTTACATATAATCGCCGATTCGAGCGGTGCCGGTACGTTGAAGGTCATCGATAGATCTTATCCGTACCATTTTTTTTTTGAAAAACATTCTAGTTGATCGTCTGGTAGAAAATGGTTCCATTCAAATAACTATCGCAAATCTTTCGTTAGATCATTATCCTTATCATGAGTTTGGATCATCGAAAAAACATTGGATTAAATACAACGAAATTCAAGCGTTCAATCGTCACGAATGGGCAACGAAACTCTATGCACAATGGCAAGAACAACTGAACATAGCGAAGGCATCTGTGCCCAACGACGATATCTGTGAGTTGATATGTTTGGGAAGAAGATTAAATGGAATTCCACTATTGTATGTTTGGTTTTTCAGCAAAGAAATTCGAAAGAGCACTTCGAACGAATCGTATTCGTCTATTCGAATCGTGCAGTGTTATCAACATTGATGATTTAGTCGTTTATCCAGTTTCTTTAACTAATGATAAACATCAAAAACGACGTCGACCCTTAATAGCATCCGATAAGACATACTATCAAGTACCAGACACGTTCGGTCTTCTGAACATTCAACATACTGAATATTACTACCCTTTACCTTATTCATTTCCTGGTAAGACTAATCCATCAATTTCCTTTTATGAAGACCGATCTTTTTGTTTCTATAGTACCGAATAGTGATCTTTATATTCAAGTGATGCCTATCCTCTTCCGTGTTGATTTTGCAACATCGAACTGGCTCCATGCGTTTGTTTCCACTCTGTCGATAACATTAGTAACCTATTTCGACAAGTTGAAGTTTTACTGTTTGATATCTCTGTTAGGATAAGTCCGGTGTGTTGAAAACTAATGAGCTTAGTACAGATCTCGAACATGTGGAGATCAAGTTTGAAGCAATGTTACCACGGGTGTGTTGAAATGCATTTCGAATTCTTTTCTTCACTCGGAATTTACTTGTCTAGATTATTATCAGTTCGGAAATTTTTGCAAATAATCTTAAATTGCAACAGATTGCAAACGAGAAAAAGTCTCAATCAACTGACTCCAATCCACAAGATTATGAAACTCTTGAGTTAAGCATATCCAAAGTATCAGTAACCAACACTCGAATCGAACCTTCAAGCGATCGCGCGAAACTAGAAGAACATTTAGCGTTGTTCAAAAAAGCCAATTTCTTCCATCAGAACCAATGGCCATTTTCCACCAGTTCAACAGCACGAATCAGTCCATTGTTTGAAAAACATCCAAACGACACCTACCTCTATGACAACCCACTATGCGTCAAGACTGGTACCTTGCCTCAGTCTCAATCTGCCGTGAAGGCACTTCAGACATTCTATACAATGACTACAGATTCGTTGAAAAAGGTAAGATATGTTTCTTTACGATAGAGACAATGCTATTTGTATGTATTTTAGTCTGCGAAATGCGATATTTGGCATTTCGCTGTTGAAAGTGTTTATATAGATTTCACGCCATTACCATCATTGGATGCGATTCGTTTGACTAAACAAAATTTAATCAGCTCGTTATCATTTAATGGTTGGGCTGTACTCGACATGAATGGAAAAGGTATCACACTTATCCTTAGCTATTGAAAGAAACCTTTCTTATTGATTAGATTCACTGGCGAACGTTCTTGGCGTTTTGGAAAGTCCATCGATCTTGAAAATATCTCGAAAACAGTATACATTTATCATGCGTCTCGTCGATGAATTAGGTCTCTTCTTCGAAGCGATCGATCGAAACACAATTCACACAAATTCGCTCAAGGAGAAACCATCATCTGAAACAGTTCCAGATGAAATGAAAATAGCAATATGTCTAACTGCTTCAACAACATTTGTAGTAGCAGTGATCGATGATCTGGAAAATGCAACACTGGATCTTCCAACGCCTACTTCATCGAGTATACCGGAATTCGATATCGACTCAGTGACACCTGACGCGCCCGATACAACTATCGTCGATGAAATACTCACGCCTACGCCAACCGCACCGACTATTTCTATGCCGACGCGAGTAGAATCGCCTGTTCAAGTAAAGAGTTCTCCAGCACCAACTACAAAAAGATCGAAATTTGAAGAGAATCTTCATCGTGGATTGGAAATTCTTTCCAAAGGCACACGCGGATCGTCAGTAGCATCATCGATGAACATGAGCGACAATAGTGACGACACTTTATCTCAATTAGACATCACAGAAGACTTGGATGCTGAGCTCGATGCAAGTCTGTTGACCACTGATTTAGAACAACAAAAAGCAGCTCGAATTGAACTCGATGATGATTGCATCAGTTTAGCCGAGAAAAAAAATGTCAGGAAAACAGCAACGGAATCGGTAATTTTCTTCAACTGATCATACAAAGTCAACGGTATCTATTTTCAGGTCAGTGGTGTCTTTCTGAAGATAAATCAGATTAATATTTGCATGACCGAAGATGGCACGAAAGCAGATAAGCCAATGTATATTGCATGTGATGCTAAATATCTTCGTATTGATGAATTTTCTTCATTGAAATTCGACGCTATCAAGCCGAAGTTATTTGAAAATGAAAATCCCGGTACGAAAAATATTGATCGAATACCATTTCAATGAATTTTTCTTTTTCAAACCTAGATGAATACAATAACGAAAATGTTCCACCGATAAACATTCGCATTGACCTTCCAAAAGGCGATTCATTACCACCACCACCACCAACGGTCACTGTACAAGTTCAAGACCGTTCATTAGTCATAGCTAATCACGCACTTGATGTTCTCGCGCAAAATCTCGAAGAAATTTTAACACCAGAAGAAAAGCTAATTCGACAAAATCAACCATTGAAAATCGTTCCACTTGATATCATTCTAAAGAATGTTCAATTTACACTTGAAGTAAGAGACTTTTCGTTCTGAACAAATCGCATCGATGTTGTTGTATGATAGTTTTTACAAGAATATTCCACTACGCAGACAACGAGTGATCCCAAACCTCCGATAAAAGTCGATATTGAATATCTACATGCTCTTCGACAGATCGATGGACAGTTGATTATTCAAAAAACGAACCCGCACGGTAAAACTAGAAAGAACGATCTCTTGCATTACATTTTTTTTATTGATTTAGAAGAGAAAAAATCAGATGTGAACTCTGCGGATAATTTCCACGAAAAACTACGTCAGTTAGAATATTTTCGTCTCGAAAACGAACGTCTCCAATCAGAACTAGATGCTCAGAAAGTTGAAATTGTTATTCTACGTCGTGAACGTGACAGTCTAGTGAACACCGTTTCGAAACTCGATACGGAATTGACTGAGGCGGAGTATCAACGATATTTCCAAGCCCAACTTCGTAACAAATGAATCAGTATTTAAGTTTTTAAGAAAAAGTTTTTTTTATCGCGTTATCGTATTTATAACTCTCTATACTGGTGCATTCAATCATGTGTTTTATTGATAAATCGTGCGTTACTCAATTGATAAAATATTAATGTTTCCTAATATTTCAGATTGATTCATTTTATTTTGAACATCAGATAACAAGAGAAAAAAAAATTATGTCTAAGTCTCTTTCTTTACACAGGATTTGAACGTATTTTTGAGATGATATAAACTTGTTGAGATACGATTGAAGCCGTTGAGTAGTGCAACCATTTCCGAACGTTGCAATTGTATTGAATCGTGATTGGCAAAGAGAATTTTCAGTGCTGTGCCTGAAATGTAACAAGAATTATCAATGAAGAAGATCTGTTTTGAACGCTTACCTAGGGCTTGTACTTGCAGTTTTCCCCATAATCGACATTTGTCACAACCAACGCAATCCATAATTCGACTAACATTCCGAAAATGTTGTTTGAATTCAAATTTCAATAGATCGTTATCATTTTGGAACAGGAGGTCTTCAGTAAAGTAATTCGCAAATGGTTCGATTTTCTCCAATAATTTCTCCACTATTAAGACTTTCGTATGTGAATCATCCGTGTCATTTCCAGTGAAAAAAGTTTGTTCTTGGAATATATCGCGTGCTTTGTGAAGTGCACGTAATTCGATCAGATAGAGAAAGTAGACATTTTTCAACCATTTTGGTCCTTCACCTGCCGTGATTTCGGGATCGAAACGAAGTTTAAATTCGTCAAAATTTGGACCCCAGTGTCCATCGGAACCCGTGTAGCCACCGGCGACTGTTGGAAAGAAGTATCGAGCACATAAATGTATGGTGATGCTGGTGTGAAGACCTGATATAAGACGATAAAATGTTCGACCTTCCAGACACATTTTATTGATATTCAGACGTTTTTCTCGCAGATCGTAGAAAATCTTTGAATCAGGCAGGAAAAAGCAGTTCTCATTATAAATAGCCGACCAGATGCGTTGAGTTGACGCTCCTGTGTAACCAGTGTAACGTTCAGGATTAGCCAATAAATCAATATATTCCAAATCAGTCGACGATTCATCATCTACATCACAAAAATTATCCAATTGCACATCATCGAATTGCGTCCAAATCTTAATGGTTTCTTTATGCTCTTCACTGATGTTTGTATTGATCGATCCAAGTGAAGAGTTCGTATCAAGCATTGAACAGTGTTCATTGTCATGAATGGTTTTACCACGCAATGCTTCGGGTAAGTTTTCAATAGGACATGGTTTGATTGCACATGTACGACGTGAACATTGACCGTCATCCGACCAAAACAGACATTTTTTGCGTAAGTTGACAGGAAAAAAACGAAAGTAATTCTTGGAAACGATTTCCTGCAGTAATGGATAGATGTGTTGATTATTGAGTTCATTCAAGTCCGATATACGGCAGTTACAATCGTCGATTTGATCATTACTATTAGTTAATTGACATTCTTCGTTGTTTTGAACAAGATAACAGGAGAAGATCACACAGAAAAAGGTTAAACAAACTCGTAGAAACATTTGCGCGAGAGAAATAGTCAACTGAATGATGTAAACAACGCGACATATGTTGTCGAATAGACAATGACTCATCGGAATACTTGATCAATTCGGAAAGTGATTCAGTATGGTTTTTCGCAGATGCCACTGACAAAGTCTTGGATCAATGCGATAGAATATATTGAAATCTTTTTTTTAAGTAAAATCACCTCATCAGATGTCGTTTGTAGTCATCAAAATTGAAAAAAATGTGTCGTTTGACTAATTATCATGAAAGTAGTCTGGCGAGAAACGTGTTAATTAAATCTGTTGTCTGTTTAAAAATGAACCATCTCGAATCGATTGCAAAACTTCGAGAAAGACTTCTGCGTTTAATCAAATTGGGTGAACCTAAGCAAATACATTCGTCCACCACACAAACAATTGACGACAGTGCAAACAAGACATTGTCTGATCTCACAGCAAACGTTGAAGAATGTGTTCGTTGTCTTTTCAATACTTCATATACAATCGAAACATTTGTTCGAAATGTTCAACAAATATTAAACGTCACGATTAAAAATAGTCTAGTTCTCTTTCTCATCGAAACTATTCCATTAGCACATCAGTATCTGCAGCAAAATCAATGTCTTCCATATTCATGGGATGCATTCAAATCGATCGCGTTACAATCGACTGCGTCATCTGTAAGTTCGTTCTGAAGAAGGGCTCATATTTCTTTCGTTTTTTCTTCTTCTAAGAATCCATCCGAGACCACTCGACTTCCATCTTTACAACAGGCACATTTTCGTCTTCCGCCGTCTTGTCCTCAGTTAATCGATCTGACTGCACCATGTGCAATAGGTTTAACGCCTTACATTCGACCGGATGCGGATGTTTATCAACAAAAATTAATCAATCGTTTTGCACGAAAGAATTTTTATTTAAGCCAATGTGGCGAACAGCTGATTCTTCAAACATTGTATGCCTTTCTCACACATATCGTCCGACGCCTTCGCTTCTTTGCCCAACATCGACTCGACACTCGCCTCTTCAACTCGGATATGTACGATATGACGAGTAATGTTCGTGAGCAAATCCGATTTTTGGTTGAATTGAACAAATGCCAAACTGGTGAATCAAATCAAAATTTGAATATCGAGCGTTTTTATCAACGACAAGCGGAATTAACAGCTCCTGATCAAATGGAAGAGCTAAAGTGTCACTCAACAGCACGGAATTCTCGATTGTCTCTAATGGAAGACATACGACAAAGAGAAGCTGACGAAACCGCATGTCTTGTTCTACGTGAGAGTCGTTTGAAACGACAGAAAACCGGTGAAAACAACCAACGAATCAAACCAGCTCGAATCATACGTGGTAACCTACAAGATCTAATCATTGTTATGGAGAATGAAGCAATCCTCAGGCGATCAAAAAGTCTCCTGTATGCTTATGTAAATAGATAACATTCTCTTCTAACGAATAAACTCTAATCATGAAAAGGAAGTTTAATTATCCACACTTTCCATCATCTGACGCGCATTGCGTTCTTTTTCCATGCCAATCAGACTTGCCTTCTATAGACCTCTATTGATCGGCATGCGAACTGGTTAAAATCGGTTTTGTGGAAGTATCGCTGAAACTGACTGACTGACTAACTGTCAGTAACGCAGAATCCAACGTATATGAATCTGAATTTTGTAAATATTTTGTACAATGTTGAACAGTCGCTCACAATGTTATCGTCTTGTCTCGGAAGCATTTAGCCCACCGCGGCGATCCATTACACAATCGCGTCAATTAGAAGATTTAAAACAGCTTTACGAATTATTAAAACACGAATCTCAATGTAATGAATTATTTTATTTGTCGATTAACTCTCATATCTTTTTTTTTCGTTAGCATCAACGTATCCATACTCGGAAAAGATAAATCCTAATGGCATTTTCGCTAATAATGAATTAGACTTACAAAAAATCAAAGTCTATGGTTTCGATTTTGGTGCGTTATTCTGCATAAAAATAGACTTATGTCTTCTCTGTTTATATAGATTATACTCTAGCACGATATAAACCAACATTGCATTCGTTAATATATGACAATGCGAAGACATTTCTCGTTAAAAATTTACGAGTAAGTGTGCTAGTGTCAAAGATTTTCTTCATTCGAATGTCTAATTAAGTATCCTGATGCGTTGATGAACTTTTGTTACCGGCCAGGTATGGGTGCACGTGGTCTGCATTTAGATATCAAACGTGGATGGTTGATGAAAGTGGATAGTTATCATAACATCCAATTGGGAACTGTCTATCAGTAAATATTGATTATGGTTTTCCTGGTTAAATCAGTTTGTTTGTATGTTAGTGGTATGCGAGCTGTGTCCGATGAAGAAGTACTTGCTGCACATCATGGTACGAAATTAACAATCGATGTCGTGGGTTATTTGGGACGAACATCGAATATGTTTCAATTTGTTGATATATTTTCAATTCCTGAAATAACCCTTTTGCGTGATGTTACTCAAGTAAATCAAACGGAATGCTTTTATTCAATGCGTTGACATTCTTGCTTTCTCTGCAGTATTTTATTGATAATTCAATTCCGTTCGCTACAGAATATGTGCATTATGATGTCCAGGTAGGATTCAACGTCTTTAAATAGACAACGATCGATTGTCGTTTTGCAGGAAGCCGTCAGTGCTTTTCACAAGAGTGGAGCAATGCATCGCATTGTGGGAAACAATGTTGGTAAGGTCGTCTTGATCATTCTTGATAATTACGAGATTTTGTTTTCGTAGAAACATACTTTGAAGAGAATGCTCGCTTGAAAACATTTCTCCAACGTCTTCGTGATGCGAACAAGCAAATTTTTATAATTACAAATAGTGCCTATTGGTATGTCAATCGTGGAATGAGTTATTTGCTTGGGGAAAACTGGCAAGACTTTTTCGACGTCATTATATGTCAAGCACGGAAGCCGTCGTTCTTTGCTGAACAGAAAAGGTTTGGAAGGAAAGTACTTAGCAAGTGAAGTTGAATTTGTCGGTATGTTATAGACCATTCCGTGAGATTGATGTAGACAAAAATTCCAAATTATGGGCTCGAGTGCAGAAACTCGAACATGGAAAAGTTTACGTGGAAGTATGTTGGGGAAATCGCTGTTCAATGGAATTTTTCATGCAGATTTTGTTCAAAGGGTAATTTGACAAATTTGATCTCGATGACCAATTGGCAAGGTAATGATGTGCTATACATTGGTGATCACATCTATGGTGATTTAGCGGTGGGTAGTTTCTTTTTCGGATGGAAATCGATGGAACTGAATGTTGATGTTTAGGATTTGTTTTTGAAGTACGGTTGGAGAACCGGTGCAATCCTAGAAGAAGTCGAAGTGAGAAATAAGATTGACGGCAAGAGAAAATTTAAATTCGTTTGTATTGAAGGATGAAATCAATATCATGAATTCCGATGCATTTCAAAAGACAATTCGATGGGTAAAGTTCAAGTTGAAACTCTCTCTATACTTGACTAGTTCCATTTTCATAGTTAACTGTTCTTCAGTGGCTCACTAATAAATTACAAGTAAAAATTCCAGGATCAATTGCTGTGTTTACGTACTATCTTCCTTTTTGTTTCGTGTAGGTAATTCCTGGTCCAGAAGCAGATCTTGTTATGAAGAATTGGCTAGTCGAGCAAGATGCTGAACGGTAAGTGCTTTTCTACTCTGTTCTCATGAAGTTTTCACCTTTTTTTTTCATCTAGAGCGAAATCTCGTGATCTTCTCAATCCTTATTTCGGATCAATTTTCCGTACACATACAGTTCCTACTTATTTTCATCGACGTTTAGCGCGTTTTGCCGATGTCTACACATCGAATGTTTGCAATTTCCTCAGTTATCCAGTAAGATTTCATTTTCGTTTGTGTCTTAACTATGATCGAGTGTTCTTGCAGCTTGATTACATATTCTTTCCACGTCGTTTGGCTTTACCGCATGAAAATGTTTTACCAACACCGGATCTCAATCTACTCCTGATGAAAAGCGTTCGCCAAGCAATGCGCTTTCGAACCACTTGACAGAAACACGACTCTCCATCGCACCTTTCTAGTCTCCCCATTGTCTCTTTTTTTCTTACTATTTTGTCAACGAGTAGGCATGATATTTATTTTTCGACATGAAATAAAGTAGTTTTTCTAGAAAAGACATGTACGGAATCATTTTCAAGCTTGGTGAAAGATTCTGACTGATCTGATTAGTCATCAATTAGAAATCGTTCGAGAATTTTATCATGAGAACATTTCAGGTAGATCAATACTTGTGAATCATTAGATTTCTCTTTGGGTGTATGTCTGCGCAGGTCGATTTAATGATGACATAACACGCGCATTACTACCAGATGCGTCCGAAGATAAACGAAGAGAAGTAGACGAGAGAAAAGATTTGTTATTTCATCAATTAGTCAAGGAAAACCTTCAACCGACCAAGGGATTACCTAGAATCATTGTGTACAGTCAAGAGAATCGATCCAAATTCAAACTTAGCAAGCATAACATTTTCAAAACTGATTTAACCGCATATTCGTTGCATTATATTCAGGATTAGCATTGAATGCCACATGAAAAGTAACAGAATTCGAATTAATTCTCATTCAAATTGAAATAAAAGCATTCTTTGCTGAAGAACTTGGCATCAGTATGTGTTTCTCGTGTCTTGTAAGAAAGTAAACCGAATCCAGGAATGTATCTCGAATTAACATGTCGGTTGAACATCGAGAAAAACGCGTGTGTTATTTTCGAAGATTCAGTTTCAGATGTTGCTGAAATAAAATGCATCGGAGTACGAACATCAGCAGAGAAAGAAATTTTGGAAAAATATGGAACATGGCGAACGGTGAAGAACTTCGAAGATATGAATTTGAATGAAATTTTCAGTGCGCTGACGTTGTAGTAAAGAATTCTGTGATGTTTATTTGATTTGTGTCAATAAAATACGATTACATTTCATATCATTAACATAAATAAAGACATCCGCTGGTAAATATTCGCCGATTCGCAATAAATTTCACGAGAAAATCAACTCTCGAGATGGAGAGTTGGTCTGCTCAGATAAAAATCGCCATCATCATCTGTGTGTTACATCAAGATTAGCCACAGATTCATCAGAATTCATCATCATAGTTTCTTCGTATGTGATGTATTCAGAAAATTGAATGTAGATGTGCAACGCATCGGCCATATTCATGTAGTCGTCTGTAATACAATTGACGATTGCATTAAATGTATTCATTAGCAGACATCAAAACATCCAACTGTTCGACTTCCGATCTCGTCATTTCTCACACGATAGAAAGGTTTCCTATGTAGGAAAATCTTCTTCTTTTCGATCATCGGGACATTAGAATGAACAGTTTACAGGGTCATAGTTTAGCATATAAATGATTATAAGATTCAAGCCAAATTCCCCTTGGGGCTTTTCAATATAATGAGAAAAAGAAAATGCCAATTATCGTTTTCTTTCTTTTCTTCTTTGTTTCGTAGATTCTCTTTTCCTTTTTCCCTCTCTCTACATTCATTAAAATCACACATGATTTTTCTTTTTCATCATTGAATATCTCATCGATCAAGAGAAGAGACATCCGTCCACTCTCCGAAAAAAGAAAATCTCAATTACATGTATTATAACTCTAACGTTGACTGGTTTAATATGATTCTTCTTGTTGTCAATCTTATTCAAGGTCAATAGGCAAATAATAAAATCAATAAACTTATTCAAACATACATCCATGTGCTTATTTTTGACTAGTTTTAATCACAGTTATCAACTCATTCGAATTCAAGCAAGATACGACGCATCCGCTTCCGCTTGACAATTAATCTAGTTTATGAGAATGTATATCCATTCGTGCTTTTCGACTAGAGCAATGAAACTTAGAACAAGGGAAAGAGGGAGAGAGAGAGAAAAATGGCGCAAGCGAAACACAATTTTGACATGATCAAGAAAAAAGAAAGAATGGCGACAAAGCAGTAATACAATGATGCAATCACGTACCACCCTATGGTCAGAGAGCATACACCCCTGGGGTGAATAAGAGGCCAGTAGGAGCTAGCTATCAATGAAGAAACTGAAGAATCTGAGAAGGACCTTTCAGATTGATTGAATCGTCTGTGACGAAGAAAACCCAAGTCAATCATCATCATCATCATCATTCATGTCAATATTGAAATCATGGACAAATAAATTGCATAGACTTTTCCCGCTTCAAGGCGAGGCGTTTTGACGATATCTTTTAATCATATGATATACATCGACTGTAAGCTTTTCCTTTGGGTTAACGAACAATAGCTCCAATGATTGACAAGCATGTCATTTGGAAAATTTTCAATAGGATTGAATATGAGACTTACGGTAATCAAGGACAGAAACGAAAAAGAGAGAGATTAGCGGTAAGAAGAGGAGGAAAAACAAAACTATTCTTCGTTCAACGATTGTTTCATGATGCAGTGGAATAATTGATCATATTAAATCTCTATATATCTGTCTATCTGTCTTTTTATTCTTTATGTTTCAATTTACTTTTGTTTATGTATATATTCTTGTTGATCTAGTCATTTTTTCGTCATCATCGATTTCTTACGCCTTCTTTTTCTCTCTTTCTCTAACACAAGCAAAGAAAGAAAGGAAGGGAAGGGAGGGAGAGACGAGAGAAAAAGGAAGAAGAAACTGTTCAGTTCTTTCGCTTTCATTCATTCGCCTATCATAATTGCCATGAAAATGCTCCCTCGACAGTAGATGGGTTACACGCGCGTAAATTATTTTTAGAACACGATCACATTGCCTTTTACAACAAAGAATCAAACAATTATATCATTAACTATGAACTACGGATGGTTAACTTGCTTACTTTGATCTTACTGATTTATACTAGTCGTAAGTAACCGATTTTACATGGAAATTTATTAAAAAAAGTTAGCGGCGAAAAAGAAAGAAACGATCTGTTGTCACAGTGATGACGACAAATGGTGATCGTTTGACTTGAGCACCATATGCAAATAGTAAATGATTCTTCAATCAATACTCAAAAGAGTAGCATGCCTCGTATACGTAATGAATGTCACCCAATTGACTCAATTGAAACAGTTCTCGAGCAAAAAGCTATTTTCAATTTTCCATTGATTCATCATTAAGACTAGTCTTGATGTTGTTCTTTCTGCGTGAAATTCGGTGACATATTGCTCAAGTGATAGAAAGAAAAACAATTGAAGAGATAATTTTCAAGTAGGAGTGGACAACGGACATTGCTTGAAGCATCTTGCGTGTCCAATTTCATAGCAATACTACAATCAGAAGTCTATGATCTCTGGATGGACAAAAGAAGGAGAAGTAGTTAGGTCATCATTCCTTTCCTAATATTCATTTAGAATAACTAAGACAAAAAAGACATGCAATGTCCGGTTTAGGCTTATTGATCTCTTTATTATGTTCCATATAGATGTTTATCGTGCTCTAGCCATTGAGCAACAATTATTTGAATTATCGACTGCATCGGAACAGGAACATATAATAACGAGCGTACTGAAGCAATCCGCGGTATTACCTTGTAGAGCTGTTTTATTGATCACAGATCCTGAACAAGTAAGTTTTCGTTGAGTAAAAGTGTTTAGTTAACATGACTCGTTCGTATAGGTTATGTGGTATAAAATAACGGACTTTGGTCAATCGCCTCTAAGTGTTGGCAAATCGTTAATTACGAAAGATTCTCGTATTAGTGTTGCTTATTACAGTTTCGATCATGGTTATTCACCTGCCAAATGGGATTTACAAATCGATGATGTCCGTTTAGCCGACGCTGCTCGTTATCAATGTCATGTTGTTGAAAGAAATGGACAAATTTCGGCACGCTCGAATGTTAAACTTGTTGTTGAAGGTAAAAGCAAGAGAGGATCAAAAGACTGAATCATTGATAGAGATATACACATATGCATTCGGATGTTTATATGAAGAAGAATAGACATATGTTATCGACAATGGGAGAACTCATCACGGTCGAGCAAAAATGAGAGAATAAACAGATAGACGCTCAAGATTAGAGTTCAATTTGTGATTCATTTCTTTCAGATGTTACCGTGCACATTCAACCAAGTGATGTTCTTGTTTCAGTTGGCGATAAAACAGAGTTTTCCTGCAATTTCACCGGACAATACCGAGTACGGCGTAATAAAGTTACTTGGTTGAAAGGTAAACACACCCGATAACAATGAAACCTTGACGAATTTCTTCTCATCTATTCAAGATGGCAAACCGCTTCTATCTGATGCAAGCCATATGACAATTTCTACCGAATTACCGAATGCAACAGTAGCTGTTCTACAAATTCTTGCTTCTCGTTCAACAGATAGTGGATCCTATCGTTGCACGGATGGCTATCATGTCCAGAGTAAAGAAGTGAAATTGTATCTACGCGATGGAAATCTACATCAATCTATTCAATCGTTGTCCTCATCAAATTCTACGAACATATTTTCATCCTTTCGAACAGTTTTCCTCTTGTACACTGTTTCTTTTCTCATTTGTTTTTTTTTTAAATAATATCATTTTTATAATATTTCTATTGAAAAGAAAAAGAATATAAGCTGATATCTTATCTCACTTATATATTCATCTCTTTGACAAACACATCGTCACAAAATGCTTAACACCGCCCAGACAAGCGAATCACCACTTCAGATCGAAGTCACATCCCCGGTTATATGCGGTACCGGTTCAAAACGATACGTTGATTATACTGTGAAGCTTACAACGACGTTGCCAGTCTTTCAGCAAACAGAGTCAACTGTTCATCGTCGCTATTCTGATTTCGAGTGGTTACACAAAGAATTGGAACGTGCCGATACAAAAATAGCTGTTCCACCGTTACCTGATAAGGCTTGGCAAAGACAGTTGCCCTTTCGCAAAGATAATGGTTTGTTTCAAGATGATTTTATCGAAGAAAGACGACGCGGGTTGGAAATATTTATCAACAAAATAGCTGCGCATCCATTGGCACAAATTGAACGTGCGTTACATGTGTTTTTATTCGAACCTGAAATTGATTTGACAAAATACGTTCGAGGCAAAGTGAACAAATAATCAAACAGATGACTTCTAACATTTTTCAAACAAATTTCTGCATCTCTTATCTGTCTATTTGAGACATTTTTGGAATTGTTCGCGTAGACGTTCTTGATTGAGATTTGATCCGATAAGAACGAAACAATTTCGTAAATTGTCACAATGTTTTTCTTTTGTAGAAATAAACTCATACATTTGACCAACAGCTTGTAAAAGTTTGTAAGTCGATTCATTAGAACAACAAAGAACAGCCTGAAACAGAATGGATACAATTAACAGATCGATCATTTCAATTCACATACTTTCATTCGAACTATTTCCTGTTCAGAGCTTTGCTCATTCCATAATAGTTCAATGATTAATTGGTCGAGTTTTTCGAAATCAATCTGACCATTGAATTCCATGGTCACCGAATTCAATGTCTAAACAGCAATGATGATGAATATGTGATCGTACTCTCTCTCTCTCTTCTAGTACACACTTGATTTCCATGTGGAATCAATGTTGTTGCTTGATCAGGAATGTTTTTCAGAAGGTAATCAGGTGGAGAATTCTTACTGTAAGCATTGCGATCAAGTATAAGTGATAAATCAATGCTAACAAATCAATAGAATATTTTTAATCAATGAGAAACACAAGGTGAAACATACTGTGAGCGTGTTGTTTCATAGATTTGTGCCGTGATATTAATTGATCTAGGGAATAGAATAGAAATGGTATTACAAACATGAGGAAATCATTTACCGAACAAGTTCGATAATTTTCGACTTTTCTTCCTGAGAAATTAAATCAATTTTATTGATTAAGATCACATCTGCTATAGCCACTTGTCTACAAGGAAATTCATTGTATAAAATGCCGTCAAGAATGGTAATTCGCTACCTTGACCATAAGGCCTTCTCTTGATGACGATCATCTGCATAATTCTAAACGTGTCGAATGCATGCAAAAATGTCACTTGGCAGTTTTTACTTTCAGTCCGTTATAAGCGTCGATGACAGTTATTAAACCTAAATAAACAAGGCTTGCTAAACAGTCAATCAACTGTCGTTCGTTTACCATCGAGAATCAGATCACTGTGTAATTCATCATCTAACCAAAACATGTTCACAATGGGCAACGGATCGGCAACACCGGTTGTTTCCAATAGGATGTAATCGAAGTGATTTCGACGTTTTTCGAGTAATTGTTCAATTGCTTGCACGCCGACATCTCTTTGAAAATGAACGAATGAAGCAAGCGAATTTTCTTCTTTTTCTGTTCGTTGATTCAAATACTTTACTTGACAGAACAGCACAAACAACCATTACGTAATTCCAACCAATCTTCGTATCGTTGACGACCATTGCTACCTTCTTCATCGGTTGTGGCTGTTAATAAAAGATGTTCCATTGCACTACCCTGAGCAAATTCATTCAGAATCACCGCTATACGTCGTTGATGATTTTCTGTCAGAATGTAATTGAGCAGAGTCGTTTTGCCAGCACCTTTTCGAAGCAAAATGCTGACGTTTCTACGAAGTACGAAATATCCTACCAAGATAGCCAGTAAGAATTGTTACTGGAACTTTAGTTGTTGTGTCAACTAATGTTGGTATTGAATCATCACTATCCATCTAAATCAACCGAACGCACAATGTTATTTTTATACATTTGTCGTCAATAAATTCTTTTCTTTCTTTCTTTTTCTTTTCAGTTAAAAATTCATTTGAAGCAAATACATGTTTTTTTTTGCGTGTCAATACAATGCCGGCAACACATTCAATAGAAGCTTAGCAAAAGATGAAAAACCGTTTTTTTATGTTTGCACACGCGTTTTGTGTCGAACTCGTTTTTTCAAACCGTATCTCAATCGCTATTAGTATACATCTACTCCACTCGATAGATAAAGTCGAATGGAGCGGCCTCTAATGAAAAAGAAAGATGGCAGGGATCAGCAAGTTCAATTACTTGACTTTTTTCTTCTTTTAGATCATATCATCATGTCAGGTTATGTGACAGTCAATCGTCTTTCACGTATTCAATTGTCTTGTGAAGATCGTAAGCAACAAGCTCATTTGAAGAAGATCGATGATATGCATCGGCGAAGTGGTTTAGACACTAGTGCACCGACTGAATATCCTCATCTAACTCAACATTACAACCATCAAGCTAAAGAGCGAAAGAAACAACTTGCTATTGAAAACGATTTCAAATTACGCAAATTGCTCAGTATTATGCGATCGAAAACTGTCCGTGCACCTCCAACGCATCACTCAACGAGTCCAAGTCACCGACAGCAACCACTACGTACAACACACAACAATACAGATTACCGAGAGCGAATCGCGAATGCAAAAGGCATCTATGATGTACGTGAATGGGATAAAGAGTACCAAGAGCATAAGGAACATTTGAAATTGAGCAAAGATAGTAAACGATTTACTCCATGTGATATCGCTATACAACAAAAACGAGCGCATGGTCACGCTGCAGGACATACCAACCGGCCAACGCCAGTATCATCGAATCAGAACACACAACGTACAACGAAGAATTATAGTTAAACAGTTAATTTATATCTTTTTTTACCAATTCGTCTAAGTTTTGATTGTTGTATGACACTATCGACGAAATAATGAAGTATTTTCTCATGAGAATCAATTTCACAGTTTTTCATCTAACATATTGAAGGAAATTTTGAAATTTCAGATGTCATTGTTTCTGTTCAAGAGAAGAAGTTTGCATAAACATTACTTCACGCCTAGTCATTGACGACGCAAAATAAATTTACTGCTACAAAGTGCAATTGTTAACTAAAAATAGAACAAAAAACGAATGGATTATGTGAAATGATTCATTTATGAAGAATGAGATCGTTTTACTGTTTGTATTGATAGTCCTTAAACAGAAATCAAGTAAATACTTGACTATCCAGCACTGGAAGATGGATATTGATCAGATAGTGTATTCTGTGTATATTAAATTACTCAGACAATATTTGTTTTGATTGAATCAAGAAGATCAGTAATCTAGTCGGCTATGTTTTTAGATTAGCGAAGCTCCTCTTTTGCAAATATGATTTAGATTGTTGATTATTGGTGTTTAATCATATTCATAGATGAAATGACTTCTTGAGAGAATGGATGCTCAATTTTCTATCCTCAATAGTTTTCATGACTATAACTATAAAGAGTGTGAACATCGGACAAACCTTATCTCGTCTGAAGGGACGACCGCAAGTCACTGGACGTATCTCCAATAGTAAAATGGAATGAGAAAGAGCAGTATGTTCCCTACGCCGCCTCAGATTGGTAAACAAACTTTGTATCTGACAAAAAAAGAAGATTTGGTAATAGCATGTATTTGACTTTCTGTTCGTATCGGTAATGACGCGAACCGTATCGAAGGACTTCTTCAGTTTATCCATGAGCATTATAACCGTCCTTTTTCTTTTAACTATTCTCCTATATGAATTCTATGAAATTGTATACATAACACTTTGACCTATTGAATTCATTTAAAGAGTCGATGATGTTTTGAATACAAATCATGTAAAAATAACATTCAGCGTAGTAAATATCCTCGCTAGAACAGAGAGGAAACACAGGACTTCTATTGTCATTATCAAATCGTATAATCCGGTGCGGAACAGTCCGTTTCCGAACAACAACAAACACATATTTCCAGATCGTCGATAGATGTCGTTTTATTATCTAAAAATAGATACATTAAAATCTTTCCCATATTTCGACGAACTTCAAAGATTGTCGAATTTGATTTCATTCGAAAAGTAAACTGCAACCAGATGACTTCGATTGCCTGGAATAACTTCGACTGCGCGAGAGATTGTTTGATTGTTTTTGATTCGTAAAAATTCTTACCATACGAAATCATTACATTCTTTCCTCTCTGTTCATTGTCTCTCGGTTTCTGTTCCTGTTTTTAGTTGCCGTTAACATAGGGAAGTTTGTTAATTCATATTTAGACTTGTCAACTTTCAAACGAAGGTCTTTTTCTCTCGTTTTTCTTTATATTAATTTTTTTTCTAAGTGCTCTTTTGTAAAGACGATCGGAAGAATTGAGTGTTAAGACAACGTTTTTTCTCTGCGAATATTTACGTAGAAAACATCGAAAACAATAACTGATCATGATGAGAACTTCTGTATTGACATGAGGTAAATGAGCACTTGATTACACAGAAGTAAACGAATGATTTGAACATTTTAGGTTGGTCCGCCCTATTCCTTTTCATCAACCCTCGCAATCGATTACTTCGCAAATCACTGTTCAGAGTTGATGATTCAAAGCAAAGAAGAAATCGCAGTGTTCAACTGCACATATAACAATGTTATTTCTTTACACATACATATACACAAAGTGAATCCCTAGGTGACATATAGTCGCACAAAAGGAGCACAATCGTACATATACACACATTCATACATCCGTTCATTTCGTTGTGCTCGTCGTCTCACAGCAACATCTGAACACAAAAAAATAACGAAGAAAGAAAGAGAGAAAGAAAAAAGAAACGTTTTGTAATGGTAGTGATATCTTCACGCGCAACTACTACATACCAACGCAGTGTCAGAAGCGTATACACGACTGAAAGAATAAACATTTGCCAGTGAAACGTGTCAGCTGAAATCGAGTACAACGTGGGGAGTTTTCTTTACATTTTCCTTTGTTATAAACGACGATCATGACAACAGCTGGTGATAGCCTTTCGCCTCCTGGCTATTTATCCGGTCAAGCATCCGTCTCTCTCTCTACTTATTGTTTTAATAATACTGCTGGGCTTATACATCGTTCATTAGGTGAGTGTCATTCGATATTTTCATCAATGCAGAACGTAAGCAAACAATTGCGAGTGAAGTTGTATTGTTCTCTGATAAGCTCGAGTTAACGATCTCCACATTCCTTCTGCTATATCGCTAGTGAAGATAATTCAATCTTGCTTGATTTTTTTCAATCTTGAAACTAATCGTGTACTTATCATTTATGTATATTTGGTCAATTTACGTCTTATAAGTATTCACTGAACAAATATGTTTCTCTTGCGTTTTTTTTTTAAATTTCTTCTTTCTAAAAGAGAGGGAGAGAAAAAGTTCACTTGATCATGAATCAGATTTGAACGTGTCATTTAACATTCGCCTACGATATCGTCCATCACATGTACAATTCGTTTACTTTGACATTTTCCATCAATTTTGGTTTCTTCTTCTTTCACTCTAGATTCAAATTTGTTCGATTTTTATCAATAGGACTTGTCTGTTGTAGTCAGTTTCTTGTTCTTCTATTGAATATCGACCGACATTAGTCTTTTCACATGTTGTGTCTTTCGTTATTACTGTTGTTGTCGTTGTTCGATGCATCATAAGAAACATGAAACCCGCCGTCAGTCAGCATCAACATCATTATCATCGTCAACACATCATTATCGTTTGGCAACAAGATCTTCCACGCTCAAATTAACCAAACCGAATAAAGTTAAACGTTTAATTAAATCATCAACAGCAAGAAACGGTATACATTTCATTTCGATTCGTTCTCCTTTCTCTTCATTTTCCTCTTTACTTCAACGATCAGATTAAATTTAAAAAGAAAAACATATTTCTATAATGGGTCATCATTACAGCATCGATATACATTCAAGGAGTATGCCTAGGCTTCAGCTCTTTTCTGTTCAATATCCATTTAGTTCGTTATCGTTCGTTTTGATGTCAGTGGTAATTGTCGAATTAATAGTGTTGAGTTGTCTTTGGAGCTGGATTAGGTTAATTCCGTTTTATTGCTTTTGATCGATGATGCTAGTGTCGATGCCACACGGCCTTCTTCTCATCATCATCGTCAAACAATCAATATACATCTATGAATAGTAACAGAAAGAGAAAGGAAGGACGACTATGTACTTGTAGATAATGATTAGTTAGTATGTAAACATATGTTTGTATGATTACGTTTTGTTTGCATGGTCTGTGTATATCTCTGTATATATATATTATTTTATAAATATATAAGTGACTAAGTTTCAAGGGTATTCTCTGCTGTGTGAGGTCAGCAGGGAACAGCTACGTTTGCTTTGTTGTATCGTATATATATATATATATATATCCGTTCATAAGTATGTGTATATATACACGTTCTTATCTTTGTATTTGCTTATCATTACTTCATTTTTTTATGTGTCATTGATTTAGACGAAACTCGATTGACCAATAAGCGAATTAGTGAATGCTATCAACATTCAACACCTTTATCAACTGGCAATCTTGCCCTATTCGCGCAAAATACTCATACCTCATCTCCGCTCTATCTTAATCGTCGTCGACAAACAAGTCTTGGAAATATGACATCCTATTCTGCACTTAAGCGTAAAGCTCAACGATCTGATATTTCGTCGAGTACATCTCGAGTACGACATTTCATTTGAATATATATTATTGAATATCAATAAGCATTTCTTTCCAGTTTCAAGTTAATCTTGAACATGTCCTTGGTTTCACATCAATCTCGAATTCACTTGTCAGTCAAGATCGTTCAACGATCGCCTATGCTGCAGGGTAATTAATGACATTTAATGTCGCATCAAATATTTCTTGTCTTTCCAGTTCAACTGTTGTTCTCTATGATATCAATACACAGAAGCAAGACTTTATTGTTAATACTGCTCGCAAAGCAATTACATCACTGTCAATTTCTCCCGATGGACGATATGTCGCAACCGGCGAAGTAAATATTTCGGGTTGAAATTATTATACATGCTTGATTTTCTAGTGTGGACATGATCCAAAAGTTCGTGTCTGGGATTTAGCTAGTGATAAGACTGTCTGCATCGAATTGGGTGATCACAAATTTGCCATTGATTCAGTTGTAAGTAGATTCGAAGAGCTGCACAGTTCGATGCTTTGTTCTTCATTAACTAAAAGCATTGATTACCTTGAAATTCATTCTTCCGAATAGTGTTTTTCACCTAATGTTGATCGTCTTGTTTCAATTGGTTCTTTGCATGACGGGAATATTTATGTGTGGAGCTGGAAAGATAAGAAAAAGCTAGCTTCAAACAAATGTACATGTTCGGTAAGATAATCGAATGATGATTAATGGTAGATTGATGAGCATTTGATGCTCTAGATCCGTCGTATTGCCTTTGCCGAGGATGGAAGTTATTTTGTTACAGTTGGCAATCGTCATGTCAAATTTTGGTATTTGATCTCGACAGCATCGGTATGTTGTTTGAAAAAGAAAAGCAAATCGAGATGAAATGTTGATCTTTGCCATTGTTTTGAAAAATAGCTTGAAGTTGTTCCATTACGTGGTCGTTATGCAATCTTAGCCGAACGTAAAGATAACTTCTTTACTGATGTTGTTTGCGGTCGAGGTGATTGTGCTGGAATGACCTATGTGATTACGTCAAACGGATTGATTTGTCAATTCGATGAACACCGACAAATGCGAGGCGAACGAGATCTTCAAGTAAGAGCGAATGAAAGCATGCTGCAAGTCTATATTCGATATTTCGGTACTTCAAATAGGAAAAAACAAATTGTTTAGCTATTGGTGATTTATATCTGGTGGTTGGCTGTGCCAAAGGTGCTGTCTACATATTTTCTCCTCAAACTCTTGAATATGTTATGTCTATTCCTCTACCACATTATTTGGGTGTTGATATTAGTTTTATCACTTCGATCGAGTAAGATAAACTTATTCGGTGATCAGTCGAATATATTTTTTTTCATTTTTTCGTAGTCAAATGGTTTGTCCTCAACAACAAAACTTATCATTTCCAGATACAATAGCCGTTTGTTTAGACGAAGATAAATCAGTGGTAAGAATACAATCGTCTTTGCTTCTCATTCTATTGATTGTTTTCTTTCTTTTTCGTTTAGTTAACATGTTTCTACAATGATCATAGTTTTTACATTTGGGATATCAAAAATAGCAAAGCAATCAGAAAACGTGATTCGCACATGTATCATTCCGGATGCGGTTGGGGCATTGAAGTAAAATTGATTTTGATATTTCTTGAATTTTCAAATGCATACTAACTGATGTTTAGACATACTCTCGAACAAATGCATCACCGTCGTTTCTTCGACATCTGACTTGTATAACGTGTTCATCTGACAATACTATTCGATTTTGGTCGTTGAATCATGACGAGTCCGATGCGTACTTTGTTTCAACTCCCGCACCGAATATTTTCAGTAGACAACTGATCAAGGTTGTCTATCTAGACGAGGATTACTCCAAACTCTGCGATAGTCAAACGACGCAAGGTTAGCGAATGAGTCCTCTGACATTCAATTCGATCATCTATCTGCGTTTGTTTTCAGAACGACCTGAATTCGTACCGAAGATTGGTGGTCGTAGTATGAAACTAAATCCCGATGGTCTGTCCATCGCCATTGGTGACCGTAATGGAAACATTCGTATATATGATATGCAAACATTTAAGCAAATCGCTCTCGTTGAAGCACACGATAGTGAAGTGTTGAGCGTTGATTACGGTCAATCAACAGACTGGGGTTTGTGCTCACCTGTGAATAGTCAATCAATGTTTCCTGTCGATGAATTTAGGTGTGACATTTTTAGCGTCAAGTAGTCGTGATCGTTTTGTTCATATATTTGATGTATCAAAAGATTATCAACTTGTCGCAACATTAGATGACCATTCGGCGGCGATAACCGCTGTTCGATTTACCGTTTCATCGGTGACATCAAATCTGCAATTAATTTCATGCAGTGCTGATAAATCGTTGATCTTTCGATCAATTTCTAAGGTAAAGAACAAATGTTCATCGAATAGGAAAAGTTATGAGGTGATTTGCGATGTTTATCGTAGAATGAAAATGGCAAATATCAATTCATTCGTTCAAATAATATCGTCGAAAAACAGACCTTCTATGATCTAGCAATTGATCATAATCGTGAACTTGTCAGTACAGCTTGTCAAGATCGAATGATAAGGTAGAAAGATCAGTATTTATTGAAATAAAGTCCTTATGTTCGTTTTTCAGAGTGTACAATACTCAAGATGGTAAACGAGTTCGAACATGTAAAGGTTCAATGAATGATGATACGGGTTACTTAATTAAAATCGATATCGATGCGTCCGGTAGATATTTAGCGACGTCATGTTCGAACAAATGTGTTTATCTGTGGGATATCATCACAACTGAATGTGTGGCATCCCTTTGCGGTCACAGCGAAGTTGTAACAGATTTAAAATTTAGTGAAGATGGGCACCATTTATATACGATATCGGGTGATAGGTAAGACTTGCTGCTAACTCTTTGATTTGCTCAGTCGGTCTTGTGAATTACAGCTGTATATTTGTTTGGAATATTGCGGAATTAGCCATTGTACCAACGATATGTCGCATGCAATCGGTGCCATTGCCGAAGTCGACTGATCTAGAAATGTAAGTTTGAGCTCTGCTCTATTGAATAATTAAAAATTTATGAATTGTTGTAGCACCGAAGTAGAAGAATCGATCTCACAGGTGAGAATACCAAGTCAATCATCAAACAGAGTTGAAGACTATGCATTTTTCTTTTGTCTAGACACCAAGTATCATCGAAGAACATCAACCTCAATCAAAGCGGCAGCGTAGTTTATGGGCAACTACCGAACCTCGACTACCGGTTTGTATTTTGTCCTTATCGCTATTCTTAGAATTATTGTCAATTATTGTTTTAGCCATTTGAACCGAAATATACGCATCCACCATTACCAGATATCGTCAATGAAGAGTAAATACCATTGATATTTGATAACACTCAGAGAATATTTTTGTTTTTAGTTTATCCGACAAAATGATTCGTTCGGCAAGTTCACAAGACGATGAATCCGTTTTTCTCGATGAAGGTTTGATACGTTTAAATTGTTGTGATGTTTTTTGTAAATCGTCTTGTTATCTAGAGGATGATTCAACAAGCGCAAATGCGGATGCAACAGCAAGGAAAACCAATTCATTCTTTGCAGAAAACTATGACCTTGAAAATTTAACAGAGAGTGTCACTATCGATGATGAACTTTCCGCGCGTCAAGTTCAACGACGAAAGAGTGTTTCATCACGCTTTCGCTCAGTATCCAAAGAGACGACGTAAGAGATGAATCAAATGAATTTTCATACCTATCGATCTTTTCATTTCAAGAATAACCGAAAGTTTGTCGACATCGATGAATACGACCCAAGAAGATGTTTCCATGTCTTCAACTCGAATACCAAAAACTGTACGATCACAAGTATTGACAAATACTGAACCAAAAACAGCACCACCGAAATCATCAACTACACGAAAAACTCGTGGTATGTCACTATTCACTCATATGAGATTTGCTTTTCCGAACGTCTGTCCTAACATAGGTAATCGAGCACAATCGGAAGATCGCTTTCGCGCATCAACTCTTTCTCTCAATACAAACACTGGAGATACAACATCATCCTCATCCTCACATTCTTGTCTACCATCATATGCAGCACATACATCCAGTTCGATGAGTAAACTTCGTGAAGGTACAACATCGTCGACACCACCACTCGTACCCACATTTGTTTCATCGATGTCGGTGACATCATTAAGCACGAATACTCAAACACGTCGTGTACCGTCTGCTCTTCCGACAGATACACGTCCGATATCGGCAGCTAAAACCATGACAAAATCTCGGTCGACACAAAATCTCGTTCTTCCCACGAATACAAGTTCACAATCAAAACTCACCACTGTACGTCGCGTGAAAATCTCTCGGGTTCCTCGGCGACCACCGAATCTACCTACTGCACCAAATGTTCCATCATCATCGTCATCCACATCATCATCCAACACATCATCCCCGACAAAGCTCAATCAAACCAAAGAGAATGCTCAAACAAAAAAATATCACCATCCACCGTCCAATTCTTCTCTACAAGAATCCACCAGTTTACCACTGCGAGAATTAGACAATACAACAAATGATCAAATGCCCAAATGGGCTCAAGATTGTTTCTATCGTACAGTTGTACTCGGTTTGAAACCTTTACTTCTTCAAGACATACCCGGCTCACCGAGTAGACCAGCGAAACGTTCGTCCAGCACATGTTCTGTCGAAAGTTCCGATTCTCTCGAAACGGCAAATGATTTACAGGCGTGTACATTAAATGATAATGATAATTCCAAAGATATTAAAGTCCGCCGAAGTATTTCAATCCCTGATTATCGACAAATCAAGCAAGTGCATAAAATGTTACAACCAGCATTGTCCGAATCAACAATGAATGATCCGAAAGACGAGTAAGTTCATCGAATGAGACAATATTCATTGTAATTTCATTTGCTTGTCATTTCATAGTGAATCCATCATGAATGATGATCGCATGCCGGTTATCAACGATCTTGTTGATGATCTTCACAAACGTCTAAATGAATTAGAAAATGTTTATTCAACAGTAACAACATTCTTTTTTTATCTCTACGTAAATAGCCTAGTTTTTGCTTTTCCAGGTCTCCCAAAGCTCAGATAGTCGAGATATAATGTTAAAGCAATATATCGAACAGATATTTACCGATCTTCATGTACGCATTGCCAATAATCACCAACAGCAACAACAAGAACACGAAGAACGTCCCACGAATTCCACTGTTGTCGTTGTTACTGAATGATTTCTTTAGTTCACTTTATTAGTTGACGTGTCCGGTTCTTTGAGAATTTGGTGACGTGTTTATATATTATTTTTGTTCTTCTTCTTCTTGTTTCCATTTTTCTCCATCAGGGATGTACTTTCTATGCAGATGCTCGTATGTTTATCCGTTTTTCTTTCTTTCTTTCTTTAGAGTAGAAGTGTTCATTTTCTTGCTTATCCATATCGGGAATTACGTATGGTTGTAAATACGGCTATCTCGTATTTCTTAACTTCAAAAACATGACACATTCAATGCTTTAGGGCTTTCAGTGTCTTGTCGAAATATTCCTGTTTTCTTTCCTGTCTTTTTCTTCTTCTTCTTCTTCTTTTTTGTTCTATTGCTCTCATTATTATCTGCGCTGATGACTTTTTTTCTTATTTTTCTCCTACGATAAAATGGAAAAGCTTGTCGTTGAAATCCAATTTAAAGTATAAACGCCTTTTCAATCAGACAGAAGCTAAAAGGATTTGAAAAAAAGACGCATCCATCTAAAACGTCAATATTTGTGTTGTTACACCTTGATGCACACAGTTAGACTGAAAGAAATGAGAAATTGTCGAAGAATTAAAAGTAGGTATAATGTTAATCTTCAGTAAATCCTTTAAAGCGAGTAATGCCTGTTAGTAATCCATCGTCTGGAAAGATAATTTGACGTAGGTGGTAAATTCAACGCTCGCAGAACCGTTCGCCTTCATTGTCATGACGTCTAACGTGAAGAAAAGAAAAATCTTCCAGAATCTTCTTCTTTTTTTTCTTTCTCATAACGCTGAACCGAAGCTGTTAACTCACACAAGTTTTTTCAGTATTTTCTTTCTTTTTTATTTGTATCAACATCATCAGTTAATCTTGTAAAGATATGAGCTATTTCTCTTCTTATACATTCTACATTGGAATAGCGATTGTTTCAATAATCGTCTCAATAGCGGCATATGTAGCACGTGCAAAGTACTTTCACCGACATATCGTGCCATATCCAATGCAAGTTGTTGTTTGTCCTGATGCTCAATATTATCCTTCTTCTCTTCCTCCTGTTATCCAGCCAGTACAATATCCACAAGTGTGTTGGTCAATACCAATGGAACAACCACCACCTGCGTATAACACTGTTGTCACTGAAATGAATACTAACAGTAATGTCATTCATGTCAACAATCACTCCTAGTTCAGCAATGTGATTCTTCTACGAAATAAAATGTGTTTATAGTGTTTGATAACTTCATGTCTGATTAGCAAAACATATATTAAACAGTAAGTAATGACAATATAGGAGCGCATTTGCTTCAATGACATTCAACATACTGGAAAAATAATTAAAGTGCTTTTGCCATATTTCTACCGGCGTTGTCGTTGTCAGTGTTCAGGCAATTTGGCATGAATTAGCATTGCACCATTCATAGAGATTATAGTTTGAAGGAGAAAATAATTAGCGTAGATGCAATCTACAGTCATCGTGACTATTCGACTAAAGTGTTAAATTGTCAACTGTTGCACCGAGAAGCTATAAATTTCTATTACGTAGATCGACCACTAGCCGATAAATTCGCATGAAAAAGAAAATAAAAGTTGTCTGTGCAATAGATCTCATTACTAGTATGGTAATAAAATAAATGTCGTGAGCAGTGCATAAGGTTATTGAGAATATTCTACTCTCTACGTATATTTATATATACAGTTCCAAACGATGCATTCAATGATGCATGTGATCGACTATTGACACAATCTAAAGATCGTTCGCACACGCAACATGCCTCTAGGTCGAACGTAAAAGATCTCTCTTCTTCGACATTGATTCTTCAGTTCTTAACTGTTTTGTGCGCAAAAACATGTCAAATCTCGTGTCTTTCAATCGAAACAAGGCAAACACATAGACAAATGGAGTCATTCTTTCTTGCAAACATAATTATTTAATAAAACAATACAAAATAGATTAACTTTGACCAATGATGGCCGCTACAGAGAAATCAGTCCACTTCTTTTGTGTTGATTTAGTCGTCGGAAACGAGGGTGCTAATGTATCTCGTGTACAAAAACGAGATAGATTCGCCATACGAAACGCACTGTTGGTCACCATGGTTTCGAGCGTTGTTGCGACGGCTGGAATATTGTCCAGTTCTTTATCGGCGAAACAACGACGTTTACGCAATCGATCGTTGAGAATAGGAGTCGTCGAAAACCGATTCAGTGCATTGTTTTCATTCTTATGACTTTTAGCTTTAAGACCTTTAAGACAAAAGAAGACGTTCTGTTTTCTTGCAAATCTTATCAGAAATTGACTGTACTTCGAATAACATCTCGGGATATTGAACTTTCTTGTAATTGTCTTAGATTTTTTTGTACAGCAAGACGTTTTTGTTCCAAGAATAAAGCTGAATTTCGGTATTTATTACTGTTTGTCATCGTCGTTGTCGTCTTATTAGTATTAATCGTTGCCTGTTGCCTAAACAGAATTCAAATAACGAAAAACTTTTCGCATCCGACATCAACTTACCTTCGAAGAGCGACTTGAGCAGCCATAATACGCTGTCGCTCAACAACTAGTAAACAACTTGCACATGTACAATCACGCCAACGGCAATATTTCTTGTGGCCCTACTCGATAGGCAATGTAAGAAATAAACTAAAATTTCTGAACGTTTACATACTTTCAGACATGAGACGACACCATGGTTTCGACATCGTGCACATTTCGGTGTTCGGAGAGATTTGCGGCCAGTGCCAATCGTTTTGACACCTGCTGGCTTTTCTGTTCCTGCTGCTGTTTCTGTGGTCATTTCAGTTGTTTCATCGTCGGAATCAGAATCTTCAACGAGATTTTCTTCCGTTTCGTCACCCATTACTGATTGCTTCTAGAACAACAGACAAGCGATGTATTTTGAGCAGTTTGTATCTCTTTCTTTTGACTAACAATAGGCGCAACATACGCACACTTTTCTGTTTCTTAATAGCACTATATAACAGACACGAACACCTGTTGTTGTCTTACTCTTTCTCTCTCATTCCTTTGATTACACATCTTCATCAACAGTGCATCAAGAAAAAAAATGTACAAATCGAGCAAGGTGCACATACCATACAAGCAAGAAAAAAGAGATGAATGAAAGAATGGTTGTCGAGATAGAGATCAACAGTGGTGAAGCGCAAAAGTAGCCTGATTAGTTGCAACTGGTGGTAGATGAAACCTTCAGGCAATGTTATTGTGATGGCGATGATGATGATATGGCACCCACGATGACAACATCGGTGAAAAGTTTCTCTCCTTCTCTCTCTCCCGTTCTGATCATGCTTACATCTTTTGTAGTCATATCGAATAAAGAACATTTGTAACCAGATAGATGATGAGTATAGAGAACACATCAATACTACCGGAAAAAAACGACAAGATTGGCATATGTGTTTATATATATATGCTTTGATTGGTTGGTGATTGGAGTCGAGAAAGAACAATTTCTTTTGTTCTAAGTAAAGGACATGACATTGACGACGCCATTATTGCTAGATCGGCATCGAATTGCTCTTTTCGCAATCATCTTTAAACATACGATTACTAAAATCGAAACTAAGAAGATCTATCTACGATCGAGCAGCTCGAAGAGAAAGAATTTTTCAATACAGAACAGTGATGATCGATGGAATGAGATACCAAATCGCCCTTTCAGTTTTGGCTTCTCCTGTAATTCAAAACGGTTGTCGATTGCATACGCACCATACACATATACCAGTACACTGGTAACATTTCGGCAAATATCATCGTGATGATAATTGCCAGTGTGCATCGAACACATTCATATACACAAGAAAAACAAACAACCCACGCTAGCGAATATCGAGACACACCTGTCTCACATTTCTTGATCACATATAGGAAACAAACAAACAGATAGTTTCTTTCGTTGATTAGTTAATTCGACTTATTCGTAACTACGCAAAAAATATCTTAGGACACAGCACCTCCCCTTCATCGATACGAAGCTTCGTCAAGAAGGTACTGTCGATCGTCGATGATATATATCTGCGGACTTTCGTGCTCCCAACCGAAGAATTGGGCATATGCTTCGTTAAAATCATTTATTGAACCAACTTCAGAAAGAAGATGTGAACATTGTCTTTCTATAAATTATTTTTTATTGGATTTTCTCAATCGCGCTTAAGATTTAGTAGAAAAGAAAAAGAGCAAAGCGAATTTCTGCTATCCGAACAGAGAGAATAGGAAATGAAAACGAGAAAACCACGAAGGTTGTATACAAGCAATGAGAATAAATCGGTCACACTGGTGATGGTGCACATGAAAAGGTTTGAATGTGGAAGACCGAAAGGATAACAGAACAAGAAGAATAAGAAGAAAATACGGTTTTTTTTCGGATGTATGTGTCCTTCAGTCGTTATTTTCATCATAATCAATCAAGTGCTGTACAACAACAAGAACGAAAGACAATCAAAAAGAAAAGGAGTTTGTGTGTATGTGTGGAAGACAGACAGAGGTGTGATCCGTATGACTTGAATAACTACTGAAGAACATCGGTGATGGTGGCAATCGATTGAAATAATACTTTTGGAAGATAAGTTCATAAATAAGAAAAGGACAGGATGATCAAATATCGTATTGAACGAATGGTAACGATGAATTTTCTTCATTCGATGGTAGATCATTCGAAATCGGTTTACATTCCAATCTACAAACAAAGCAATAAGAATTTCGTTTTTCGGAATTCGAAAATTTCAACATACACAAGATCGAGTAGTGTATTCATCGAATTAGTTAATCCGGATGTGTGTCGATAAAGTGATAAACGTTTTCGTAGAAGATGTGCGATACGCCGAGCTTCATTCAATCGATCTAATAGTTGCAAATAAACTGAACTATCTTCGTGCTGTTGCTTTAGATAGTCTTTCAATGAATCAACGATTTTTTGGTACAGCTCTGTCACCGTTGATGACAATGGTGTTCGATGATAAACATAGTCTAAACGGATAGGATCTTTCTTTAAGAATTCCAATTGAAAGTCCGTACCTGAATTATTTGAATCCAATAGCAAAATCGATGAGAGTGTCGCCGCTAGAATCGAGTCGATCTTATGACTTTTCAGCGTTGATCCAAAATCATAGATGAGTTGTGCAACATCACCAAGTAAATAATTTAGCTGTACTTTATGTACCACAATACCAGAACATAAAACAACACGATCGCCATCGACACGTATGGCTGTACGTAATACAACTTGCTCCAATAGACAATTTGAGAATAAGCGATCACGTTCATTGTTTTGAATGGAATAAAATAGTGAAAATTTATCAACCCATTGTTTAATAATATCGCACGAACGTGTTAAAGCATCATAAACAAGTAGTTTTTCTTCGCATACACTTTCCTTGTTTGACACTGTTCGATACTAAAGTGAAAATCAAATTAATTTGCTGAGAAAGCACAAGTTGACTTACATTCAATTTGCTAAAATCATGATTGGCCGGATTTGGTATGGAATCATTATAGAAACGACAGAATTGAGTTTGAAAGCTATTTGGTTGACGTGTGCTCGGACTTTTGGGTTTCGATGGTAGACGACCACGACGTCCTTTCAATGCGTCCGTTCGAACAACTAAGAAAAGCGTGAAAATGTCGATTTTCGTTTGCCGACAAGTTCCAACATACCTTCTTTATCCATTCCGACAGCAAGACATGTTTGATAGCGACAATATTGACAGCGATTTCGTCGGCGTTTATCTACAGGACAATTCTTATCTGCCAAACATACATATTTAGCATTCTTTTGTACTGTTCGCTAAATAAATATACGAAATAACTTTATTTAGATATCTGATTGAAGAAGATAATCTCCTCCGAGGAGAATTTAACTTACTTTGAAGAATCCTTTACATCCTAGAAAATAGACAAAGAGAAGATACCGAAAGAATAATGAGAGAAAGAAGTGAATGAATTTACCTTCACAAGTTCGAACACCGTAATGCTGACATTGTGCTGAATCTGTAAATCAATCGAGAAAAAGAGCTGCAAACACTTTGTTTATGATAACGAAAAGTTTACCTTGACACACAGCGCATAACTGCGATGGAGAGATTTCCGCATTTGGTGAGACACGTTGGTTACCAACTAATTTAAAACGCATGTCAATACTAAACATCAAAGACATAAATTCACATTAATGCGAAGTGTCTTCTATTTACCCAAAATCATGTTTTAATTGTGAACTATACAATCGCATATGATCAGGATGAGAAACACCATAATGTCCGACAGGGTAGGTCGTTTGTAGAAGGCCTGTTGATGAATAAGATGGATAACCGTTTGCAGCAGATGAATGATACAATGATGAACCGTAATCGTCAACACCACCCAGACCAAAATTGGGATTATTCGAATTGTTTGTTGATCCAACATTGGTCAACGATGACGATCCATTAATGTTTCCTATTGGTAAAAATAAAACTGACTTTCTGTTCTATGATAACGACAAACATACCATAATTACTATGCGGATCGATGGCAAATTGACCCGGCATCATTGTTTCTTGTTTCACCGTTGCCGATATATATCCGGTTGATTGTGGTGGCGATGATGTACTCGCTGTTGATGTTCCATCATATGGACTATGACTACTTGTATTTGTTGTTGGCGTATTATTGCTATTAGTTGAATTGTTAGTGTTGGATGCGTTCGTATTGTTGTGACCTGATTTTGAGTTCAGTACTGATGTATTGTAATAGTCAGCCGCTGATGAATAACCACTACTTGTCGCAAATGAATGCGACGGAGAAGAATCCGAACCGTTAATACCTGTGCCAACAGATGATGGCGTACGTTCTCCATTTGATGCTGATGTCATCGGATGGAGATGTTGCTGCTGTTGGTGATGATGGTGATGATGTTGTGAAACAACATAGTCAAGTGAATTTTGTAAAGCTAAATAATCAGCAGGTACACCGGCATTGGGACCGGTATCATGTGGTGTGATGAAATCGGTGGGAAATGGAGAAAATAATTCGGAGTATGGATTGGAAGAAGAACAATATATAGCTGATGGATGTTGCGAATGATGAGGTGGAAGAAGATGAGGATGAGTTAAGTGATGATGGCCATAAGGATCATTGCTGACACCAAGACCTGCTCCGCTAACGCCAAGATTGTCGGTATTCATGATACGTGCACTAGAATAAAAAAAACACACACAAGAATTACTATTTTTTTCTCATTTCGTTTATCTTTTGAGTTTTAACAGATCGATATTCGTGTAGAAATTAGTAAAGGTCATCTGACGAACATTGACCGGCTATTTATGTTCTTTCTTTCGGTGGCATTTGGCACGTGTTTACTTGCTTATTCTTCTTCCTCTCATCTCGTCTCATATTACTGTTCATGCTCATCATCATTATCACCCAGTAATTTACTTTTCGCATCTTTCTTGTCTTTTGTAATCTCTAGTTAATTAGAGACTTGCTTCTAATTTGACTAGATCTTTGTATGTGTCTACTCGAATGTTTACATTATGTGGGTCTCTCGCATTGTTGATTCTAACAGTATGAACACGTGTTAGCTGCTTTCTCATTCATTAAAGATGATATGGACTCCTGATCTGAAATTATTTCCAGATTTTCTCGTCGACAATGAAAGAACAAAATAATGATCACTACGGAATATCTTCCAGCTAATTTGACGAGCTGACAATGTACGAGCATGTTTTGACGTCTGTATGCGCGGTATGTTCGATGTTTGATGATGATATGTACAGGATATCCGAAAGGGACAGCACGTCTACATAAGTTGAACTGAAACAACTAGTATCCTGTCAACATAGAAACTACTGAACATGCGAATGATGAATGAGAAAACAAATCATGTTCAACATGAAAAAGAAGGTACCGATCAGTTATCTCAGAGACAAGAATGTCAATTTTTTTCCTTTGTTTTTCTGTTTTATTGAACGACAAATGAAGTGCTTTCTTCGAACTTAATTAAATACTCATCTATCATCGTTTCCATCCGAAAAGTTCAGAGAAGGAATGGATTTAGTAAATCTATATGTAGAGATAAGTATATAACAAGTGGACGGAGAGAGGGAAGAAGATGGTCAATTTCTTACATTTACTCATCCTAATTCAATGTTTTTATAATTATTTTATCAAGATCACAGCTAAGAAATTAGTCATGCCGCCAACACGCACACTTCTCAAACTTCATTAAATAAAGTAATGTATACACATGTATCAACTAGTTGAATAAAAACAAGATTTGCCGCTACACAACACATGTGCCAATGATTGACAAACACAAAGTTTTACATCATTTACTTTCTCCGTGCAAGGTGTGACGACACGATGGACATCCAAATATAGAAATTAAATGTAACTAACCTTTGATGTCGCGCAACAATGACGACAGCGGGCGGGTATGTGCCCAAAATGGCATAAAAAGAATGTTTAACATTTTTAGAAATGACGCGACCTTATCGTTATGCATGTACATAAAGACATTCACATAGACAGTGGCCACCAAGAATACGGAGAGAGAAAAAACGAGAAAAAAAAACGACGATATTCTCATTGATAATACATTGACTTTTCGCTTCTAAATATCAGTGAATAGCGCACCGAAAGTTCAGCGTTAGAGCACATGTATATACATCTAGAGACGAGACAGTCGTCATCGTCATTGCTGGTTTCATCGACGAGCGGATACATGGGTATGTAGCACAAAAAACTGAGCATAAGATTTCTTACTGCGACGATTTATCAAATCTTCGAATGGACGCGATGACTAAAAGTTACTCTTGACTATAACTCAATCAAGAGAAACAGACATGATTGGAGAACATTGTGTGATAAACTCATCCAATCAAATCTCATCGTACGATTGATCGATTACGATTACGACCATCGCGCTTCTCGACTGTATGGAAATCTTGGCTACGGAACGCAGAACTACAACACAAGTACGTATTTACAAAAGTTTAAGGAAGATCAGAATCGATTAATTCCTAATAACTATTGGTCATCTTACAAAAGAAGATAATGAAGAAATTCTAAATAAATGTCACTATCTTCTCTCGTTGCTGGTGCTGAATCGTTAATGTCATCGCCATTTTATTTCTCATTTTGATATGTCACAAAATAGTTCTTTTCGTTTCTTCTCCAGTGAACAAATATCATCATCATCATCACAGGTGTATTTAATCAGATGCCAAAATCACATGAGCGAAGCAAGAAAGATCACTTACCTCTAAAGAGCAGAAAACGTTGCTGCTGTGAATAGATGATACAACGTTCGAGACGTATGTATGTGAGGGACTATAAATCTAATGAAAATACCATTTATTCAAAAAGGTCAAAATCAGTTTGAGTGATAAAAACGAGATGTGATGAAGGGAGAAAAAATGCCTATATTATAGAACGAGTTCTCTTCCAGCAAAATGTTCCCGTCTCTTTTTTTACGAAGGGAAGAAGAAGAAGAAGAGAGAGAGAGAGAGAAATTCGCACTTAGGTCTAACTGCGCGTTTCTCTTTCTTCTCTTGTTCTTGTACATTCACATATTTGCATTTTTATACAATAAAAGAAGTGCGCGAGAACGAACGAGTAGGAGAGTGAATATCTGATCTCTTGTATTCTCATATAGCACGATATACGTTGCGAGCGAGTGCCGATGTGTGAATAGAGAAAAAGAAGAAACAGCAGCAGAAGAAAAAAAAAAGAATCCAATGAGAATAAATCACGCTTTTTGCAATATTTACCCACCAATCATCAATGAGTAACAGTTATGACAAAATAGAAAATCCGATTTTCGGATTTCTACGGTCGATTAGAACGAGAGATTCTAATCAACACAAGTTTGTCATTGATAAAGAACAATACGAGTGTCATTGTTACATTTACAAGGAAATGTCAAGCTTACTTGTTGTTGTGTCTCGAAGTTGATCACGTCCTCGAATTTTCATCACTATTTCAAATCGCAAGAGTTACGAAGAGATCGACATACACGTTGAAAGAAAATAACACGAAGAGAGAAAAAGAGATTCATAATATTAACAAAAAAGAAGAAGAACAATCTTTTCGTACTACGTACATACTTGCATATATTCGTTCTTTATTTACTTTGATCCTTTCTTTTGCTTCTCTCTCTCTCTCTCTCTCGTTTATCCAGCTTCTGCACATACGTTCAAGTACAAAGATTAGCATACACCTTCGAATGAATGATGACGCAGCGCAGATTTCACGTTTATTCATCCATCGCAACGTGCTGTCGCGCCATCATCTGAGCTCTTCTTCTAGACAATGATAACGATCGAATTTTGAGCTCATTCTTTTTTTGTTTAAACAAACGACAATGAAAAATCTAGTTTGATGAGAGTGAACACTCCGTGTGTGCGTACATACATTTATGTCAACAGTCTGTGTGTGTACTTCCTCTGTGCGACGAGACACAAATAGATAGAAGAATTGGGTTTTGTGTACTATAGTCTTTATTTCTCATGCAATCAATCTTTTACACATTGAGACGATGAAGTGAGAAGAACGAGATGGATATACCTACCAGTAACGCCAGTAGCATTTGTCCATGATTCAATTTTTTATTTCAAAGATAGATTAGAGAACAACTTCTGACATGAATCGAACGTCAAAATGATCAGGAAGCACGAGTTCTTCCCTTACGAATCGTTAATGATAACATATTCTGCCTACTATTTTTATCCTTATCATCTATCTCTCATTTTCTTTTCTTATTCTGCTCTTAAACATACAATCCAACGTAGCCAATTAACAGATTAATGAGAAAATAATTAAACAAGCATCAACGTCTTGGCTCTTCTTTTGGTTAGTTTGACTATGGACTGTCTTGCTTGAGTGACATAAACAATTGCTTTTTCTTCTTCTCCTTCTGCTATCAGTCATCCATTGATTAATCTGTAAACGATATAGACGAAGCAAAAGAGGAAAAAACCATTTTCCTTTTGTTCATTATACTTGATTTTTCTTCTTCTTTCGCCTCTAGTTTGAAATGGCAAGTTGATTAAATCGGCTAGTGTAATTGAGTATCACACGATCAAACGGGCAGCATCGGAAATGTATACCTCTCTGATTTGAAATGCCATTTTCGAATGAATACACTGAAAACTAATTGCCGTCCAATTTCTCCGCCTTGATTCGGCATACGGCACGCGTCTACTTCAAGCATATCCAATGTCGGTCGATCTCTCGAGAGAAATGGGACACATCCCATATCAGCAAACATGTGTATTCAGATAGATTGGTATTGAACATCATCGCTCGTCGATAGGTTATTAATCGTTGAAGAGAAATGTCTAAACCATCATCACAATTCGTCTTGTCGATCAATATCAGTTGTGTAAATGTAAACGAAGAAGAAAAATGGATCATCAGTGTCTGTTCTCTTGAGACAATCTGCTTTTCGACTTTATGAAATCATCGTCGCGTTTGTATTGATGACGAAATAGTTTGATTGAATAAAGTAAAGAGCAAATATTCGAGATTCACATTACAAAGGCGGTTCACGGCTGAGTAACATGACGATTGCGTATGCGTGTCTAGAACAAACTCTCTCAGATCGAATTACTAATGATTTTCCGTTGATCACGATAAAAATTGGATTGATCAGCGAAGAGAAACGGCAAATATGACACATAATTGTGGAATTCTCGATGAGTCATATTCATGTCAAAAGAAGTACAAGTGTGATTTATAACGATCGACTGTTTTGATCATCAAATAGATTGAGAATATTTATTTAGTAGAATTAAGTATGCAGAAGATTTTCATACTTCATCTTGGACAAACACAACAATAATCATTTCAGATTTCGTTGCCGATCACACTTTATGACTTGTCCTCACTTCAATCTCTCCTACTTGATATGCAAAAGTGTTCGACAATTCCGAATGACCATCGGATGTATAGACACGTATATGTTGACAATTTATGACGACCAACAGACAAACAAAATAAGAAATGTGTATTAAATGCTGCTCAGTTCATCCATTGCATACTTTATTCGATTCAAATTATGATCGAGGTGTCATGACTGCTTGATACAATGTTTGTTCGGAATGATCGATGAATGATAAACTCATGTGTGTCGTGTTTACTTCAACCATAGCGAAGCCACCATAGACTTTCGAACCTGCCCAAAAGAATTTCAATGCATCAGCTGGAACGTCTTGTGCGTGTTCTTGACTAGGATCGATAAAGTTTGCAGCACCAATCACGAAATAATTCATATGCACTCCATCCATATCATTTGCTAAATGCTTAAAAGATTGAAAAGAACGAATGAAGAAAAAGAACAAATCTAACGAAAGATATTCACTTGAAGATTGTGATCATGTCCACAGAAATATGCCGTGACGTGATATTGATGTAACATTGGACGAAGACGATCAATAAGACATTGAGTGGGACCGTGTTCAGCAATTGAATAGACTGGAAAGTGACCACTGACAATTAAATATGGAGCACTGAAGATGATTTCTTGAAAGATAGTTCATTTGATTGAGATACGAAAGCTACTCACGTTGATTGACGAAGTTCACCTTCAATCCATTGCCAATAGGCTTCAGCAACAACTTCATTCGCTGGCCCTTCCAATGGTCGATGATCCCAGTCGGAGAGCGAATCTCCTCCACATAATAAAACAGTATCAATCATGACAAAGTCGATCAATTTTTTTTGTTGATCACCTTGCCACAATGAAAACGAATAGAAATAATCCGGAAATATCCTATTTGTAAAGTACATTAATCATTAGAGATAGAAATGAAGGCTATTCAAGTACTGACCATCGTTTCGATGTTTTCCCATATTCGATTTCGGCAGAAACATTACCTCTATGGTCATGATTGCCCGCTAAGACGTACCATGGGGTTTGTAACGATGTGGCCGAAAAGACGTGCTCAAATGTATTCTAGAATACGGCAGCCATTTGCACTCGCATCATTGCAGCAAAAAATGCATCATTACCTGGAATCGTGAATCATTTGCGGATTGCACACCATCGTAGTAAAAATTATCGCCTAGGGCTAACTGAAAAGTTGTATTCAGTTTTACGCCTAATTTGCCCATAGCATCAGCTACAGCCACTTCGGACGGCGTATCAAATGGTGAAACAGGCAAACCGCCCCAGTCACCAACGACGAAGAATCGTGTCGTTCCATCGTCGTTTTCTTTTGCTACCAAATCATATCGACCTACAAGACGAACGCTTCAGTCTACACGCAGTTCTGCTTTTCTCTAGGAAAGCCTCCTACCAAAAGTAGCTGGAAAGGCGATGGAAATCTGATAAGAAACAACGAGATGCACGAGAAAGACTAGCAACATGATTGTGAATAGCGGCTACACTAAACAAATGCGTATTTTTGTCCGAAAGATACAAATATATATATATACATATTCGAAAGATAAACAGAGATAACCGAAATAGATTGCTGCATGTTCTAGATAAGGTTTTGAAACGAGAAAAGGTTTCTCATAGAAAATTATCATATCTTTGTTTATTTGTTATACAAAAAGAAGTATCACAATTTAGAATCGTGGTTTTAAACTTGTTTGGTACAAAGTTTTTTCTAAACGGTCAATAAAAGAGAAGTTCATTTGTACATTATCGACTTCGACTAATCCGAAACCACCATACACAAGAGATCTACCCCAAAAGAACTTCAATGAATCAATTGGAACATCTTTTTCATGATCATGATTATTTGAAATGAAGTTCGCAGCACCAACAACAAAGTAATTCAATCGTGAGTCACCCATATCGTCAATTAAATGCTACAAAACTTCAAAATCAGCGATGCAATAATGCATTTCTATTTACCTGAAGGTTGTGGTCATGTCCGCAGAGATATGTTGTCGCTCGGTACTGATGAAGTAACGGTCGAAGACGTTCAACAAGACATTGAGTAGGACCATGCTCAGCTACTGAATACACTGGATAATGGCCGCTGACGATCAGATACGGCGCACTGAAAAAGCCGTATCAACTAGTGACATGACTTTCATAGAGATCCTCACGTTGATTGTCGAAGTTGTTCTTCAATCCATTGCCAATATATGTCTGCTACGAATGAATTTTCTGGGCCTTGTAGTGGAGCATGCTCCCAATCGGATAGGTTCCCCCCACCGCAGAGTAACACCGTGTCTATCATGATGAAATCAATCAACTTCTTTTGCTGATCATTCTGCCATAACGAGAACGTGTAGAAATAATCCGGGAATATCCTAGGCAACTAGACTAGAATAAAAACTGGCAATCGTTAACGATTTGCTTACCATCGCTTTGATATTCTACCATATTCAATCTGCGCGGAAACATTGCCTAGATGATCATGGTTACCAGCTACAACATACCACGGTGTTTGCAGCGATGTCGCCGAAAAGACATGTTCGAATGTATGCTAGAGGTGCACAGTTAAGCCTGATCTAACTTGAGAAGTATCTTACTTCAAACCTCGTATCATCTGCTTCTTTGACACCATCGAAATAGAAGTTATCTCCTAATGCTAGTTGAAAACTAGTATTCAATTTCTGTCCTAAGATACCCATGGATTTAGCAACGGCAACTTCAGCTAACGTTTCATATGGACGAAATGGTATACCACCCCAATCAGCAACGACAAAGAAACGCGTGATTCCATCATTAGTGTTTTTCTCAGCAATCAGATCATGTGGACCTGTAAAATGCTAAGTGGTCAGTTGATCAGATCGTTCAAATATATCTACCGAGATTAGATGAAATCACAGTTGTGATTTGATAAATAACCACAAGAGAAAAGAAAAACATCGCATACGCCAACGAATACAAAGGGTAACACTTATATTTCACCGTTAATAGTTGAATAAACAAAAAATGATGAAGATGAATAATTGCAAACGAGAAAAATCATCGCTACTCCGATGTTTTTCCAATTGGATTCTTTGCATTTCATCAGCACTGAGTTGTTACTCCCTCTGTTTAATAAATGACGTATTTATAGCGCTACCGGTATATTCGTTCTGCACAGCGAAAGTAGCGCTATGAGTGTTCGTATAAAATCGAAGGTTGTTTCGAATCTTCTTAGTACCAATGGACGATCTGCGTCGGTTTTGCCAGCTACTTCCTAAAATTGAGCTTCATGCTCATCTGAACGGTTGTATTCGTACATCGACGTTCCGCCAACTACTTTCATCAACAGCGGACCAGCTTCGTCTAGATGCATTGGACAAGGAGTTTCAATCGGGTGACACACATGCGAGAATGGCAAATGTGTTTGAAAAATTTGCTTTACTTCGTTCATGTGTAACAAATTTGGATGAGATTCGTCGCATTACACGTGAGACACTCGAAGATTTCATTGCCGATCATATCATGTACGTGGAATTACGAACTCGACCACGTTCGTTCGATAATGGAGCGATTCCGATGTCAAGTTATGTCGAAGCTATCTTAGAAACTATGAAACAGTACAAAAATCAAATATGCTCACGGTTAATTCTAAGTATTGATCGAACACAAACCGTCGATCAAGCCATGGAAACACTGAAATTAGCAGAGAGATATCGTCCAGATGTAGTTGGCCTCGATTTATCCGGTGATCCAAATGTTAAATCATTCGAACGTTTTCTTCCGGTATTCAATCTAGCCAAACAAATGAATTTACCCACCACCATTCATATCGGTGAATTACCTGATGCCGAGTGCTTACGTGAGAATGATCTCATCCTTGATTTCAAACCCTCACGTCTTGGCCATTTTAATTTTCGTACGAAAGAACAAGAGCAACGTGTGATTAAAGAGCAAATTCCTTTGGAAATATGTCCAACATCGAACCTATTAACCATGAAGTTAGCGAACTTAACAGAGCATCACTTTAACTTATTCCATACGCATAGACATCCATTGGCAATCTGTACGGATGATAGTGGGTTGATGGACTGTCGTTTATCATCAGAAATTTTTGATTTGGTTCAATCATTTCGTATAACTAAAGAAGAAATCTGCGAATTAATGTTACAAACGTGTAATTTCATTTTTGATAGGAACCAGATTGAATTTTGTCAAACAAAATTAAACGAGTTTCTATCAAACATCTAATTTATTTCTAGATTGCTATGTTTTGATCAAATTAGATGAGTATATTCCGAATCAGCCACCGAATCCTGCCAATTTCGGCTATTGGTAAATTCATACATTCGAACTTTACCTCTATGAACATGTTCAATTTGATATTTAGGCAGAACAACAGCCGCGATCGCACTGAAATCTCATCCTCAATATGCGAGACATATTACACCGATTGATCCCAATCGTTTGCTCTTGCTATCTTCGATGCATATTCGTTCCTTTCATTCATCATCGATCCTATATGATGATAAATCGAAAATAGAAAAAACCGTCGATTTGTTAAAAGAGAAAGCCGAGAAGGACAAAGCCCAGCTAGCAGCGTCCGCTCCGTCAACCACTGCGAGTCCAACGGTTGCAACGACCACAATAACTGCAGGCGATCAAGTCGTCCCGAAACGTAAATCGCTTTGGGAACGAATTGTTCACGAATTAAAACATTATTATAATGGGTTTAAACTATTATTCATCGAAACGAAGATCGCCTTTCGACTCTTAAGACAAGTTCTAAACGGTCACACGTTAACACGACGAGAACGAAGACAGGTACTTGTCAATCATGGAAAAGATAAGAAAGAACCTGATTTCGTTTAGTTTACTCGCACTTCTGCTGATTTATTTCGATTGGTTCCATTTTCTGTCTTTATCATCGTTCCATTCATGGAATTTACATTGCCAATCTTTTTGAAACTTTTTCCAAATATGTTGCCAAGTACATTCAAAGAGGCGAATAAAGAGGTAAAGAACGACTTTCGATAAGGAAAAACTTCAATGCCGGCTTTTCTTCTAGCAAGAAAAGTTGAAGAAACAATTGAAAGTCAAATTAGAGGTAGCAAAATTTCTTCAAGATACTTTGGAAGAAACAGCTTTGAAATCGACAAAGAAACGTTCGGACGACACGTTAACGAAACAATTCGCTGAATTCATGCAAAAGGTAGAAGAAGACTTACTGAAGCAAACAATCTAGACGTTCTTGTTCGATTTAGATTCGTTCTACCGGTGTTCAACCATCAACAGAAGATATTATGAAATTTTCTTCTTTATTCGAAAATAAATTAACATTGGATAACCTCGACCGTCCACAACTAGTTGGCTTATGTAAACTTCTTGGCATATCGACTATCGGTCCCGATTATTACTNGTGTTCTCCATGTCGAAATGTATGTACAGTAAAAATTTCAGGTCTCTATCACATTGTTCTGAAGAGATATTACGAAAATACTGCATGTGGGCGACCGCTGAAAAAATTCAAAAATTGATAAAATTCCATTTTTAGTGCTTTCAGTAAATTTCGTGTATCTCAGTCAAAGTTCAAGCTTTAGGGCTAAAAATTTGGAACTATGCCTAATAAAATACCCTCTACAATATGGGATAGATGCCGGTAAAATCGGCGACATCGATTGAGCAGCTATATTGAGAAATTGGTTGTCCCTCTCGTGCATTGACTCATAGGAGATCACTGGTATAGGTATTTGATCCAAAATGGACTGATCGATGTGGGATGGTATATTTAGCAGAGCGCTGAAGTGATCTTTCCAACGCTGTAGTCGTTCCTGCGAGTTCAGAATGCTTTTTCCTTGCAGATCGAGGATAGGCAGGTTTTCGATATTGGTTCGACCTCCTTTTATTCGCCGTGTCATCGCATAGGCCGTTGCTGGATCATGCTGCTTGATTGCTGATTCAATCTCGATGCTGGTTTCGTCCCAATATTCGATCTGACGTGCTTCAATGCGCTTTTTTGCCTTGTTGCGCAGGAGGCGGTATTTGCTTCGGTATCGACGCTCTTGATTGGTACCACGATGATTTTGCCATTCAAGGAAGGCTTTGGCTTTCATGTCGACGATTTCCAATATTTCATCGGTCAGCCATTCCTTCTGTTTTCGGTTATTGTCGTCCAATTTGAAGATGTTTTGGCCAATGTTGTTAATATGCGTTGCGAATTCCGAGTATTTAGCATTGATTGTCACGTTATTTGGGTCCGTTGTTGATGGACGATTCATGAGTTCGGCCTGGAAAGCTTCGATACAGGCACCATTTTTCAGCTTTTTTATATCCAGACGACCACATCGTTGTTTTTGTCGTTTTCTGCGGCTTTTCAGGTGGAGTTTGAGCTTGGTCACGAGTAGGTGATGATCCGTTCCTATCGTACCTGCAGCCGCCCTATGCACACGCACAGCCTCAACGCTCGATCTGAACTTACGATTGACGAGAGTATAATCGAGTGTGTGCCATTTCTTGTTTCCAGGATGCATCCAGGTGGTTTGATGTATGGGTTTGTGCTGGAAGAATGTATTGGTAATGATGAGGTCGTTTGCTGCACAAGTCCACCAGTCGTTGCCCATTTTCATTGATGTGATCAGTTGTATGTGGGCCAACCACATTATTACTGGTGTAGTTCTGTTGTTTTCCAATTCTCGCGTTGAAGTCACCCATGATTAATAAGAGGTCTTTTGATGGGACCGTACTTAACGTCTGCTGTAGATCGGTATAGAATTTGTCTGATGCTGTAGCAGCGGTTTTGTTATCGTTGGGATTGACTGGAGAATATACGGCGATGATCGTGACATTTACGGGTGTTCCCTGTAGTCGCACCATGACGATTCGTTCGTTGACTGCTTTCCAAAAGGCACCGATGTTTTCCCACGCCATCGTTGCTTGTTTACCAAGACAGATGGCCACTCCATGTGCGGATCTTGTCCTGTTCTCGCTGGTAAGACCTGAATGAATCATTGTGTATTCACCCACTGTTGATACACCTGTGTCGTAGATGGCCGTTTCGCTCAGAGCAGCCACTTGTATGCGGTGTCTTTGCAGTTGTTTGATAATGAGTTGTTTCTTCGCCATTCAAAAACACGATCGTACATTCCATCCACCGAAGAACGTTGTTTTACGTGCGTTGATGCACTGTTCATGATCTTTTTCGTTAGCCAGTAAAGTTTTATGTCCCGTTGATAGGGGGCTAGCCTGACAACAAGACGGTGTGGCTACCAGCAGCCCAGGGGCGCCTCCCAATGCTGCATGCAGCTCCGGGACCCTGTAGATGTCAATGACATCCCTGGCAGGCGGCACAGGAATTGATGCGAGTAATATGATAAGCTTCGCGTAAATTTCATTTCTAAAGTATATCTATGTGATTATATATTGACAGTAATGATACGATTTACTTAACTCAGCATTTCAATTAACATGGCTTCGGTCTCAACTAAAATATGTATTTCGAAACTAAATTGCTTATCGATCAGCACAAAAATGAGAGTTGATGTTTCCTTTAAATGATGATGTAGTTGAAATCCTACTTCTTGAGGCAAACAAATCCAACGTCAAAGACTATGTCTTATTCATTAGCTGATATAGATAAATGGGTTCATAACCGTCGATACATCGCTGTCCATAGTATAAGAAACATGCATTCCATGAAGCTGTCGAAGCAATTTATAGAAATGAAGTTTTACATGAGAAACGACTTTTTTTTATAAAAACGAGGGATACTAAATAAAAAAGCAGAAATATCGCACTCATAGTTTTCAATATTTCATTTAACTGCAATAAATGATGCCGAAAAGGCCAGCAGTGGCAAAGTTCTACAATAGCAGAATTCTAGAATTTTGCTAAAATGTATAATTATTAGTTTCTTATTTAACAAGTATAAGAAAAACAAAATTCTTCAGAAAACTACTTCTTTACATCAGAATTGTGCATCTACGCGTGTCGACTGTAGTATGAATATAAAAGATCTAAGCAGAATTGTTTTTCACAGCAGAATTCATCCAGAATTTTGGATTCTCTACAGAATTATGCAACTACATGTGTCGATTGTAGTATGAATATCAAAAATCTAAGCAGAATTATGTTTTTCACAGCAGAATTCATCAAGAATTCTGGATTCTCTACAGAATTATGTATCTACACATGTCGATTGTAATACGAATATCAAAAATCTAAGCAGAATTATGTTTTTCAAAGCAGAATTCATTCAGAATTCTGGATTCTCTACAGAATTATGTATCTACACATGTCGATTGTAATACGAATATCAAAAATCTAAGCAGAATTATGTTTTTCAAAGCAGAATTCATTCAGAATTCTGGATTCTCTACAGAATTATGTGTCTACACATGTCGATTGTAACACGAATATCAAAAATCTAAGCAGAATTATGTTTTTCACAGCAGAATTCTGGATTCTCTACAGAATTATGTATCTACACATGTCGATTGTAACATGAATATCAAAAATCTAAGCAGAATTATGTTTTTCACAGCAGAATTCATCCAGAATTCTGATTCTCTACAGAATTATGTAATTAGCGGCACCTTTAAATTACATTTCGTCTTTTGTAAAATTTATTTTGAAATATAGTGTAAACAGTTTAAATATGCCAGAAATGCGAAATGCATTGATTTCTTCTATTATGATGAAAGAGGCAACTTAGAAAATGTTGATGATTTTCTGATTCGTGTAGTAGTACAATCTGATAGGACTATGTTTAAGAGAATCGAAAGATCATATAGTATTCCGTGAGATCAATTGAAAGTGAATAAGACGTTGGNTAAACTTCTTGGCATATCGACTATCGGTCCCGATTATTACTTACGTTTTACTCTTCATATGAAACTACGTAACCTCGAAGCTGATGATAAATTAATTCATGATGAAGGAATTGAAAATCTTGATGTCGAAGAGCTACAAGCTGCATGTCGTGATCGCGGTATGCGTTCGTATGGTGTAAGTGTTGAACGTTTACGTTCGCAACTCCAACAATGGCTTGATCTTCACCTGAATAAACGTATTCCGTCGACAATTTTACTTGTATCACGTGCGCTTTACTTACCGGAAAATATTCCTCAAGAAGACATACTCAAAGCAGCTATTCAATCGTTACCTAAAGCTATCGATAGTGTGACGGCTGTGAAGATCGCTGAAGTGAGTGGTGAACGTGTCGATAACACCCAACGTATCGAGGCAATTAAACGTGAAGATGAAGCTATTCGAAAAGAAAAGGAAGAGAAAGACAAAGATAAGAAAGTATCGGAAGAAGAGCTCAAGAAGAAGAAACTTGCTGAACAAGTCGTAACACCAACTATACCGGCGGATATTCGTAAGAGTGAGATTCTTGTCGACAAAGCACCCGTACTTGCCGATGCGAAGAAGAAAGACGATCAACATATTGATGTCGGACAATTCGAAACTGCTCTTGAACAACTAGTTAGCCAAAAAGCACAGGAAGTTCACGCAACTGTGGAAGAAATCAAAGAACTCAAAGTAAGTCAGTCTGGCTTTTCGTCAAACAGAAGATATGATTTGTATTTCTAGGATGATGTCAAAGAGTATAAGGAAGATGTGAAAGAATTCGAAACATTGGCAGCTAGTAAACACTTGAAACATTTGAGCGAAACACGTTCTGCGAAGGCACTTTCCAAACGTATTGATAAACTCGTCGGCGATCTTGATCAAATTGTCAACACCTTGGACAAGAAACAAGATTCATTGAAGAAGGATATCAAGGTTTGTTGTGTATTCGAATCATCGACTTTCATTTTGAAGAAAAAACAAAATGTATTTTAGTCGAAAGAAGATAAATTAAAGGAAGAGATCGGTATGAAAACGGATCAAATCCAAGAGCATAAAGATTTTCTAACCGAGAAAAAGTTCGTTGATTTGATAATTTATTTTTCGACGCCAATTTTCGTTATTCTGCAGAGAAATACTCGTTTCAACACAAGAATTGGTCAATACCATTCGACAAATTCAAAAAGTATCCAACCAAAGCCTCGATCCTCAAGTGTGGGATATAATCAATCAATTCGATCATAACAAAGACGGTTTTATTGAAGTTGATGAAATCTTAAAAGTAATTTTATTCCAATGTAAATCTATTCGAAGGAAAATCTTGTTTTCTCATTAGGCACTCGAAATCATTGAAAATGAGAAAGTGCAGATTTCGAAGAAACATTTGAAAGAAATCATCGATCTTGTTCGTAAGGAACACATGATTGAAGAAAAGGAAAAGAAAGAAGAAATGGAAGCGAAAACAAAGCAAGATACATCAACGCCTGCTAAGAACGTTTAATTCCTTGATTTATTTATATATTTTTCAATCTAGCAAAAATGTCCTCGTTGTGTTTTCTTTTAGTTTCAAATATCCATGAACTCTCACTTTCTCACTTCGCTTTGATTATTCATTGTTTTTTAGATGGACTTTCAGGAAACTATACAAGAACTCATCGAATGTCTACAACTGAATCTTTTCTATGAGAATTTTACAAAAGATCAAATTGATCCGTATTTACTCAATTGTTTACAGTCCGCTCGAGATTTATTAGCGAAAAATGCCGAACCAATTGAGAAAATAAAGCTCTATTTAAAAATCGTTCTTGAATACTCATGGGAGAAACTCAATACAGGCATTTGGCAGAACGTCAAGCCAGCCTATCGATATCTGTATGCATACGCGTGTTACATCGATGTTCTTGCTGATTGTAGGACAATAATTGGTACTAATTGTCAAGTTAAGGTAAAGAAAACGTTCCTTTGGATGTTGAGGATGAAGATGTTTTTGCTTTTTAGTAGGATATCGTGAAGAAATGTGATTTAGGAATCTTACTTGGAGGACCTATACTCGAAGAACAGTTCAACAGATTGATTGCTATGATCAATGAAAACCTTAAAAATGTCAGAGGCGATGAATCGGTATAGTAATCTCGTTTGTTACGCATAGTTTGTGTGCATTATAGTATGTTTTAGAATGCTGAACTTTCACCATCGAAACGAATTCGTCTCGACGAAGATGACGACACTGAGAAAGATTTCAATTGGATGCCAATACCAATTCTTGATCCAATAAAGGATATCGAACGCGTTCATTGCCCTTCGATCGAACAGTTTCTCACGTGTTATATTCAAGCGAAAAAGCCGGTGATTCTCGTCGGATGTATGGATCATTGGCCAGCGATGCAGAAATGGAGGTAGAGACATAAGTGACAAAGTGATCTGATAATGGATTTGGTATTTCTAGCTTCGATTATTTGATTCAGTTAGCGGGTGACCGAACAGTACCAATCGAATTGGGTAGTCGTTATTCCGATGATGATTGGACGCAGAAATTAATGACAATTGCTGATTTTGTCAATCAATACTGTAAACAAAGAGTAAGCTTTGTATTTGCAATAGGAAGCCAAATATGCGAATATTTTAGTCATCAAGACGTGGTTATCTAGCTCAACATCCTCTACTAGATCAAGTACGATGAAATGATGTCGTTTTTAACCAAATGTCTATTTGACTAGATCATTTAGATTCCTGATTTGAAGAAAGATATTTGTATACCAGATTATTGCTATATCAGCTCCGATGAAAATGAAGACGAAGACATCGATCTCAATGCGTATGCTTATCATTTTAATGATTCATTTTATTATATACGAATTCGTTTATAGATGGATTGGACCAAAGCAGACTATTTCGCCATTGCATAATGATCCAAAGCAAAATCTGCTTGCACAGGTTGTAGTATTCCTCAGACAGAGTAGTCTTACAAATAACTTCATGTCTATGCAGGTCGTCGGAGAGAAATACATTCGACTATACGATCCAATCTACTCCTCGCAATTATATGCACTTGGTTCCACCATGTTAAACAATACCAGTTCGGTGCGTACACGCAGCAAAGGTTCATATTTCTTCACAATATACCATTTGTCTGCTTAGATTGATGTCGAGAATCCAGATTATGAACGTTTTCCTCTGTTTAAAGATGTTCCTTATCTTGAATTCATACTTAAACCTGGTGACATGCTTTATATGCCCGCTCGCCATTGGCACTATGTTCGTTCTCTTTCGCCTAGCTTTTCTGTGAATTTTTGGTGGACATAAGTAAATCAGATATGTTTCAATTCTATTTATTTCAGATATGACAGAAGAGAATTTACCGAAAGATGAAAATAACACGAGCGATGACGAAATTCGACCAGACTTGGCAAATACAAACTCAACAGGAGAAAATAGTAGTGATGATAACTTGAACGACGACGAAGAACTCGATTTCTATGATTTCATCGAAGTTGTTTCGGATAAATTTGATGATATAACCACTCAAAGTAAGATTTGAACAAGAATTTCGTTTGCTCGAAAAACAAATTGATTGTTAAATAGTCGAAGAACGACGAGAGGATTCTCGAAAACGTTTACGACGAACTATTGATGAACTCGAAGCTCAAAAACGTCTTTTAAAAGCTCAATTACAGCAACGTATCAATGTATGGTCGGAAAACATCAAACAACCAAATTTTATTCGTACTCGAGATAAAATCTCGTTTTCAATCGGAGTAGCGAATGCTTGTTTTTCCCCATTGATCGGTATAGAACATGGAATTGCTTTTTAAATCAACGAGATTCTCCTTCACTTTTCATTTTAGCCGGACGTTGGCCTCATATTTTACCGCTCGTCTACACCTATCAAGCCTTATTCCTCATTACACTTCGGTTCTTCATCTACAAACGTAAAAGTTGGCACTATTTTGGTAAATTCCCATTTCTTCACTTTTTACAATAAAACATTCTCATATTCTCAGTCTACGATCTATGTTACTTTGTCAATCTACTGACCTTACTCTACTTATGGATATTTCCATCATCAAAAATTCTTTTTACTGTTTGCTATACCTTGAGTCATGGACCATTGGGCTTCGCTATAGTTCTGTGGAGAAATTCACTTGTTTTTCATAGTAAGTCATTTCTCTCGATATATATGTGTGTAACATATATTTTGTCTCCTTAGGTCTTGATAAAGTCACCAGTTTATTCATTCACATGTAATTCTCGTCTATTGCTTTGATTCATTCACGTTTTTCGTTGGATTCTCATAGGTATCCACCATTAACATTGTTTACACTGCGTTGGCTTTTACCAATCGAGCTTCAGCGTGAACGTTATCCAGCGATAGTTCACATTGGTGAAACGCTTCATACGAAAACCGCTGTTTTCTATACGATTATCTTTTATCTAATTTGGCAATTGTTGTACTATGCGTTTATTATTTACGGACGTCGTGATAAAGTAGCACGAGGTCTACGTGCAACGTCTTATACATGGTTATTATCAGATAAGAATGGTTTTGTTTCACGTCTTATACAAAAATTTGGCTTCGGCGAGACCAACGACGGAATCAATCGATATAAAATCGTTTTTTATTTCTTTTTACAATTTGCCTATATGTTGCTGTCAATTTTACCAGTTTGTTTTTGGTATTACCGAAATATGTAAGTAGACAAGAGGCGTGCACACGGTTGAAATCTTCCATTGATTTGGTATAATGATATTTTTAGGTATGTGAATGTTATTTTTCTTTGTTCAATCTTTGCAGTTAGTGTTTATAATGGTGCTTCCTTTTACATTGGTAAGAGGTTTATTTTGTTTCATATCTCATCAGTTGAATTCGATTTTGTTTAGATGTTTTCTCACATCGATATATCAAAAGTCTTGAATTGTTACGTGACTGTGACGAAAATGAAGGTACGGATGGTACACAACGAAAATCAGCTCAGATATCATCTAATACCATTGATGCCGAACAGAAAAAGCAATCATAAATGGCAATGGATCTCATCTATTCTCTAGTTAGACCATTTTGTGTTCATTCCAATAAAATCTATTACATTGGTTCATGTTTTTTTTTCATTCATAATTCATATTCCAATTAAATTGAATAATCGAACAAGTTGTTTTTTGTTTGCAATTTCTTATCACAATTTCAAAATCATATTTTTATTTAAAACTGATGAGACTACAACAAGAGAGAAAAAAAACGAAAGAACAACAGCAACAACAATTACATATCACTGTACGTAAATTCAACTTAACAAGAAAACAAAAGAGCATATGTATATGACGAGAATTAACCAGTAGTTAAGTAATTTAGTGTAGCTTGGACATACAGACACAAGTATTGGAAATATTTCACGCATAATTTCCAAGCTAGACTTGGTGGCAACGTATTTGTGAGCAAATAGCCAAGAGTTAGACCAATAACGAATATGGTTAGAGTAAAGAATAGTTTCGACGAAAATGTTTGACGAAGAGGAGCATCGTCGGTTTTATGTGTAGATGGTATTGGCTCGGTTGTCGATGTAATCTTACGTTGTCTGAAGAGAGAAGACGATGGCTCTTCGGCGGGTTGAACGCGATTTGGAAAAGTTAATAATCGAGTTGGCACTGTCTGCGGTGGTATTAGCATAGTAGGATGATGATTCACATTGAAAAGATAGTTGTGGTTAGATGTGAAGATGTTTGAAGGAACTTGTTGACAAGAAGAATCGGTTTGTTCAGTCCATAGATTATCACGAAGTGTGGAAGCAGCGTATCGAAAACGAGACCATAGCTGAGCTTGTTGTTGACGAAATAATGGAGAATGATTCAGTGGAGAGAATGCATTTGTGTCGAACATGTTCGCGGAAAATGATGAAGGAATCGGACGTTGATAATGGCTATTTGTTTCTCGACTTGGCCAAAGACAATTTTTGTTTACTAAATTGAACAAATATTGATTTTATTCTGGAATTTCTCGAAGGGAAACTCTTACGCCGTCCTTCGTCTAGACTGCAGCTTTCAAATCGATCAGCTAATATATTCACACCGTCCAATGGCGCAGTTGATATTCTAAAATAATTCACATGATCAAGTTGTTTCTTTGGTAAATAACTAACCGCTCATTAGTTGATTCTTGCTTGGGAAAAAGAATAGAAGTCGTATTCAGATTGTTCGTTAATGCCGATGCCATTCCTGTGAATACATCCACGCTACGTCGTACTGTTGATTGACGTTTTTGTGATGGTGGTGGCGATGATAGTTGCACCGGTGTCAAGGATTTTTCCAATGCTTTTGCTCTCGATCTTGTTAAAGGTGGTTCAATACGGTTGATTGTTTGTTTGTTCGATGTAGAATATGATCGCTTTTCCGCCGGATATCGTGGCGGTGGTCTTAGATCAAATTCCGAATCACAATCAGATAAAAAACTATGTCGAGAACTCTCATCATCGGATGCAATACTACAAGCTGAATTCCAAGTCATTCTTCGGTTTTTATCTAGAAGATTAAAGCATTTTCGCGAATTAATTGATATTGTTGAAAAAGTAGACTCATGTCGAAGATAGATTAACATAACAATAGATAAATAGACGAAGTTTATCAAACAAAACACGGTTATTACACCTAATTTCATTTTACTTCACGTAGAAATTCAGTTCAATTTTACTCTGTTCTTATACATATCGACCTTCTTGCCAATGATATAAGCCAATGGTAGGCGTCGCTGTACGCCAGATACCAGTCACTTAAGAAGAACGCTATGATAACGTACAATAATATATTCACAGGACTATAAACATGTTTGAAAAACATTGGTAGTGTTTTAGCGGATTGAACTTTTTTCTCGTCAAAATACTTCGTTTGATGACAATACACCGAGATTATAAGTCAACACAAATATGTCTTTATTGAATTTTTTCAATCAAAAAGTCAGGACTGTTTTTCTGTGTGTTTTACTCTTTATTACGGAAGACAACTGATCAACAATTCTATCGTGTTCAGTAAACAGTTCTTCCATTGGTCTGCACGAGCAAAGTATTCCATACAACTTCATGTATTATTTGCTTCATCCGGTAGTTTGATAACTTAATAATGAAGTATTGTTGTTTACATTATCACTTCCGTCTGAAGTTAAACATAGGACAAACTTATAAAATTAATCGAATTTTACCCTCCCCGTACTCACTTTCATCAGACTCACTCGCAAATATTATTGGACACACCTCGAAGTCTTATAGATCTAGATCACGATTATAGTACAATGCTATCCCTGGATAGCTTCACTCTGTGTATCATCATTCTGATTATCGGCGTCCGAGTAGAAGGTAACATTTTGAACTGACTGTTCAGACATTTCCTTTCATCAATCTTGTTTGCTGTACGTTGTCCCTTCTGTAGGCACATCCGTTAATCGACCTAAGCTTTGTTCTTCAGCAACATGGAATGCGTCAGCAATCACGTTTGCAAATAGTAACACGGTTGGCGGAAGTTCATATGCAATGTTCATCAACAGAAACAATACGATTTACGTAGCCGTTTCTCAGTATAATGCCATTCAAGTTTGGACTACTGGTTCTTCGGCGCCAGTAACAGTATTTGTTCGAAATTCTAGCAATCCGCTCAGTCTGTTTGCTACAGATGGTGATACTATTTATGTCGACGATAACAGCCTTTATGTGACTAGTTTGCAGCTAAGTCAACCGAAAAATAGTTCATCATTATACACCGGTGGAAGATGCTATGGCATTTTTCTTGACAAAAACAATTCACTTTACTGTTCTTTAAACAATAATCATATGGTCATCAAACGATCATTGAATAGTAGTGATTATCAAATGACAATTGTTGCAGGTGAAGGATGCTATGGATTTACGGGTAACAAACTCTATAATCCCATGGGGATCTTCGTTGATGATGATTATAAATTATATGTGGCTGATTACCAAAATCACCGAATTCAGCTTTTCCAACCAGGAATTGCTAATGTGACGACAGCAGCTGGGAATGGCGCGCCTGAAACAATTACACTATATTACCCTACCGATGTCATGGCTGACGCTGATGGATACATATATATAGCAGACTATGGCCATTATCGTATTGTCGGATCCAATTCTCACGGCTTTCACTGCGTAGCTGGATGTACAGGCTCAAGTGGTTCTGCATCTAATCAATTAGCCACTCCATGGATCATGGCGTTTGATGTTTATGGAAATATTTTTGTTACCGACACTAACAACAGTCGTGTGCAACAGTTTCTTTTGGCTACGAATTCTTGTGGTAAGTGTGAGGAGACGTTTATAGAACCATCCCTAAGATTTTTTAGATCATTGCTTCTTAATACTGTTCATATTGATTTAGATGCAACAACTGCCGCATATCAAGCGTCGACACCATCTGGTAATACCGGTAAGTGAAAGCTGTACGTGCTACATTTTATTCCGGGTATCACTTTATTAGCAAATATCCAGTTCATTCCTCGACAATCAGGTATGTACTCGCTTTCTCGCGCAAAGTCTCATCCATCTCTGAAATTGATGCTAGAATAGATCGCAATGTTTATTGTTGTTCACCCTCTCGCTTATCTATGAGACTACTTTGGTAATCAGTTAGCATTCACTGCCTAAATGATAGTTTAGCACATTGAGTCCAGTCTGAAAAATATTTTTTTCTCACTTTGATCATGTTTAGGCATCTCCTATAACAGGCCAAAACTCTGCGCGAACGCATCGTGGAATGCAAATGCAACTACATTAACTGACTCTAGTCTGATGGGTTCGATTCCAACAACTGTGTTTGTCGACACTAACAACACGGTCTATGTTCGAGATGCCTACTCTCAGATTATTCAAATGTGGTTTCAAAGCAACATCACACTGACCAAGAATATATCACAATCTTCGAGCTACTCTTACGGTCTTTTCGTTACCAGTTCAGGAGACATTTACAGTGATAATGCCCTACGCAGCGGTGAAGTCAGCAGATGGACAATAAATGCGTCAAATGCAGTTCCGGCAATGTACAGTACACAACCATGTTTTGGTCTTTCTGTTGACACTAACAACATTCTCTATTGTTCTTTATTTACTGTCAATCAGGTGGTCGCTAGATCGCTCAACGACGTATCCACTTCGTTGACAGTCGTTGCTGGTACTGGTTGCAGTGGGTCAGGGTCTAATCAATTGACGACTCCAACGGGTATATTTGTGAATACAAATTTCGATATATACGTGGCTGACTATGGAAATAATAGAATTCAGCTTTTTCACCCAAGGCAAAGTAATGGGACAACGGTTGCTGGTGCTGGAGCACCAGGAACAACCATACTTAATTGTCCAATGGATGTCGTCCTGGATGGTGACGGATATTTATTTATTGTTGATGCATGTAATAATCGTATCATTGGTTCGGGAGCTGCTGGCTTTCGGTGCATAATTGGGTGTTCTGGTTCTAGTGGATCAGCACCTAGTGAACTGCAACGACCCTGGTATATCGCATTTGATAGCTTCGGAAACATTTATATTGCTGATATAGGAAATAATCGAGTGCAGCTATTTACTTTCGAAGATAATTCATGTGGTAAGTTTCAGAACATTTTCGTTCGCATAAGCGATGACAGCGTTTTCCTTGCGTTTTGTTTGATTATTTCGTCTGATGACATTCATTTATATTATACGAAATCTTACTTGTGAGGGTTTGGCTAGAAAGCATATCGTCCGATCTTACTCTAGTCTTGGAGTTTTCTGTCTCTACACAGATGAATCGACTACTGAAGCACCTTAACCGTTATCCACAGTACAAACTCAAGAAGATGATTTATTTTCATTGTAATAGTTCTAAGATAAACATATCAGTGATTTTTTTATAGCACAATTGTCATCCACTACCACCACCACTGATACGTCCTCACCATCAACAACCACCACCACTACTGATACGTCCTCACCATCAACAGCCACCACCACCACTTATACATCCTCACCATCAACAACTACCACCACTGATACGTCCTCACCATCAACAACTACCACCACTGATACGCCTTCGCCATCAACAACCACCACCACTTATACATCCTCACCATCAACAACTACCACCACTGATACGCCTTCGCCATCAACTACCACCACCACTGATACATCCTCATCATCAACAACCACCACCACTGATACATCCTCATCATCAACAACCACCACCACTGATACATCCTCATCATCAACAACCACCACCACTGATACATCCTCACCATCAACAACTACCACCACTGATACACCCTCACCATCAACAACTACCACCACTGATACACCCTCACCATCAACAACTACCACCACTGATACGCCTTCGCCATCAACAACCACCACCACTGATACATCCTCACCATCAACTACCACCACCACTGATACATCCTCACCATCAACAGCCACCACCACCACTGATACGCTCTCACCATCAACAACTACCACGACCACCACTAGTACTTCTTCTCTATCAGTTTCACTTTTCACGTCTAATCAAAGTATGTTCTTCAACCTTTCCATTTCTAGTTACGTCACAACTATGATTTGTACCATCTATAGCGTGTTTTCTGCCGAACATCACATTGATTCCCAGCGGTTCTTCGCTCTCATCACCATTACAGTTTCGACGAAGTCAAGAGTTTTCCATCAGTTCATATTTACAACTCGACTGTAATCTGTCACTGTCTACCATTATCAAATGGACCGTCACTAACTGCACTTCAATTTGTTCTTCTTCTCTGACCCCACTGCCACAAACACTTATCACCACTTCCACTGAGTTCTCTATTCCTGCTAAAACACTGACCTATGGTACCTATCAATTCACACTCACTGTGGCTATGATTGCTGCTCCTCTTTTATCATCATCAGCTTCCGTATATGTCAAAATCATTCCATCAGGCATCACACCAAATCTCATCCAGTTTGGTACTTCAATGATCACACGAGGATATCAACAACAGCTCACTCTTGATCCTGGATCATTCTCAGTAGATCCTGATTCATTGGCATTCAATGCTACCGTATGTCATTCTCCTGTATTTTCATCTCTCGACTGTATTTCCACTAAACTAGAACTGGAAATACAAATACTTTTGTCGAATTTACCCTGGGTATAATTTTCCAAGCATTGCTGGACTTCCACTCACGATCGACGATCCGCGAGTTGATGTAGCCAATCCGTCGTGTATTTTACAACGATCAGGTATGTTCATTCTCATTGAATATTTATTTATAATCCAGCTGAGTAGGTAATACATCGAAATTGCAATATACTGGACCATCTTCTTCGCCCATGTCTGCATTGACTCTCTTTGGCAATGCACTCGCATCCAATCAAACATACCAGTTCATGATACAGCTCGAAAATATCTTTAATTCATCCTCACAAGCAACAGGTTACCTTCTCGTTCAAGTCGATGACACTCAATCTGAACTGATTGTTATTTCGTGAGATTCTTTTTCTTTTCATTTTCTTCCGCAAACAAATCATCTCTCTAGTTGCGTCATTTCTACCTTGTGTACTGCCAATCAGGAATACCAATTTGCTAATCCAACTACACAGGTTGCCATCTTCTCTCTTTGCGTCGGTACATGCGTATCAATTAACGACATCACATGGAATGTCTATTATGGAACTACCAATGCATCCACCAATCTCATGCGTTGGACACTCTTCAAACAAGCACAACAATATCAAGATGTCTGGTTTTTTGGTAATTCATCTTCTCACCTTTCCAGTTTCTCTATTTATTCATGTATTCAAAGGTTCAAACACAAGCAATTTCACTGCCACCAATAATTTGTTTCTCTCTTTCCCTGCCATCCAGTATTGGCGGTTTGAAGTGATCTATTCGTTTGCGCAGCAAAGTAGTCTCAGTGCAATGAGCTTCAAAATGAACACACCACCTCAAAATGGTTCGTGCACTATCTTTCCACTCAATGGCACGACGTCCGCTCTCTTCACAATCACCTGTTCGCAGTGGTTTGATGATGATGGCATTCAAGATTATTCATTCTATAGTATGTCGCTTACTTTCATTCGCAGATTAGTAAACATGCGATATGGGTTTCATTTTGTTCATTTGCAGGTTGGACAACAAATCCAAATGAACGACTGATCCTTGCCTATTCGTCATTTTCATCCATTCAACTGAGATTACCGTCTGTCAATGCTAATGCCTCATTATCTTTTCACGTTTCTGCTCAGATTCGAGATACACTCAGTTGTGTTACAGAATACAACATATCTTCAGTTACAGTTTACCCCGATACTGATCAGATCACTGATCTTATTGACGCTGTGCAACAATCAACCGGCACTAGTGGATTGGCAAACAATCCAATCATTCAAATACTAGCAAGTGGTAATCCAAATGCAGTCGGTCAAGTAGTTAGTTCATTGTCGCAACAATTCAACCAAATCAGTACCCAATCGCTGCAGGATGCGATCGCAAGTGAGTTTCTATGAAGTGCTGGGAGGATACAAACGAAAACGAAAGAGATTTTTTGTTTAGATGGCGTGCCTGTGTCAAGTGTTGCTGTTTCGACCTTAGATGCCACTACTCAATCAACAGTAAGTGCTCTTTCTTTTACTAGAAGAAAAATCAATCTCCGTTTATAGTCACCATCCATAATCAATGCATCGACGCTCGACGAGTTCAACAAACAAACCAACACGTATGCAAGCATCCGAGATTTTCTCATCACATTCATAACTGGCCTCCAACCCACAACGGCACCCGGTATTCAGCTACAAGCATCGTCTTTAGCTCAACTCACTCAAGCAACCAATCAGCTCACACGATCTGCTTCAGTAATGAATCTTTTTTCCATTTTCAACTGGCACTTTTTGTTTTGCAGATGATTGCTGCACAAAAATGTAACCAATTGGCGATAACTTTATATTCCTTGGCAACGATGATTCCATTTGAAGACGTACAATCATCAGCTACACTCATTGCACAATGTGCTAGTAATGTTCTAAATGTAAGATCTTACTTTTCTATAATCATAGCATTAACTTTCGACTTCTTTAAGGCTGTGAATGGCCCACTGCAAGAACGGACAATTGTACTCGATCTCGACTCATCTCGAGCCAATGCCTTTCCTCAAGACTATGACACTGATCTTGAATCAGAATGGAATAATCTAAGTCAGCTTTTTTTCTGCCACTTGACTTCTTCACCATCTATTCTTTCGTCTTTCTCTCTCTCTGTCTTTCTGTAGATCTATTTGGTGATGGAAGTGATCAATCGTGGAATTCACTTGAGAAGAGCCGCAATCTTTATTTTCAGAAACAAACAGCTAACGAAGTCTCGCTTTTGACAACACAAACAATGTCGTTATTAACAGCATCATTGAACATACACTTGAACATCGGCCAAAATCTCAACATGAACACAGCTTCTGTCTGTTTGTCACTTGAAATCACGTCAATCGACGCACTTGTCAACAAGTCCGTCAAACAGACATCCACCTCCCAAATTCGTATGCCATCTACGTTTCAAATCAACACAACAAACATCAGCACGATTTCTCTTCGAGTAAGTAAATCTCTCTCTCAATTATTTCCTATATATTATGTGCATTTTTATCTTCAGTCAATGATCGAACCACTTGCATCAGCTGGCAATGCTTCTTCTCAATCTCGAACGAATCTCTCCAGATCCGTTTCTTTTTCTCTTCTTGATACCAATGGCAAATCCATTCCCATTCAAACAACCTTCGATTATCCCATCGAACTTATCATTCCTCGTGACCCATTTTTAGTCATTCCATCGATGTCACTGCAGAATGTCACGTCATTTAATTCATCAACAGTGTCACCTCATCAGCAACTGTTCAATCTTCATTTCGTCAACATCACCAATCCTTCCCTCACTGTCTCAGTTCATTTTGAAATGCATCCGCTCAACACAAGTCTCGCCTATTTATTTATTTATCGATTCGACACTGTACCCATCCTGAACACTTCACATCAACAAATCGATGGTTGGTCTTTGTTTTGTCCTCATAGTAAGTCACCTCTTTGTTCGTCTTCATTGTCTTCGCTTATCTTTCACAATGTAGATCTTACCAATGATACTATTCACAACTACTTTATTGATAATAACCGAACAAAAAATCATCAATCCATTATCTTTGGCTTGAGACAACTGAATACAACTGAGCAATCGGATCAATGTTCCAATGCATCTGTAACAATTCAACAACCGCCTGCCAATAATCAACCATTCAATTTCACATCCAACTACGAACTTCGAATCTTCACATCAGGATGTTACTATCTCGATACAAATAGCAACTGGCAATCAGAAGGTGTACTTGTATGTTTCTACTATGACATTTCTATCGCATACGTATGACCTACTCTCTTTCTCATTTAGGTTGGACCTTTGACTAATCATCAGCAAACACAATGTTTGTCCACACACTTGACAACATTTGCAGGTGGGTTTCTGGTTCTTCCTGCACCCATCAACTGGAACTATGTGTTTTCCAATGCTGATTTCGCTCGCAATAAAACCATATACATCACACTTATTTGTGTTTCTGTTCTCTACTTTCTTCTACTTGTCTATGCACGATACAAAGACAAGAAAGATCTCGAAAAACTTGGTGTCACTCCACTTCCCGATAACCAACCATCCGATCAGCATTTCTATCAAATACTTGTCTTCACTGGTCATCGAACACATTCGGGAACCAACTCCAAAGTAAGACTGTTTCCTTCCTCTCAGAGAGATACGATTGATATTTATACAAATGACGAGCAGGTTCATTTCATCCTTGCTGGTGACGATGATGAAACACAAGTTCGAACATTCGCTGATCCACGTCGAAAGATCTTGCAACGAGGTGGCATCGATGCATTTGTCATGACTGTGCCCAAGTATGCTTCCACCTATTTCTTCTGTATACAGATAAATACATCTGGTTTAGATCATTGGGATCATTGAACTACATGCATATTTGGCATGATAACTCTGGCAAAGGTGCATCAGCATCGTGGTTTCTCAAATATATCATTGTTAGAGATCTGCAAACGTTGGATAAGTCATATTTCATTTGTCAACGATGGTTAGCGGTCGAAAAAGATGATGGAATGGTGAGAGTTATAGAATCGCTCTCGTGACACGTAATTCATCTTTTGTGGAATTTCTGTAGATCGAACGAGTATTACCAGTCGCGGGTGAACATCAACGACAAGAATTTTCTTATTTACTATCAAAACAAGCTTACCATAGCATATCGGAAGGACATCTCTGGTTTTCGATCTTTTCGCGACCGCCTTCGAACCAATTCACTCGTGTGCAACGATGTACTTGCTGTTTTGTTCTGCTGCTGACGTCGATGCTTCTCAACATTCTCTACTATGATCAAGTTGCAACAGCCAAAGCAAATGTGAACACAGCAAGTCTTGCATTTGGCCCACTTCATATCACTCCCGAACAGGTGATTCCTTTCTCTTCTTGACTTTGTTTATTTCACATATGTAACCATTCTTCTCTTCGTCTAGATTAGTATTGGTGTTATTGTTGAACTTCTCACGTTTCTTCCGAGTATTTTTCTTGTTCAATTCTTTCGTCGTATTGAACCAAAACGGTTACAACAGCAATTATCCCCTCTACGACAAGCCATTTACAAAATCAGACCAGATAATACGATTGTAGAGTCAAATCGAAAGAAGCGATCACGAATGACGTTTCCATGGTGGTGTCTATTCATTGCTTATGCTCTTTCATTCATCATCGTTGCAGTGTCGATGTTTTTCGTCATTGTTCGCGGTATTGAATTTGGCGACGTCAAAACTCAGAAATGGTTGACATCACTTCTCACCGGTTTCTTGTCATCCATCGTTCTTATTCAACCAGCTAAAGTATGTTCTCAGTTTATCCACTCATCTAATCAATCTCATCCTTTCTAGATTATTGGCTTAGCGATCATTTTCGCTTTGTTCATTCGAAACACAAACAAAGATCAACAAGCAGCTGAGTTCATTGACGATGATAATGAAGATCATCCGCACCTCAACAACGATGAACAATACTTACATTCTCTCGACAATCAATCGCCATTCAATCATCGATCCAAAACTCAAGCTAACCGTCTCAATCAAGCTGAACTTGCCTACATTCGTGATCGACGACTGAAAGAAATACAAATGTGGTCAATCATCCGTGAGATCTTCACTTATCTCACTTTTCTTGCGTTGCTCTATGTTATCACCTACTCGAACATCAATCAACATGCCTTCTACGAAGTACAGCACCTTCGACAATTCTTTCATAATAGCAGACAAATCGATAATAACTACATACAACTATCCACAGTCGATCAGTATTGGAACTGGTTAGAAACTAGTTTTGTCGACAACATTCGCGCACAGCAATGGTATAATGGTGATCCACCTCGCAATCTATCCGGATTCATCAATGACAAGTCCAATCGCCTGATTGGATGGGTTGCAATGAGACAACTCAGAACGAATTTGCACTCATGTCAACTGAAATCATCCATTCAACAGCAACTGTTCACTCACTGCACTGATGATTACAGTTTTTCCAACGAAGAAAAGCAATCATTTCAGCCGGGATGGATACCCTACCAACAGATTAATAATCAATCGCAATCGTTCGGTTCAGCTATTGAACAAGCATTCATATATCGCACAAGCAATCAACTCGACACGTATCCCACTGTTGCTAATCAGCATACGTACAGTGGCAATGGATATGTGTATGAATTTCGTGGTCGCCTCGCTGATATTCAAACGAACCTCTCTCAGCTTCATCAATTGCAATGGATCGACGGTCAGACAAGAGCTATCATCATTCAATTCACTTTGTACAATCCCAATGCGCAACTCTTTACATTCGTTACTCTTCTCACTGAGTTTCTTTCTAGTGGAAGTATCGACCCACAGTCTCGTTTTGAACCGATCACTTTCGAAGGTATGACTGTTCAAAATCAATTTCATGTAAATATCTTCTCTCTGTAGTATTTACCTCATTGCCTCAACTGATCTGTACCATCTTCTACATGCTATTCATCATTCACATAATGATAGGCGAAGTTCGATCATTGATCAAAATGAAATCCAACTACTTTCGTCAGTTCTGGTCATTGATCAACCTCGGTATCATTGTCTGTTCATGGACAAATGTTGGTATTTATGTGTGGAGATATTGCGAATCACTTCGCATTGGTCATCTCTTTGCACAAACCAACGGGTATGTTTACATCAATCTACAGTTAGCCGTGTATATCAATGATGTTTTCACTTATTTGTTGGCGTTTTCGTGCTTCTTTGGAACGATTAAGTTTATCAAATTATGCCGTTTTAATCATCGACTCATGTTATTTGCAAGAACACTTCAACACGCTGCCAGAGAACTTATTTCGTTTGCGTGCATGTTTACGATTGTATTCATGGCATTTGTCGTTCTCTTTTATCTGCTATTCGTCTCCAAACTATCGTCATGCTCGAGTGTTCTACAAACGGTGCGAATGCTGTTCGAAATCACCTTGATGAAATTCAATACACAAGAGTTAACTGATGCAGCAGCATTTCTTGGTCCGTTTTGCTTCGCTTTATTTATTGTGATCGTCGTTTTCGTCTGTATGAGCATGTTTTTATCAATTATCAACGATAGTTTTCGTGTGGTGCGAGACAATGGCAAACTACAAGGACACGACGATCAACATATCTTCTCATTTATTATTGGCAAGTTACGAACATGGATTGGTATGAAATAAAAGACGTTTGCTTACGAACAAGGATAGTTTTTTTTCCTTGATTTCAGGTATTGGTAATTTGAATGACTTCTATCAAATGGAAGAAAGGGATGAACAAATGAGATCGAAATATTATGATCCAATCAGTAAATTTCCTGATAAGATGGATGAACTGCTGGATGCACTCAATCGCGTACGATACTTTTTCTAGTACACTGACAATGAGAATTATGTTTTGTTTCTCCGTATATTTATAGGTGTATATAAATCAGCAAGATCATTCGTCATTGAAAAAATCGGAACCGGGGCCGACATAATGAGAAATGAATGACAATGCTTCAAAGAAAACAATTTATGAATGTACTTACATATATCGATGTTTATTATTCATGTAGTTTTCTCATTTGCTTACTGTATTGTCTTTCTTATATGAAAGTGGCTAACATGAAGTCATTCAGTTAGTAATAAATGTCAACTAAGTACAACGAAGTTCAGTTTCGAACTCGGTAATATTGATGCTTTTGACTTCAACTTCAATAAGACTGGATTGGAACTAAAGGTTGAGTATTAATAGGTTTAGGTACGAATGCTTGTCACAAATGTATTTCAGTGTCCGTGTGTTAATATGAATCGAGTTCAGATGGTTTCCTACAGATGTTGTAGCCTGTCTTCCTTAGTAACAATTCTAGTGATTAAGGTTCAATTCAAAATAGGTGAGCTCTGAACATTTTCATGCAGAACTTCTAAGAAAGCAATGCTTCCCATAGACTTAATAGTCATTTTTCGATTTTCAGGGCTATTACATTGCCGCCAAATCAAAATTTTTAAAAAGTCACGCAAATATTCGATGCATGAGTAGTGTTAGTTAGATCTTTTAGTCATGCAAATATACTGTGATAGCTGGCGCGGATCGCTATGTTTTCTCTTGTTTGTACTGGCTGACTGACTTCTTCTTGAAATTGTGAGATCAGACAGCGGTTTCTTGTTTCTCTTCTTATCGTTTTCAATAAATTTGAGGGTGAGGGTGGGTGTGGGTGAGGGTGTGGGTGTGGGTGAGGGTGTGAATGCGATTACAAAAACAATATATACATAAAGCATTTCTTTGTGCTTCTTATACTATGTTTGTAAAACAGTTTCATGGATCGCTCTTGTTGTACAAAATATATAGTTCCTCGTATTAGAGTGAATATGCCTTGAAATCAGCGAAGATTGGCTATGTTATCCAAGGAAATTGTTGAACTACAAAGTAGAGTGTTTATATTTGGTCTAAGTACCAACGAACGGCTATGTTTGACATATTTCTGAAGATGACCGATGATTGAACGACTGTAATATGATGAGACAGCGGCGATTGATAATAAAAGCCAATGTAATAGTATCTCAAAAGAGGTCGCCACTTCTAATGGTAAAACACATCCCTAGCAACAAAGGATTGGACATTGTATGAAAGGCATTTTTGTCTGTTACTTCAATCAAGTAAATTCAAGCAATGTTGATTAATGATACAAATGTAAAATCGTTTCGTATGACCAAAGTTTTTCGCGAAAATACCGAGCGAATCAATGCATGCGATTTCAACAAAAACGGTATGTTTACTTGTTATTCATGAACTGTTTTTTCTCATGGAAATTTTTCTTGCTTAGGCGATTTACTGATTTCAAGCTCGGACGATGATAACATTGTTGTTTATGATTGTGAAGCTGGATTGTAAGAACTTAATTTAATCTGTTTTCTCTACATTAATTCTATTTACGTTCAGGCCTAAAAAACCGATTCCAAGTAAAAAATATGGTTGCGATATGATTCGATTCACTCGTAGTGGCGAACAAGCACTCCATTGTTCCATGAAAGTCGATGGTAAAAACAAAACTTCAATACACTAAAAAGAAAGCACACTTCGTGAATTTTTCTTTCCAGATAGCATTCGATATCTATCGTTGTCAGATAGCAAATATATTCGTTATTACACGGGACATACGAAAAAGTAGAATATTCAATACTGTCACATTCATTTTTGTTTATTTATGAAAATATCTATCGTAGAGTACGCAGTCTATCTGTATCTCCAATTGACAAGTCATTTCTTTCAGCATCTGCTGATCGAACTGTACGTGTGTGGGATTTACGAAGTGCACTCTGTCAGGTAAAGAATTAGAGTAAATGATGCATGTTGCCTCCATCGTCGTTTTCCGATGTATAGGGTTTAATCACAACACCAGGAAATCCAGTTGTCGATTATGATCCAGATGGATTAGTATTTGGCATCGGAATAGATTCACAGATTATTGGATTGTACGACATTCGAAATCATGAGAAAGTAAGAAGATTATCGTTCACTTGTTTACTGTTCGAAATAACGCATTTTTTGTTTAGGGACCTTTCGAAATGTTGAAATATGAATGTGAGGGAGATTTCGAATGGACACACTTAAAATTTAGTCCTAATGGAAAAATGATCCTTGTTTCTACAAATACTTCATTAATATTGCTTGTTGATGCGTTCAGTGGAGTACTTCTACATACATTCACGGTAGTGAACTAGACTGTTTCATCATTCAACATACGATCTTACGTATTTCGTTTCCAGGGGCATCAAAATACAAAGAATATTCCACTAGAATCTTCTTTCAGTCCTGATTCGAGATATGTATTCTGTGGTAAGTATCACCTGAAAACGATACTTGCGTCTGATCCTTGGATTACATCGTGTATTTTTCTTTCTCTAGGTTCCACCGATGGTCGCATTCATATTTGGCGTACAGCCGACGGTGAAAAATTGACCACACTAACGACTGACAACAGTTCAGATTCTATTCAAACAGTGCAATTCAACCCAAAGTCATTCATGTTAGCAACTGCCTCCAATAACATGGTTCGTACAAAGCAACACTTCAACATCCAGTCATTCTTTCCTTCTTCTTCTTTTTTAGATATTCTGGTTACCTCCAGTCGATGATGATTAGAATAAATAGCCTAATAATATTATTATTATTTGTTGTCTCTTTTTTCGTGCGGAATTGTCTTACTGTTGTTATTATTATTATACTATGTACATTTGATGTTTGTTATTACTTATATGATGTCATTTTAGATGTCTGAGGTGTCATCGACTCCAGCGCCACCCGCACCCGCTGAGATACCGGTTGCACCAGGCGCCCTTGCCGAACCTCCAGTAGCAACAACTGAGAACGCACCAAATCCAATCGAAGAGGCTGCTCAAAATGAAATACAATATTCTATGCTTAATCCTGAACTAAAGCCTGTCCGTCGAATCATCGCTGATGATCTGGAATGGAATTTAAGTATCGTTCCTGCCTTATCAGATTTAGCATTGAATTCTCTCGTGAAAAGCTTCGATACAAATCCCAAATATGATGAATTATTAGACAAACACCGAAATCAACTGCTAAAAACATTATCACCTAGCGTTCCATTGAAAGTTTCGGCGCCAATTATCCAAGAAGAGAGCTATTGGGAGAAATGTTGCAAAGAGAAATGGCGAGTGGTCGATATCAAAGAATATGATAACTCATGGAAGCGATTTTATTTTGAGAGAAGTATCGAAGAGATCATCGAAAATTTCGTGCCTGGTAAAGACGACACGAAGAAATTGTTCGATTACGTTGATCTTGGTACGTGAAATTGTCTCATTCATTCTTGTTATCCTTCTTCTTTGTAGGTGCTCAATATGTCAAACGACTTGACATCAAACAGTTATTACCACCTGTTGAAATACAAGATCGAATACTGAATAATGATGATGATTATTTCGATGACGATGAAGAAAATGAATCTCCGAATGATCCTGATGCTGAAATAAAGAAACCGTCAAGTGATCATTTTGATTTTACTCAATTGATTAAACGTTTACCCAATCTTGAAGAGTTTCATGTTGTTTACGGCGTCAAAGGTTGTGGCATGAATTTCGAATGGACTATGTTTGAATTTACAAAGAAAGATTGTCAAATATTAGCTAAAGCTATTCAACAATGTAAATCCCTACGGGTTTTACACTTACATCGAAGTAAAGTTGATGATCTCAAGATACGAATGTTAGTTCGAGATGGTTTACTTGATCATCCGTCATTGGAAGAACTTAACCTTGAGCATAATCAAATTGGCGATCGTATGTTTCACGAGACTAGTTTCTTTTTAAGTGAATGTATCTCAAATATTTGTTTCGCATAGGCGGATGCCGAGCCATTGCAAAACTACTCAACGGACATTCGAGAATAGTTCGATTGAACCTATGCAACAATCTCATTGGTCTTGAAGGTAAAACATTTTGAGCACCTTCGTTTCTCGGTAGATAAATGTATTGTAGGCGCACAGGCAATAGCTTATGGTATAACAAAATCGAATACCATCGATTATTTAAATATTCGTCTGAATCGTATTGGTGATGATGGTGGTCGTGCTATTTGTTTAGCACTATCGATTAATCAGTCGTTGCGCGAAGTAAATCTATCGTCAAACAATCTTTCTGAACAAACAGGAACAAAACTAGCCGAAATCCTTCGTCAAAATGAAACACTCATCAAAATCGATGTCAGTGCCAATCGTTTAGGAGGCGATAGTGGTAAATCATTACAGGAAAATTTACAAGAAAACAATACTTTATTATATCTCGATCTACGTATGACTGAATGCGGACCAGAATCCGAATATATTATTAATCAAAAGCTGAAGTCTAATCGAGATCAAGATCGTTTGAGACGTATTTCACAAAAGCAGAGTCCTGATGAGAAAAAACGTACATATTCACATTTATTTTGAAATGATATGAACAATAGTTTTTATCCGTCCAATTTTCTTTCAATTTTGATCGTATTTTTTTCGAAAATAAAAAAAAATATTATTGCTTTATGAATAAAATAACTTTCATCAATTACATCATTCCATTCTCTTTGATAAAGACGTAACATATCATCTCAATGAATCATTGTTATCTATTCAAAGCATATTCTGTCCTATTTGCTTCTTTTCGTTCTTTAACTCATAAATGTTACAAGTTACGCTGATATCTCAAAGACAAAGTACATTTGAAAATTAGAGATCTAACCTTGATATTACAATGATTGCACTTATTTATGTTACCATTGCTGTTGTTGGCATCTATATTTTATTTTCATATTTTAAATTCGAATCAAACGAACCGATCAGTCCAAATGCAAATCTCGGTAATAGATCGTTATTCGAACGAAAACATATTCAAGTAGACGTCTATTCGATTTCTAGAGAAGTCACCCGAAGAAATGCCATTACCAGTTTATCGTCCATTTCGTGATGGTCCTTTTCAAATGACAATGGGTTTGATGTCATAGTCTCAGATGTTAGTCTATCTTCGTTTGTACTAGGACTTCAGTCGTTGAACACTCACGAATGGATACAAATCGATCCGAATTATCGGGAAGAATTGGCGTTAAAAGAAAAATTATTGAATAGTAATCGTCGATGTGACATATTCATTTGTAAAGATGAGGCATACGATGGTGCGATGGAAACATTGCAAATGTTGATTGAACATCTTCCCAATCAATATCCGAATATGTTTCAACGAAATCATTCAAGAACGAAAATATCCAATCTTATTACGGGACAAACATTCAGTTTGACTGAACCAGATCATAAGCATCCATTGGAAATAGCTTCTCTACTTGTACAAGAAGATCTCGTCATTATGCAACGACCGGCGAATGAAGAAACATACTATGCAAATGTAATGAAATCTTTCTTCGTCATGCTTCATAAGAATAAGAATGTTTCAGGCATTAGCTGTTTGCTTTCCATCGGGATGGCTTCCGAAATCGAAATTCGGGTTACCATTAGCATTCGTTCATATGCCACATGTACCATTTTTTCAAGAGAAACTAAGAGCATCGATGGATAAATATTTCCTCAAACTCAAAGAACACAATCCCGTTCAACGAGTGAATTGGACCCGTATGTTAATATAAGACTGATCAGGAAGACTATCTGTATGATATGATTTTAGTACAAATCGGCAATGAACTTTGTCATACAGCCATCGAAGAGGCAGACGGAGTATTAATTACAAAAGAGAATGTCGGTGAAATGATGTATCTTCGAACTGAACGACAGACATTAAGACGGCTACCTAAGTCCAACACAATCCTATTTACAATTAAAACATATACAACATCAATCAAAGATGTTTGTAAAAACGAACCCCTGACAGCGAAACGGTTAGCTGGTGCTGTGAGAAATTGGCCACCAGAGATGATTAAATATAAAGTATGAACCATGACGAAAGACAAAAGAGAATTCAAAATAGTTGTTGTTCTACTTGTAGGGTGCCGATCAATATAAAGATGGCCTTCTTGAATATTTGGATATGATGTCTTCGTCTTCATTCTAGTTTTTTTTAATTTTCATTTGTAATACGGCCATGTGAACTATTTATTTCAGCGTAGAATTAAGCCACAAGTAACATCAAATACATAAGCTTAAAGTTTGTCCGTAGTCTAATATGACGAGAAATCAACGTTAACTTTGCTTTTTCAGAAAATGTTTAGCAAATCCGTAAGATGAGTTCTACTTGTTGATATGATAAGGAGAACCTTCACGGAAAACATTGAAAGTCCTTGTAGACGTACGAAATGAATCAAAGGATTTTCAACATGTTTCTGCTGGCACTTGAAAGAAAAGCCTAGTCAAGGCAACTGTTTATTTTACTTTAGAGTGGTATTCAACGCAAAAGTTGAGTATAAATATATACATTGAACACTGTGATTATTGCAAAACAAACAAACAAAAATCAAGTCAAAGAAAAAACGTTCATTTAAAACATCTATTTTTGTAGTAGTAGAGCAACACCACCAAGTACCCATTTACTCGGTTTTTCTTTCGTTTTCAAAAAGAATGTCCAGACAAAATGAGCACCACGTGTTTTTATCTTATAAACTGGACATTCATACATACCTTTCGTATCCATACGGTCAATAGGTATCGCTTTGACAAATATAACTGGCATGGGTGATGTGATCTCTTTTAGTTTCGCTTCGGCTAATTGTGATGTTTGGGTGTCCCATCGAGCACCTTCGAGATAGAGACCCCATATGTATGCCCCTTCACGTGGTGCACCGCCAAGTTCTTCTTTTGTTCGTTTTGTTATATCAATTGATAAACACATACGATCAAGAGGCCACTCGTTTTTACGTGCTGTTGTCTGCATAATTGCAGTTAAAAATGATTGAGGATTGAAAAGATAGCCTGGATAATAGAAGAGAATAATAGTTATCGAAACAATCATGTTTCACTGTGTTTACCTAGGGTAACAGCATATGGTAGTTGAAAATCGCTAGTCCACGATTCGAGATCTTTGAATCGATTGAGCAAATCAACGAACCATGAGCTTAGAGGAAATAGCGATGGATATGCTCGAAGTTCCCAGGTTTTGGGCACTTGATCGAGATAGAGAGATTCTTGTAGTGCTTCCATATCGGCAGTAACAGTCAATTCACCCTACGAGAGAGAAACGCACGCTTGTGTACGAAAAGTTCTTTCGTTTACTGGGAGTTACCTTTAGACCTGAGTCTAACTCTTTCAAAGAACGTCTCATTTCTTTCAATAGTGCATTCATTCGTTCGCATTCTTGTAAAGCAACAACCGTATACGGTGTTTTCTCTTCTGTCTTAGCAAACAATTCCGGCATACTGAATTCGTCCGGTAATCGACCCATAATATCATCCAGAACAGCTTTTATCTAGATGGAAGTATAGAAAATAGTATGGTTTTTATCCTCATATATATGTTCAGTATATTTACCTTTTCTTCTCGACTCGTTGCCGAACCACTCTCTGACGAGCCAGCACCAGCATCCCGTGGTTGTAACTCTAATACGGTTCGAAATAGAATTTCACTCGTCGTCGTCAAAAAGTCGATTTCTGCATTGGGATGAAGACCATATAAGTAGGGCGACTCGAGTGGTAGATACTCATCGATATATTGATGGTAACCTTTGTAATCTGTATTCGGTGGAACGGGAAATGATGGTGCTAGATACAAATCACCATCGAACTAAAATAGAAATAATAACATAGAGTCAATAATAACGATTTCATCTTCTTCATTTACCATATCTGGGTTGATATATGTTTCGAGATAGTTTCGACACAAACGACGATCCCAATCGTCAGTAATGTGACCACCATACATAATTTCCCCAAATAAATAACGAAGATCTTCCCAAGGTACTTTCGAGTTCGCTTCCAAGTAGTTATACAGAACATCGACACTGATTGTTAGATCACCATTATTGAATGGATATCGTCTAGAAATTCCAAAGAGAAAAGCTCGATGTGAAAAGACGGGAAAACAGAGAACAGACCTGTTCCAACCAATAGGTCCAAATTTGCGACGTTCAGCAACGACAGCATGAAAATAGCAGAGTGCAAATAGAATCGATTTAAATTCATTCTCTTTCGAACAACGTTCCATTGTATCTTGATCGAAATTATCCAACGCCTTATGAACATTCGCGTACATTCCTAAAGAAATCGTAAAATCGAAATCGCAGAACTCTTCAAGATATCGCTAACCTGTTGGTGCTTCATTCGTAATCTTGATTGCTGATTCAAGTATACCTTGAGGAATGGCCTAGACAAAGAGATCATGACTTTTTGATACAGAAAAGCAAGGAATTTACATGAGCTTCAGGATCGGGTGCAGGTTCTGCCGAGAGAAATACTCGGGAATCTTCATGTGCAAATTCCGCTGTTTGTTCTAACTTCTTTTCTAATTGCGGTAACCATCGAGCAACTAAATGAATATTTTGTAAGACAACCCAATGACCATCACGTGAGCCATCATCGAGAGCTTTTTCGGCCACGACATCTTGTCCTACCAACGAAAGACGAAAGTGTACATTGATAGTGATACAACTTATTAATCACCTTGTCCAAGGGAGATATTATGAAATTTGCCATTATCAGCTGTGAAGCCCATCTTTCGACCAAGACTTTCCACTTCCTTCAATGGATCAACACCTGGTGAGAGAATGAAGAAGATGGGTGTTGCTTTCGTCGTTTCTTCATATGAACGTGCAACTAAAATGATTCGTAAGTAATCAAATATTTACCATCGAAAAAACTTACATTCAATCGTTCGATTTTCCACATATTTTCGGCCCAATTTCTCTTCCACAAATAAACTCAATGCGTACAGCATTCGATCAGGTCTTAATGCTCGCATTAAACATAACTTTTGTAATGACGTTTTACTCTTCCATTCCTGAGGAAATTTCTCTTTTTCCGGTGCTTCGGATTCTACAAACTTCTTCCATCGTTTCGCTGAGCCTATAACAAAACAATATCACATTGATGTTCTGTTTTCTCAAAACGAACATAACGGTTCGCGTCCTACCTTCGATATCTCGATCTAAATTATGAAACTCGTCCATAGTTGACAAAGCTTTGATTCCACCCCATGATTGATCATTTAAGAAATCCACTGGACTTGTGAGATTGGGTACGTATGGATAGCGCAGAAGGAATTCTAATTCTTTCGTATCGATTTCTTTATTGGTCAAAAGAATCTGAAAGACCATTTGCGACGTAAAGATCAATTTGTGTTGTTCGAACAATGACCGAGTGGTGTAAAGTGATGTTGAATATGTAATTGAATCAATCAGATTCAACACACGTTGCTTTACATCATCACTTTCTTCAGATTTTTGAATGGCTTTTGCGAAAACGATTTTAAATGCTATAGAGAGAAAGAACATTCATGAATGACTATCGCTCAGATCTGAAAAACTTTACCTTTCAGTGAGAACTGATACATTGGATGAATTTTTCTCAAATCGTTCATGATAAAATAAAGTAAACTGGCACGTGTTGCTGCTGGTCGATAAACTTCACGTGTTTTATCAATTTGTTCACTGGTTTTCTCTGCTTCATTTTTCTTGTGTTCAATTTCAATTGCTGTTGATTTAGTTTTCTCTAAATTTTCTACTAGCGCTACATCGCTGAGAAAATTGCCCTTGGCAGCTGCTAAACGTTGTAACAAAGAATCTTCCAATTTTTTCAAACTAATCTTATATTCATTCTTCTGACGAGTTAATTCGTATTTCGATTTTTCCAAATCAGGTCGTTCAAGCGCAACAACATCGGCGAGAAGTTGATCTTCGAGACCATCGCGTGTGACGGTGAAGTTAATCAATGTTGTTTGAGCTTGCATTTCAGGTTTGTAATGTGGATTGGCAAGTTTGGTTTGCAAGATCAAACGAAATTCCGGATGAAATTCGATTTCTTTGTCACCTAATTTAATAGCACGACCTTTACGAATGGTATTTCGACCAATCAATGGATCAAGAATGGCTTCAATGTTTTCTTCAATATTTTCCACAAGTAGAGTTTCACCAGCAGCTATAGCATGTTCAATTTTTTCCATATAGCCTTTCGCACCCAAACGAATCACAACTAGTTTATCGCCGTAACGAGTACGAATCCATTTGACACCTGAATTCATCAGTGACTAACAAATTCTGAACAAAAAGAACACTTACCTTGCAGTTGTGGATCAACCATCAGTGGCCTAGAAGAGATCAAAAAATGAAATATGAGAGAAGAATTCGGCACTCACCATCGTTCACAGTTGGTCAGGATAGTTGCATTTTCATAGGACATTCGATCAGCAGGCAGACCTTCGTTATTCCATGCTGCCATATCAGCATCATCAATTAACATCGATAGAGGATCAAGATTATCTGTGACTGGTACTGGAACTTTTAGATTTCGTAAAAATGGCATCCAGCGACGATAGAGAAGTTCTTCACGGTAATATTTAGTGAAATAACCAACGTAGGAGAGATAAGCTGTTGTAATCAGCACGTTTCCTGGTAAAAATTTGCCAAGAATTTGAGATTGTTGAATTGTGTTCGTCCATCGTTCTTTTTCAGAAGCCAAACCGCCAACAAGACGGTTGGCAAGATTAATCGTATATGCTGTTTGATCTGCGGCACGTTGGCATTCGTCCTTTTCATTCTGTGCTGATTGATATTGATCTTTTAAAGTTTGTAGTGCTGCTTGTAGTTTCTACAAGAACAAAAATTTGACGTAATACGATTATCCAATAGAGTAAATGAATTATTTACAGCTAATTTCGCTTGCGTTGCATTGAATTGTTCTTCAGTTTGTCTCAATTGTTCGGTTGCCTCTTCCGCTGCCAAACGCTTCGGTTCAACTTCACAATAGACACGATAGTATTGTACTATATTAATAGTCCAAGCACATAGACCAGCGGCAGCAAATGAAACACGTCGAATAGCATCAGGATTGAAATCTGGATCACGTAAGTACTCTTCAATAGCCTTCAAGGATGATTCTATGCAATAAGAACATCAAAAGTTTGATTTGAAGAACACGATGTTGTGAAAACTCCTACCTGGTATATGATTCTTATCGTAGTTCAATAGAGTATTTAGGAAAACTCCTACATCACCAATCATAGATTTTGCCGCACGCCATGTTCGATCACGTGGAACACGATCTAGATGAGAATAACAATTATTTAAACTGAAGAGTTTTATTTCGCTCGTATTTTACTTGGTGGTGCAAGAAGAATCTGGATGGATGCAGTGACTTTCAAAACAGCAGATGGCGGCGTAGCAAATGATCTCAATTCTGTAAGATTATTTCGATTAAGTGTATTCAACGCATCTTTTGCTGCTTCCAGAGCTGGTAGAGCCTTTTGAAGATCATGATCACATTCGGCTTGTCGTTCGGCGACCCGTTCTTTCTTTTCTGCCACTTCTTTTTCTTCAATCGCAGCTGCTTCACGTTGTTCAGTCACTTTTTTCGTTTCAGTTTCCACTACTTTTATCAAACGATCCGCTTCTTCGTTCTTCTTCGTAACTTCAACTTCTTCAACTTTCAATTTTTCTTTCAACTCGTCCGTTTGTTTGGCAACACTAAACCGACAATTTTCATTAAATATCATTCATGACTTTCAACCTACGATTCAAGTTTAACTAAACCATTCTGAAGACGAAGAATGCCATCTTCATGTTCGCGACGCTTCATCTGCAATAAATTACGGTACAAACCAATCTGTTCAAGGAACGACTTCGGCGTCGTATAGTTAAATCGTCGTTCGTTCTAATCACAAAACGAAGAATGATCTCTTATTAGGAAAGAAAACCAGTGCAAACATACGGTTAAATATTGAACACTCATTTCATTCACTGAACTGTGAACATAGGCCATAAATTCTGCAACGGAATCTTGATATTCTTTCGGTAAGCTTTCAACATCTTGAATAAATCGTTTTGCTACAGACACCAACGCTGTTTCCGGCCATTCATGAAACCTAAATAGAACATGATTTGATAAAGCATTCGCTTGGCGTTGTTCGTATTTACCAATCGATATTAGTACAATTGACCAATGCTGGAAAGCGTCGAGCACGAACACGCAATGTTGAACCAACCGGCGAAAAGCAGAGAACGATCTATAAGAAAGCTCTTTAAAGATTTTCATCAACAATCAATTAAGTTATACCTTTAAATTTCGTCGAACTTTATCAATGAAGAATTTCCAACAATTTTCTCTAGTGTCTTCGATACCTTGTGCTCGCACTTCATTTTTCACACTTGCTAATATATCTGCCGTTTCATCATCAGTGAAGAGGCCGTTGATTTCACCTGACGCAAGCATGTCATTGATCAGAACGAGAAACTTCTCATCAGCAACTTGAGCGTCCGTCATCAAAAATACTGTTGGAATGTTTTTAATACCCGCACGGATGTACAAATTATTTAAATCCTACAAATCAAACAATAGGACTCATCAGTTCCATTGAAAACGATCGAACGTACGAGTTTCAATTCCGCAATGCCATAACCTTTGCGTATAGTGATTTGGAAAACTTCCTGTGACGACACAGATGCTGCTAATCGCGATAAACTCTGTTTTCCACTTCCGCCTACACCAACAAGTAAGGCATTTCCGCGTGGTGATTCCAAGATACGATTGATTCGACAAACATGCATCATGGCATCTTCGAATAGAACGAGATTCATGTTTGCGTTGACTTCATTGTAATTATCTAAAGCATCAGTTAGCAGTTTAGTTAGTTGTTGCCAGTTGTCAATAGGCATGTATTTCGGATCGCCGATGCCCGTGGAAAAATGAGTATAAATCAATGGACGACGGAAACAATTGTCCTCATCGACATCGGAGAAATTCTTTTTCACTGTGTCACGGAATATCTTTTGAAATGAGTCAATATCATCCGCTGAAACTAATTTATCACCGTAGACACGTTCAGCTTCGTGGACATACAATCGAACTAGGTCTTTAGTGGTTTTAACGCATTCGCCAGTAGCGAAAAGAATACCCTAATTAAAAATATTCAGATGTGATCATGTCGTTTCGAATTCATTCATCGGATTACCTGGAAGATATTTGAAAGATCTCGTAAGTTGAATATATAATGAAATTTAATTGCAGTTGGAAGAAAAGTCGATGCTACACGCTGATGTACTGCAAGTGCGCCATCCACTAGTTGTGGAGTATAACGTTGAATAGCTTGAGTGAACGGTGCGTTATGCGGCGCTGATAAATGCTGAGATAAAATACTATTGTATATAGTTCGTAGCGAATCCTGAAAATAGAACGAATGTCAAGAAGACAGAACTGCCTGAGAAAATGTCGATTTACATGTCCAGGAAATGAGACAGCAAAGACAGCAAAATGTCTTTGAATACGAGAATCAATCGTGAAGTTACCAGCAGTTGGATTCATGCAAGCCACATACTGACAGTTGTGAATGTCACGTAAAGTTAATTTTTGTCGATCATACCAATGTTTATAGTCAAGATATTGTCGAAGAATGGTATGGGCTTGAACAGTATAGTATTTATCCATTTCCGGCATATTCATATCATCTAAACAATCAATATTCGTTCTGTCGAAATATGATTTCGGATCTACAATTTGAATTTACCGATGAAATAAACAAGTCGTTTATTTCCTGGTGGACCATAATTACGACCTGCTTTACGTTCAAGTGGTTTCTCCAGAATGGATTGTAACATTTCTGACGATGTATAATAGTTGAACGGAACGTTCACAACCGTCCATAGTTCATTATTTAATGATTGTAATTTATCATTAACAATAACAGTTTTTCCTAGAATGATTCGTTTATCAGAAAGAGCAAATGATTACTTCGATTCTTTATGCTTACCACTGCCAGCACCTCCCACTAGCATAACAGGATATCCACGTTCCATGAGAAGATCTAATGTAAATAATTGACTTTATCAGTATCATGTATACATGATTGTAACTTACCCATCCAGTATCGAATTCGAACTGTTTCCGGCGTTGGTACCAAAGCCGCTTGTAGAGGAATGTCGGGATCAAGTTCAAATTTGGGTACTTTTTTACTCCATAATTCGAATTTTTTCGTTTCAGAATCAATATAATAATCAAAGACAGTGGTATGTGCTGTCGTTGGAAACTTAACTGCTTTAAATTCCAGGGTCCACCAACGTGAGAATTCCACGCGATGATCAATTAACTAAATATCGAAAATTCAAAATATTATCTTCAGATCGAACATATATGAAAACAAATCATCATTTTTCATATTCAATGGGGTATGTACAACAATCGATAGGAGAATTTCAAAGTTAGGTATAATCAAAGCTGAGCGAACGATCAATATACTTACATCCGACCGAAAGGCAGTATACTATATTTTGTTTTATTATTGAAATGAAATTTATAATTCGCTTACAAACGAAACACTATGCTCACCTGATCTTGAAATAAGGATGCGCCCATCGCCCATATGCAAGCCCAAACGAAATATTGTTCGTAGAGTTCTTTCGAGCAATCCGGTGGACAGTTTTCTGGAACAAGTAAGCATTCCAAGAGATGGCACAACGTCCACACGTGACAACCGTCGACGAGTGGAGTAATTTTTTTGAAACGATTTGATTTTAACATTTCCATACAAGGTGGAAGATATTTATCAAATAGAATTTGCAGATTAGCACGTTCGGATTGAATTGGCCGAGAATCGATCCATGTTGCGACTTGTGGACCTGCGACAAGAAGAACAAGCATATATTTTAAACATGGCGCAAAAAAAACACACCCCAGCCGAGATCTTGTGGATTGATGTATAGAATACCGGCACGTGAAACAGTAGCTGGTGTTGCCGTTCGCAAGTGACTGATTTCAAATAGTAAGCGCATTGTTGGATTCAAGGGAATACGTTCATTACTAGCCAAAGTTAACACTTTATTATCATCCATGACTGTATTTAAGGATTCAATCCACATTGGATCGATGTCACCATCGAGAACAATCCATTTTGGACCTGAAGAAAAGACATTTACCGAAATTAATTCTCTTTTGTTATTGTTTTTTGTATTACCATCATGCGCCATTGAAGCAAGATCACGCATGATCGTGGAAAACAATCCGTCTTTCCATTCGCGTGTTGATGGATTCATAAAGCCAAACAATTCATTGTTCGTCACTGCTTTTGGATCGAGATCAATTGCCACAGGCCGTCGTTTTTCATTCGAATACAATCGATTCAACGTTTTCCAGATTTGACTTTTACCTGTACCCGCATTACCAACAATGAAGACGGAATGACGAACTTCGAAAAGCTCCTTCAATTGAACAACTTTGAGAATAAATGCATCTTCCGGTTGAAGTTTAAGATCAAGAGCGGCACGTTTCACTTCTTCTTCAAATTTCAGATCTCGTTTACGAGGCACATCAAGTGCAGGAAATAGATCTCCGATTAAACCCTACAAATAAAACATTGTATCACACTCCTACCAACTTCAATGTCTGACATACCATGAAAATTGGCAAATCATCATGTACAATCTTTGGAATATTGAAATCTCGTAGTGCTCGCATTAGAACTTCTCGTTCCGGTCGATTTGGATCAGCACGACGAAGAGCACCAGCTACAACTAACACTGACTTAACTGCTCGTAGGCCCCAATCGTAATGGTGTTGTTTGGATAATAATTCTTTGCATAGATTGTATAGAGTAATGAATTTGCACGAAAGCAATTTGCCATCTTTGAAACCCGAGGTTACAAGCATAATTTCACAAATCATTTCAATATCTGGAACAACCATAGCACATGGACGAAACAAAGCCTTCAAATTTTCTGGTAATTCTGTTCGGCCAGCATAGCCAGGATTCTATGAATATTAAACAAAAAGTCAATGTACATCAAAACGGATTTTCGATTTGCTGACGAAACATACCATTGTAATAAAAAGACCAACGACAGGGTTAAGACTAATGTCAGTACCCATGAAGTTGAACCGTGGTTTTTTATCCCGAATAGCATCTTGAATTGTTTTGACTTGGACTGCAACGACCTGTTGAGGAAAGAAATGATTTTGATATGGAAAATAATCCAGTGGAAGGTTGTCAGACATACCGAAAGTACTTCGACAGAGATTCGATTGAATTCATCGAAACAACCCCATGCACCTGTTTGAGATAGGCCTTTGTAGATATTTCCAATCGATTGATAATCCATCTGTTCCGAGCAGTTAAAAACATAAACCATCACACCCAATGCTCGACCTAAATCTTTTGTTGTCTCGGTTTTTCCCGTACCAGCTAGAAATACATTGAAAATGTGATATCATTGATTCTAAAATAAACTCTTTACCTGGTCCAGCAGGTGCGCCGCCCATAATTAAATGAAGCGATTGGGTCAATGTGATATAGCACCGATCTGTCAATGGTGTAATAACTAGACGTGGCTGATTGCCAAGATATTCATGTGCATAGCGAAATTGAGCATCACATATGTTAGCGAAACAGTCTTTTTCCCGTTCGTCCCATCGATGTCTTAATTGGCATTGCCATAAAAATTCACTAGAGTTTTCCACCTAGGTAAACATTACTCGTTTCTATTCATGTTCGAACTAAACGTATGAACTTACTCGCGCTTGAATCATTTTTGCCACGACATCACGAGCGTGTACGTCAATTGTACAAATAGTTTCGATCTTTTGTCGTTCTAATGGTGAGATATCCGTTAATAGCATTTCAATCAAAGCATTCAATTGACCAACAGCTTTCTTATAATAATCTTTCAAGCCATTTTCATAGCCTTCTTCAATACGTGCGAAGGCAGAATTGACTTCCATCGTCCAAAAGACTTGAGAACCAGTTAAAGCTAGAAAAATAACATTCACACAATTCTATTCGTTTTCTTTGTCTCCACAAACCGATTTGTGCTGGATAATCTTGAACCCAAAGCTCGCGCGGTTTATCTTCGTAGGCATTGATTGCTTCTGCAAGCCAATAACGAACAGTTTCGCGCATCTTATCCAGTAAACGATTGAGCCAAACTTCGACTTGTCCACTGAGATCGCATGGATCTCGAAAATCGACTTTTTCAGATTCTTTCGAATACATCGCAATCGCTTCTTTGGATTTCGCATCTCGAGTACGTTTGTTGTCAATCAAGTCCAGTCTAGCAATCGAATCAAATAATTTACTAAACAAGCAAAAAAGATATTCATGTGTAATTTAATAAAGATCTGTCTACCTTAAATGTCGCATGACTTTCTCTGGGACATTGCCATTGGATAGAATATCCAAGAGTTCAGCTGGTGACACAAAATAGAATCTAGAAAAAGAAGTAGGTCTTAGTCTACCATGCGAGCAAAATTGAACTCACCGTGGAAATGCTAGACGTTTTGTTTCGAGATATTCCGCAAGAGCTTTCTCACAGATGGCTAAACGATTTTTTATGCTTTCTAACTGCTCATAAACACCGTCTCGATTCGTGCAAGCGATAACATTCAAAACACGTTGATTTTCTTCGGCCACTTTCTTAAAATCACGATCAATCTCATCGAAGCGTTGTGAATGTTCCGGTAGTTGTTTTCGAATATCTTCAGTTCCAATAAAAATTGATTCTAAATGCGCCCATGTCTTCTGCACTTCACGCAGAATCTGTATAACCTGATCTGCTTGACTGAGCTTCTTTTGCCACGACGAAACTTGATTTTCAAAAAATGCGATATATTTCGATTGCAACATATTCTGTAATTGTACTTGATGATCTTCCAGAGTTTCGATCAGTTCATCACTTGCTGTTAACAATTGAATTCCAGTACGTGGATGTGGATCCGTTGTGAATTCCATAGTTTTCCACGTATTTTCAATATCTTTGATTGTTTTCTCCATACTCATTTCTTTCACAGCTTTATCGACAATATTTCGCACTTCTTCTTCGTAATTGTACAAATTCAGATTGAGCAATTCTTCGAGAGTGGTCTGCGCGGACATGGAGAATTGCACACCTGTGCATGTCATCAGTTCATCCCAATGACGTTCACGTATAGCTGGATTTTGTAATTCAGTTATCGAACGGAGTGCAGTGATCGTATTCTTTAGAATTTGTTCTAGTCGAATATACGCATTCCATGAACGCATTTCTTTGTCGAGTAATTTGATATCGCGTTGAAATTTTTTCACCTCAGCATCCACTAATCAGATCGAAAAACTTTTTCATTAAGATATCACTGCATATGTGCGAACTTACTCGCTTCAACATTGATTTCACGCCAACGTGTGGATTTCCAATCGTCCATACTGTATCGAACTAGACTGATGTAATCCCAGAGTTGTTTCAATAGTTTGATATCCTTTCGACATTGTTTGATAAGTTTGAAATCTGGAAAGGAAACTTCGAATAATGCAGATGATTTCATTAGTTTATCCAATTCCGCTTCTTGTTTAGCTAAATCTTTGTTAACTCGGTCTAATTTCTTATAAGCATTCGGTGTATCGTAGGCATATGGAGCTTCGTTTTTGAATCGTTCGCGAAATTGTGTTTGAATAACATCGAACTCAGCCAGACGCTGACGGATCTTTGCGTTTTCTTGCGCTTGTAACGGTGCGACATTCTGTCGAACGGCAACATAATTACGTTTGAGATTCAACCATTTTTCGGGTAGGATTTCCAATTGCTCATGAACTTCTTCCGGCAATTCTTGATTGTAGGATTTCAATAGTTCAATGGTTTCTTTCAATGGTGTGAATAATGCATCGGTGGCTTGTTCCCGTTGTTTAATTGCAGCTAAATGCGCCATAATTTCAACGAGATGGTTGTAATCACCTTCTTTAACTGGACGTTTTAGTTGTGCATCCGTTTTTTGAATAAATTCTTGAAGTTCGTTCAAACTACAACAACAACAAACAAAGAATGTGCGTTGTTAGGTTGACAGTCAATGACTTTTACCTGTTAGTAACATGTTCAATAAGCCATTGTTTGAACATGAACGACCATTTCTTCACTGTGCTCATTAATGTTTGTTTGAATGGGCGTGCATCGATTCGGAACCATTTGTCATAGATCTGGATTGGATCAATCTTTCCTACTTCGTCATAGATTGCTTCATACGTATCGATCTGTTCACGAAACTGTGCGGTGGTCGGTGAATTTTCTGGAATACCATCGAGTGCATGTTGTTGAATCTCTTCGGGTGTCAGAACATGACCGTAGAGGAGAAATTGACGCATAAATTCTTTACGATCGTCTGTCCACAGATAGGCATAGCGATCGAACGAACGTTGGTATTCATTCGCTTTGGATAGTACACGATGAACACGATCGTTGATTTCATGGCGAATTTCGGTCAGTGAACTCATTTCTTGAATGTCCGGTTGATAGTTCTCAAGAGGAAGATGCTTAGCTAGACGTGGGATTAATGAAGCTTGTTTGTACGAGTTCGCAATGAGACTATCGACAAAATCAGCGAAGCCATCAGGTGCATTGGGTTCGATCGAAGGCGAAAATAACATTTCTGGAGGCTAAACACAGAGTAAAAAAAACATAAAATTCAAAAGTGCTCCTACAAAATACTCACATGAACTTCGAGAAAAACTTGAAATAATGGTTCGGGATTGTTCTTTCGATCGGTTTCTTGTCGAAAGAAATCTAGATCACATTGGACAATGGCATAAAAGCCGTCGGTTAGCATTTCATCAATGTATTCAATATAAGCTTTCCAATTTTCCGATGTAGACGAATCGTTCTCCTTAACCTCTAAATACTCTCGATTCTCACGCACTAAGCCATGTATACGATCACCAGCTTCACGAACTTCCCGGTAGCGTTTATTCAATCGTTCTTCTAAATCCGATACGATCAAAAGGTTATCAGCACTGATCTGTTTTTCATTGGCACCGCCACGAGCACTAGCACGCTCGTAAAGTGGACTTTTCGACCATGTGGCCATGATTGATTGAATTTCGAGAATGTTATTTTTCGATTTTTGAAGTCGTTGTTCAAGATCAGATACTATCGTTCGGGTATGAATAATGTGATCACGAATATCTGCACATCGGAAAAGGTACACAGAACAGCTAATCGAACGATTCAGTTACTTACTAGGTGTTGCCCAGGTTAGTTCATTTTCTGCCTTGGATAATTGTTTATCGATAGAGGAAAGTTGTGCTTCGATTAATGGAAACTCGACTTCTGCCACTGTTTCGCGAATTTTATTGTAGGATGTGATGGTATAGTTTAAATTGTCGATGTAAAATAAATATGTTTCATTGTCTTTGTAGATATCGAGAGCAGCTTGTGGGATATCTTTATGGTCTTTGATTTCGAGATAGCGGACTTCACGTAGAACTGCTTCAAGCTAGAATAGAGAATATTTGTCAAAAGTGTTCCCGTCGAATGAAGAATGACGTACTTGGGGATGAAAGTTCAATTGAATGAGATCATTCTTTCGATTTCGTGTGATCAAATTCTGATTCAGATTGAATTTCGATGCTTCGCCAACATTAGAAGCCCATTCTTTATAAAGGTTTTGAACAAACGCATCGACAAGCGCATCTAATTCATTGTACTTTTCTTCAATCCGTTTTACTTCTGGCTTTTGCGTTATTCTATTCCAAAACAACAAAGAAACTTCCATTACTAAACTCTTTCCGCATCAAGTTTTGTACTTACTCATTTTCCATCATGCGAAATTGTTCGACAGGTTGTGTATATCGTTGTTTAAGTTCTTCCGCCCAAACTAAACTGCCTGCTACTTTGGTCATGTTACGTTCCAATTGAATCGACCCGTGCTCTTCTTGATAGGCCATTTGATGATCGAATAGTTCTTTGGCATCATCCAATTCTTGCTCGACTTGTTTGAGAATTATTGGATAATTATGGGCAAAAACATGATTGATTTTTGATCGATCGAGTAACGAACCGAAGATTTGAATTAGTTTGAACATACTCTCAAGACTGTTACAATCATTGAAGGCTTGATTAGCTATACGACCTAGGCGACGATCGAGATCGTCGATTGTGTCTTGAAATTGTTCGATGTCCTCGATAAACTCCTACGGAACGAAACATTGATGAAATAAATCGAATTTATCAACACTTTTTTACCGTATTTTTCGTATCGAGAGGATTGTACGTTTTGCTACCGAATTTTTCGAATGCTTCTTTGAATTCTTCATAGATTTGTATGATTTCCATTGACAAAGCGCGGCCTAAAATCACCAACAAGTTCTTTAAAAAGTACAATCTTTGCCTTTTCTACCTTTCACGCCACCGATTTCAACTTTTTCTAATTTAAGAAAAGCATGTGCCGTTGAAAATAAATCTTTGATCTTCTCCACTCTTTGCATAAAAACATCCCATTTCGTAAAGACATATTCCGACGAGAAATCCCATTTCGAGCCCATTCTTTGTCGTGTTTCTTCATACTCATTACGAAATTCTTGTAACGATTCCATTGTATCGTCAATTTTTCTCAATGCTTCATCTACTTCACCTTTGAATAATTCCATTGGTTCTAAATATTCACTTGCTTGTTTCATAACTAAATTACATATTTCTTGGAGAAGAACAACAATTCGCGGTGCACTGGCATAGTGTTCACAATTATCGTAAACTAAACCGATGACACGAAACATGGGCTTGAAGAGATTTTTCGCTTCGAGGAAATCCGTGGTTTCTAATGATTCAAAATGACTTGCTAATGGACGTAGGTATGTATCAATATCTTGCGCTTCGTCAAGTGCATAACTAACATCGTCTTGAATCTGTTGAAATGATGGATAGTAGGAACTTTTACTTTTGTCGAGTAGTTCACCCATTTTACCAACGCGTGGGTCATGAAGCTAAGAGAAAAATGAACGAGCGATTCTTTTTCTCCTCGCAAATGCTCTTTTACTTGTTCGGAAATCGATTCTAAATGTGCACGTTTGGATTTCCAAAATTCGATTTCAGTTGATGGTAAAGGATCAAGGCCATCGAGTAGCGGTTGTGCGGAATCTTTCTTTAAAACTTGACGAATTTGATGTGACCATTCGATAACAACCGATTCGACTGCATGAACTAATTTCAGGTCAATAACTTCTCCGCTAAAGTATAAAATTTAATGTTACATAACGAGCTATTTTCGTCTTACTTTTTCGAACTTGTTTGTGCTGATTCATGTGCTCGGGAATGTCCATTAGTGTTTGTTGTTGTTCCATTGGATGTTGTCGATGACGATGTGTATTTTGGATAAGGAAGTAAAATCTTTCCCTTCACAAGACTATTGACCACTTGAAGTTGAGATTGAAGATCAGAAACGTGTTTTTGTAAATCACTCGAGATAACATCGGGCCACTCTTCATGATTTTGAGGCGTGGCAATCAACGGACGAACGACCTACGTGATATTATCAGAGATATATGAGAAAAGGAAAAACAAAAACGGGTTTACGTCATTAACATAAATTTGTAATTGTTCGAGTGCTGCATTGGATAAATCACCAAAATTCAAAGCTGAAGTCACTTTTTCTTTGGATTCGCGCTGCAACGGTTCAGGTAGTTTTTTCGCGAAAAAACATGCCTTGGTTTTCAATGATGCAGGAAATGCCGTTCCAACAACCTGTAATAGATCAAAATCGAAAGGTTTCGCTCCGTAAACTCAACCGTTCAAATCATCTTACAAGATTGCCGGCTGGGTTAACATGAAAGACCAATAGGGTCGGTTGAGCTTTGTCACAAAAGTCGAGAATAGTTCGATTTTGATCTTCAATTTGAACCATTTTGGTCCATTTATCCGACCGTAGCCGTAAAGATTTGATTAAATAATCAGCAAGAAAGAAGACGCGAACGTCAGCAATATCGAGTTCATCGGCCATCTTGCCGAGTGAGAATCTAAAAATGGAAAGCAAGTACATCGACATACCTTTTTTTTTCATTTCAAATTCAAGTATTAGTAACAAGTACTTGCCGAAAAGAAAAACTCGCGTACGACAAATAACTGGCAAAAATTCAAGAATAGCTTTCTTTTTATTTTAGACGCCGAATAACAATGTCGTCGTCATCACTGCCGTCGAAAAGGAATCGATTAATAAGTTTCAAACATTTCTTTTTTCTTCTTCTGCTTCTTCCCATGCCTACCTATCCTACCGTTATCAACCGTTCTCGCTCGCTCTTCTTTTCTTGCCTGCAAAGTGCAAGTCGAACACACATACACATATACACTTACATGACAGTTGCTAAGGAACACTTTCTCTTTTCTCTTTTTACAATCTTTACCTAATTCTTTCGACTACCTCATTAATAATGTTGATTCAAAACCTATATGTTGAAGTCAAAGAGAATGAGAGACCTTCCTTTTGTCCATGATTGCAATTTTCGGATGCAATCAAAATAAAATTCGTTGCCAGTTATCGCCGTGACATTTACTCTCTTGAAATTCGGTCAAAAACGACTTAAATAGATGTTTGTCTACAGTCAGTCTATCGACTAATCAGAAGAGCGTTGAAAAAACAAATATGGGCACTTGATAATGACAATGTTACGTCAAAACTCACATTAACACGGCGTTTTCATGAGGAAAATGGAAAGGTCGATCACTCGCGACATCTATGCTGAAAATATCAGAAGAAAGTAAAATTTTCATCGACTAATTTACATTAATTCAAAAATGTGAATGAAATGGATTTTAATGAAATTCCGCAGCTAAAAATTTCCGAATGATCATCGCTACAATCAATTGCAACCGCGTGTTGACGTTCGAAATATGTGTGACACTGATGTTTTCTTTTCCTATTTATTGATCTAAGATATGAAATTCACTTTTTTTTCTTTTGGAAAATTTTTTCCAATGCATTTTTTCATACGAGTAATTTCGTTTCTCTTGCAAAACTGTTCATTTTCATTTGTTGCCTTAGTTGCACACACTTGAAAGATTTTATCAACTTCTGATGACGTTCAACTCATTGAACGTTAAAGACATCTGAACTCTCTTCTTCTCTTCTTTTTTGTGTTCTGTTTGATTAGGAAAATAGCCGGATTGGATGAAATCTAGCTAAATAACTTGACAGAAGGAGATAAACAAGTGAGGAATGAGAAAGCAACAGACTCGATAGCATTTTTATTAAAAGTCATCGCGTCATATGATAAATCTCTTTTCTTTCAGTTAATTGACATCGATTTAAACAATTTCTCAAGCAATTCAACATGTTTTGGGAGTGTCATGTTGTTACATCTTCAATTGATAAATTACTGGAATTGCCCAACGACGAACGAAAACTGCAAAATTTCCTCGATGAATCGGACTTGATTCAAGAATGTCTCAATCAAAACAAACTTTTGCTCGACTATCTCGTTCAAGGCGATGTTATGCAAGAACTCATTCGTCATGTTATTACTGTTCCATCTGATGCAAATTATCGCTATGCGAATGTCGTCAGCGAACTCTTATCCGGAGATTTCCAACGTGTCCAAGACGCCCTGTTAGAAAAAGAACAACTGAACCTATTGTATTCATTCCTATTATCAACCGAGGAGCAAACATTGAACCCTATCCTTGCATCTTACTTTACTCGAATTCTCAATACGTTAATCATACGGAAACCGAATGAAATGTTGACTTATTTCAAATCTCGTCAGACATTCAAAGAGGACTTCTTTCGTCATCTGGATTCGACCTCAGTTGCCGATATATTATATCATTTAATATCGGATTCGGGCGAACAACGTTCGGACGTGATTAAATGGTATGAAGATATCAATTTAATTGACGGTCTTATCGAACAATTACTCGTCGCTGAATCAAAATCCATTCAGATTAACATCACAAGTTTACTTAGTGAACTTCTACGTTTAGCATTCGATCAACAAATCGGGATTGATTTCGATGCAGCTGGACCATCGTTATCTGCAACTATTGAACGATTACTCTACGGGAGAACGGACAGTAGTAATCAAGGTTTGTTGATGAATTGCTATGTCTTCACAGTCCAACTTTGATTGCATGTAGGAACATTATCTGCGCGACATTATTCATCGAGTAGTGATGATGAGAAAAAGTCGACAACTGCGGACAACGAAGAGAAACTAACACCAGTAGTGCTTGCTCAGCATATCTTATCGAAATACAATCTCGAACGAATATTTGATACATTATCCAATCGTCCGATTCTGGTCGCAGTCGGTTGTGAATTTCTTGAAAGTATTCTCGATCTTCTCAATCGCCAGATGCCTGTGCCCATCTGTATTTCATTGGCATCGAATAGAGACGAACCAATGCAGGTAAACGTCACCTTTCGCTAAGAAAGTAATCGATTTTCATCGAGATATTCTTAGGTTGACGATGAAAGCGAGACATCACCGGTAAACAAATCAGCTGAGAATGAAACTGCTCTAGCAAATCTTGCTAAAGATCCACTTGTTCGTATTTATTTTACACTCATTGAAGTGATTCCATCTCGCTTACCATCGTTAATTAACTTACTCTCTTCGATGCCGTCACAGCCGCTAATCTCAACAACGAATGATAATTCGTCAACAGTAAAGTATCAATTCATCCACGAACCACTTGGTATGTTTTGTTTTGCGTATTCTCGTCTCGAAACACTCGATTTTCATTTCTTAAGGTTCGACACGTTTGAATCTAATCAAATTCTTTTCAAAATTAGTCTCAACAATCGCGAATGATTATTTCGGTGATCATATCTATGAAATCATCAATAAAAATCGTCTCTTTCCTATTTTAATCGATCTGTTTCTTCGCCATCAGTACAATAATTTTTTGCATACGCAAGTTTATTTCACCATTCGTTCGATTGTTCAAAACAGCTCAATTGCAGTCAAACAATCGACCGATCTGTGGACACGTTCGAAAATCGACAAAATCGATCAGTATTCTGAATCTTCGCCATTCCACTATAAAAATCGTTATTTATACAAGTTATTACAATCACTTTTGAATCCAACGGAACTGAATTTGTTCGAACGGTTATTTGATCATTATGAAACAACGAAATCGAATACGAACAATGAAAGCAACCGTTTTACATCGCCAAATGCAGGACACGTTGCTCAAATCCTTCGTTATCTGCGTGATCACGCGTCGATATTCGATAACTATTCGACTGTCTTTCAACATACAGACGAAAATACGAATTCATTGGAACAACGCTGGCAAACTATCCTTGGCCAACTTGGCGAAGATGAAAAGAAATGTCTAGCCATGCATCCGAATGAACGTACAACGAGCAGTTTTCGCTCGACGACTTCATCATTTTTGACACACATGGGCAGTGCAACTGATAATACCGAAGCAAGTCTCCGTCGACAAACATTTCACATGAAATCCTTCGCTACGAAACCGTTGACAGATGACGACGAAGAAGATGATGTAAATATATCTCTGTGCTAAGATAAACTTTCTGCTGAAAGACGAGCACAAATATTGACTTGTTTTTGTAGGAAGAAGTCGAACGATTGGATATCGACGACGAACTGATGAAGAGTGATCAAACAACAAATGAAAAGAAAGTGACAGAAATGAAAAAAGTAAATTCAGATTTTCGGCCAATTAGAAGTCAAACTGACGTCTCATTTTCTTCTAGATTTCATTTGAACCAGCGTTTCCCTTGCAACCCAATGAGGACGAACTGTGGTATCAAGCAAGCAACGATGAGACTCAGACAAAAAAAACTTCGAATAATCCAAGTGATGAGAATAAACTGCCCACGCCTCCGACGTTACCGGATCTATTTGAAAATCATCGAATGCAACAAGAAAGAGCTGCTACATCTACAACGGAAACCAATTTCGAACAATTATGTTCAATACGAGTCAATGAGAACAACAGTGAATCTGGTTTTTTTCCATTTCAATCCTCATCGACACTACGAGATGAGGTAGGAAACGAACAAAACGACTCCTAACTAAATTAAAGAAAAATCTCGACAAATTCTGGTTTATACAAAAATAAAAAGACCATATACATACAAAAGTCTGTCTGTCTGCTGCCGCCCGCCTTTCGTCCCTTTTGATATCCATTTTGTCGTCTATTTCGATCAATTGAACATTTTTTGCAGTTTGTTTTTATATCTATTTTTCTTTTGTACGCAGATATGTATGTGTATGTTTTTCTTGTCTTAGTACGCTACGAATAAACAAAACAAAATGCACTGAACATATACCCATCGAATCTTTTTCATTTTCTCTCTCTCTCTCTGAACGTGGCGGCAGTAGACAGATCGAATGAGTTGAAGATTATTTCCATGTTTTTCTTTCTTTACTCTAGGCGTCAGCGAGTAATGATTTCTTCTGGAAGGATCGGCCGATCTTTTTAGCAAATAGTACTAAAAATCGATCGCCAACATCATCCGACGAAGGAAGTGATGATGATCATGAATCCAAAACTGATTTCAATATATCCGATGATGAGAAGTACTTCGTCAATAATGAAACAAAACCGATGGAAGCTGTCCAATCAAACAATATGATGGATATCTTTCGACGACAATCATCGAATTCAGCTGAAACAAGTTCAAGAGTACCGAGATCATCGAGTACGCCCGAACGGCAAACAAACAACCCAGATTTATCTTTTGATCGACAAGAAAATGGAAATGTGAACAGTGCGGATACGGAGGATGATGACTTGGAATTGCAAGACAATTTTTCGTTTCTTATTGCCAAAGGTATGCTCAAACGACCGTCATCGTCATCGTCATAGCAATATTTTTGTTTTCTATACATCTATTTTGTTCGTGCGCTTTAATATATTTGTATAATTGTGTCTGTGTTCATTTGATTTGTCCTTTGGCCGCTGCAACTTGATTTTCAAACGTATTTAGGTGTATTTTCGAATTCATTGGCGCTGATTCATAAAAGAAAAATACACGAGATGAATATTGCAGTTCTTCTTTTCATGAAAGTCGCCATCTACTGTTCTATATACTGATTAAGCGTCGACATGTAAGAGCAAGAAAAGCTAAACTACGAATGGGTCACAGGCACGAACACTGCTGAACTGTTCAACAACTCTATTAAGAACAGAAAAACGTTTTTTTTTAATGAATAGTGCATCGAATGCGGACATACCATGATTTAGAGAATCTCTCGCAGCTTCAACTGCGTCATGGGTTGTCACGTAGATTTTATGAAAATCAATTTTCTCATAAAACTTCATTACATCAAATTTTTGACGAACTTCGACTAAATGAAACGATTGGATATATCAAAGCAATGTTCAATGACTTACAGCGACATTCACTCAAGAAGAAAACTATTCCTCGCTTGTTCAGATCATGAAAAATCTAAAGAAAAAAAAAGAGAACTTCCTTAGAAAAACAAGTTCTTTGTTCGGGCCAGTGTCTTACATCGACGAGTAATTTGACACCGACTGTATCGATATAATTGAATGGTGAACAATCGAGAATAACACATTTATAAGGAGATTCACGAGCGTGAGTGTCTTTACTCTTTCCATACGGAATGATTGGCGACTGTATGTTTTGTATACCAATGAGTTCGTAAAATTTCCGCTTAAAAAATACGGAATTACATGCATAGAGAGATTCATCGAAACGAAGTATCTTGATGCGATCATATTGATGTGCCTAGACATGAAATGAGTACATTCGTCAGATACGACTTCTTGTAACTTACCAAAGGAAAATAAACAATATTTTTATAGATTCCTGTCGTATCAACTTGACCAAGTGTGACAAAACGAGGTCTGAAAGAACGATTTCAATTGATTGTTTCTTTCAGAATCAATTCAACCTTACTTTTGAGTTCGTACGGTATTGATCACGAAGGATGTACATATACCAACGTACAAACCAATGTCTACATCGAACAAAACAACGGACACGAATGTCATCGTCCATAGAATCTATGATTATACGGAAATACAGTCATCTCCGGTGTTTTTCATTCATTCTTACGCATTCAAGCAAACTAATTCGGAAATAAAAGATCAGATCTTTGATTTGAAATATAAGGCCCTTTAGATTAACAATGATAATCGCTGCTAAACAAGTCATGGGCAATGAACGAAACAATGGCGTCAGCGCCACGATAACCGAAGCCAAAACGATCGAAGAAAATCCTCCAATCAGCAATGTTTTCCCACCACTACCTTCTTGAACAACCGAACGACTCAATGAGCCAGCATTTGGATAACATTGAAAGAACGATGAAAGCACATTGGCCATTCCGTAAGCTAACAATTCCTGAAATCAAGTCATTTCTTCGTCGAACTAGTCTATGACAAGGTACATGACGACGTACTTGATTTGAACTGACTTTATAACCGTGTTTTCGACTGAACATTTTGGCCATGGAAATCGAAATCGAAAAACTCACAGCAGCAATTGTGATTGCCGGTACGATCAGTTGATTGACGTGATCAAATGTGGGCAAGGCCGGCGGTGGCAAACCTCGTTTTATTTCTCCGACAATTGATATACCAAAGTCTTCATGTAGATGAGTAAAATGTGAAAGAACTGTTCCAATGATTATCTAGACAACTTTTTCGTTGCAATCAAAGAAGTTCATCAATATGTTGACATACCAAAACTAATTCTAATGGGAGTACAATGCGAATTTTTGCTTTAAATCGTTCGTTTAAATATTTCGCGAAGTATAAAAGAACTACAGAAGTGAGCCCTATCGCACTTGATACCCAATTAATACGGCGAAGAACTATATGAACTAGTTTTATATAGAATTTCGGTATCTTAAATGGGCCCTGGATTCCGCGCGGACTTTTCACCCCGAACATGAGTGGAAGTTGACTCGTAAGAACGTGAACAGCACTGCCTGACGTAAAACCACTGATGAACGGTTCAGTTAAATAAACACTTAAGAAGCCGAGACGTAGAAAGAACAAAAGAACCTAATCAAATGTAGAAATAAGAATGGATCTTGTTTTCGAAGTGAAACATTCGAATTTACTTGAATGAGACCGACAAGAAGAGCAAGCGTAGTTGATATACGAATTTTCTCATCAATCAACGAAGGTATTGATTCATTGGAAAATGTCTCATTTCCATTGTTTATCACGTGCATCGGTGAACTAAGGATACCTTCTATCGCTTGAGCGACCATCAGTGATATCACAGCAAACGTTCCTGAAAGCAAACAGTTGATGTTTCGTTTTCAAAACTCAATCATTATCTCAAGATTACCAATGGATAGGTGTGGACATGTGCCAAAAATCATATACACAACCACTGGATAGAACGATACATATAACCCTAACCAATCAAACGTTACAGAAATTATCTTTCAGATCAATTCGTTACCATGAACCGGTGGTAATGTTGTTAAAACGCCATAAGCCATTCCTATATTGACAAACAAACAAACAGTTATTTAAAACATGTTTTTTAGCTTACCCTGGGGTATATGCATGATCGCGACGATGATACCAGCCATGATATCTCCATAGAGATTTTGACGTATTTTGTAATCTTTGAGACATCGAATTAATGGAATCCGTTCGAGGATTGCATTGAGACAGCACAAAAAACTGAACGATCCGCAATGCTTTTGAAAATAGTGCTTAATATAATCTGTTCGAGTTAGATGTGTTTCATCTGCTCCATAGTGATCAACAAACGATTGAAAACTATGAGCTTTCGGAATAAATTCACTGACAACGGTTATATCTTGATCTATATCATTATTGCTAACTTCCTGGTCGCTCATGGCTTAAAAATAATCTAAAGCTGCAAAAGAAGTTTGAATATCCAATGCAAATCAACCCATGTCAATATAACATGTACTCATACGAGAACAGAACAGAAAATAAATTAGCGTGCAAAGGCTTCAGTCATGTATTCGCTATCTAAGCACGCCTTTTCATACACATACAACGAATATTATTACGTGCGAGTGGTATACGCAAGCTTTGATACTTATCGGTCGATGATTGAATAGTCGATCGAATAAGCCTCTACTTATCCTTGATATTGAAACTATTCAATGAAAATTTTCAAGTACTTCATCGATAAATTGTTATTCGGGATAAATTATTTATTCCTACAAAAATTTTAGTATAGAAAGAAAAATAATTTATAGCAAGCATACAACCTGAATGTGATTTTAAAGATTTGAACCTCATTCCGAGTCTCTCGTCAGAGAAATTCTACAAACATGAATTGCAAACGTTAGATCAGAACGAGATTTCTTTTGGTATATGTCTCTGAATGAATGCATGATGGTTGTTTGTTTTTTTCATATACAAAAGAAAAGAAACATTCATAGCATCACATGGTATGTATACAGAGGAGTCAGCAATGTGAAAAATTGGAAATAATAACATCAATAACAAAAGATATATTGATATGCAGAACAAGAAGAAAGAAACAGAGACAGAATATCGAAAGTTTTGTAGGGAAGGATACCAAGACAGAATAGAAATGATGGGTCGATTTCGTCAGATGAATTTGTGCATTGAAATCAAAATAGGATTGGCTTGTCGCGTGTTTGATCGACTACGTAAGATGTGAATCGTTTTATGAAACGCGGATATTCACGTTTGGCCACACTAAAATTCGAAGATTAGCTTTCACAATCGAAACGATGGAACAAAACTTTACTTTCTCACGCCCACACTAGGAACCCATCCACCTGGATTAACTAAAGTTGAAATACGAAGTTCGTCTACGTTTATTTCGAATGCTATTTACTACGTACTAAGAGCAACATAGGTTAGTTTGCATTCCAGATTTTCTCGTTTGATATCTTGTGGATTAAGTGGGGGTTCATTGATGATTGTTTCACATATCAATGCGACATTTGCTACTAGACGAACTTGAGGCGATTTGATCTAGGAAAGTAATATGATAAGTTTTCTTGAGAACTTCCTCGTATTGGATTTCCTTACTGGTGCAAGTGGATGCGGTGTTGTGTAGTTGACAACAAGCCATGTCGGCTGATCTTCTTCGGAATTGGATATACATCGAATATGCGACCAGAAACATGAATCACGTTGCGCAGCTGGCCATACACGTTTATGTAGTTGAAAAAATATCACTGTATCGGGGTCTAGGACTTCGATAATTTTGGTTGAATCAAGTGTAGCTAGCAATCGAGAGTAAACTTAGTGAATGAACAAACGACGTTTTTGTACGTACTTTCCCATTCCATTCGATATTGATATTCCCAAAAGTATCGACAAATTTCATGACCGGTAACACCCTAAATTCGGGATGTAATCGAAAGACCAACAAATTATCCATTCTATTTACTTTGATTGTATGGAAACATTTGAGAGGATCAATAACGATACCATTCTCTTCTACTTCACGTCGATAGACTTTCATTTCGCCCTCTTGGTGGATCAAATCCCAACCGTGACTGACAGATTCACGAACGTACTGTAAATGTTCTTGAACGATGCGTTCGATCTAATGAATCGAAGATGAAACAATCAAATATTATCCAAAGAAAGAAGCTATTTACTTCATTCGCTAGCCGATGTTTGCCTTGAATGACTAAATTGCCCTCGTGTGGCGTCGAGACTACTGTTGCATTGGTAACTGTTGTTGGAGAGATTTTGAGTGAAGATTTTGATTGATTGGCTGTTGCATCAGCGGAATTTTTTGATTTGGACGATTTCAACTAGACAAACGATACAAACATAAGTTATACGATTTCAATCCTCTCTGATTCATTCAAACCATATCGTAATCAATCTTATGAATACTGATGGATGAAATATGAAACGGTATTTGAAATCGTGAATTGCAGACAAGTGACAGGAAAGGATCTCTCGTGATTCCTTTCTCATGTTCGTTTTACTGTCGTCGACACGTCATTTCTCCCACTATTCTTACACCTGATGACTAACAAATTCTTCTCGTGGTTGTATGTATATGTTATAAAATAAGAACATTTATCTCGGCGAGTTATGTGTTGATCAAAGAACAGAACGGTTTTATTCGGCCTATAGCGCGTATGATTGATTACGATCTTAGTTACTCATTTACAATACGGTGTACCAAAAAGAAAAAGAACACTTACCACACGTTGATAACTATCAGTTTCACGATCGATTCGATCGAGAGATTGATCGAGTGCATCATAAAATTCATCTTCTTTTAAGATAGTATGTGGTCCTTCCTTGAAATAAGAAACAAATAATCATACGGTTGTGTTTCGAGCAAATAATTACCTCCATATCTGGAGAACCAAAAGCAGATAGTTTTTGTTTGTTGACTTTAGAATACAAGTCTTGAAATTTCTTTCGACGTTCTAGTTCCTAGGAATAACAAAACGAACGGTGAACTTTGTTTCTTTCAGGCCAATTGGCTCTCACTTTTTCATATTTTTTTCTCCAAATATCTTCTCGTTTTTGCATTAATTCAATACAAAATGCTAGATTATGAATGACTCCATCCGTAGTAGCTTTAAACGTCAGGGCTACAATGAAAATAAGTGTGCTAATCGATCAATTTCGAAGAAGAAGAAATATTCAACCTTCTCCTTTGAAGTCAATTGCCATAGCTGCATGATCACCCAAAGCTAAACGGTCGATTTCTATAAAGAAACTTTTCCATGAACAAAGACATTCACTCGTTTTCTCTTTATATCTCACTCGGTTTAGTTTTGTCTGGACAATGTTTATCCAACGATTCTTCAAAATCAATATCAGCAGCATTCTCATCTAAACAAAGTGCAGTTGAAAATCCAAAGGTAATACACGCTTGTCTACGTACATTCTTTCTGATATGGTTCGAACCCTGTTGTTACCGCATTCGCACAAGCATCGAAATATGTTTGTAATGTGGATACTTGTTGGACAAGTAGTTCTCGAAATGTTTCTAATTCATTTAATTTTTCCTTTAAATTCCGATCTTTCTAGAAGATGAATCACCGCTCGAAAGTTTGTTTCGAGTCCATCAAGACAATTTTCGCTTTACTTTGAATGAACCTGTCGACGCAATACTTGCGCTTGCTGTTGACGCTAGCGAGCCAAGACTTGGGTGGCGTCGAAGGCTCGTCTCACTTCCATAACCCGATTCGCTTTTACACAGTTGTTTGTGATCTTCCAATGCTTGAATCCATCGTTCACGATCTTCAGGACTATGTGCACGTAGATACCATACCGAATCGCCAACACGTACATCGAAGCGACATTCATCGAATTCATGAGACTAAAAGTATGAATGAGTACATGTTTCGAATAAACATCTATTTTTAGCATCAGGTGTCCGTAAGATAGTTATCTGATCTCAGCTGATGCTCACCTGTATTAGCGCTTGTTTAACAGAAAGAGCGCCTCGACAACCGAGACCAATGTCGGATGGACTCTTGTAATAATTTAAGAAGCCATTTTTCAAGATTAAATATCTTTCCTGCCAGCCGTGTAAATAATTCGTCCATTTGAAAAGTTGTCCTTGAAAATCTCCGTTTCGAAATGATCCGCTAGTTGTTTTCTCATCCTCTAATGATTCTTCATCATCGGATGTTGTTGGATATTCCACAATTGTTGCCATTCAGATAAAAATATTCTCATTTACATGTAAAGACGTAAAATGACGATAAAGCAAAACAAAAAGAAAAGATTCAAATCAAACAACAAGTTTGGATCCGAAGAAAAAAAAACTCAAGTCGACAAGAAGAATAATAAACATCCATTGCAGAAGATAAGAGAAAACTATGGACTAGATTCAATTATAATTGGTTCATCTCGCAGACGAATGGGATTGTAAGAATGGCACTATGCCATTCTTTTTCCTCTTCGCCTTGCTTTTGTTATTATCAGAACAGACAATCGACAAACGAATTGACGAAAGATGAATCTCTTCAATTATCAGTATCTCGGTCGAGAACATTTGAAAGGTCTTAATGAATACAAGGTAAACGAATAGCACGAATTGAAGTCGATTTTTTTTCTTTTGTTTGTAGTATAATGCGGTTGATACATCTCCAGTGTCGATTTATGTCATGCAACCATTTTGGAATCGGTGTGTGGAGGTATGATAATCACATTTTTGAAATGTTTTCTTGAATGAGATACCCATTTTCCCTAAGAATTCTTAATAATTTGGAAGAATAGAAGTATATCTAATGAAAAGGTCATATCTTTGAATAGCGATCAAAAAAACATCGTTAACCGGGACTCCCCGGGGGAATTTTTTTTTCGCTTCTTCCTGATTTCGTCAGGATAAGAGATGATATGCAGCTCGTTTTCAATTTCACTCGATTGCTGATCCAGTAGAAACTGATGGAAGGGTTAACTATCGGTCATAAACATTGACGATGATTGTTTAACAATGATAAACGATCGAATTCGATTGTAATCGACCGTAACTACTCATGTGTTTATTCTTAGTTCTTTCCACGATGGTTTGCACCGAATTTAATGACATTTCTTGGCTTTCTGCTGCTCGTTTTCAATTTCGTTATGTTTTCTTACTACGATTTTTACTTTACCGAAGCACTCGCTCTTCCACGATGGATATGGCTCGTTGCCGCTCTATGCCAGTTTTGTTCACATCAATTAGGTAAACATAAAGGCAATGAAATCGAGACGATTTTTCTTATTGTTTTGTGCACTTCAGACGGAATGGATGGAAAACAAGCTCGTCGTACTAAATCAAGTAGTGCACTAGGAGAACTGTTCGATCATGGTGTGGATTCATGGGCCTGTTTTCTCTTTCCCGTCTGCATTTTTTCCGTTATATCCAAAAGTGAATATGGTTTCAGTCCAATGGCTATGCATATGCTTTTATGGATCATTTACCTGTCATTCATTGACTCGCATTGGGAAAAATACAATACCAAAGTCTTATATCTGCCATGGTCCTATGACATATCGATGCTGGTAGATAATTTCATTAGAAAAATATGCATATTTTGACTTGATTCTTCTGCATAGATCATGACTATTACTTATCTATTAGCATATTTTTTTACTCCAGCTGTTTTCCATTTCGATGTTCCAATAATCAATATCCCATTTGCAAGATGCGTGGAAATCATCTGGCCTCGTAAGTTCCTTATTTTCGTCTTCTTGCAACATATTCCTTTTTTTTCCGAATAGTATTTGCAATATGTACGTCTGTTCCCATTAGTATTAAGCATATTCAAGAGTAAGTACAAAGAAGTTGTAATTTCATTCCTGATCTATGAATTTCGTACATAGATCGTATAAAAATGGAACCGGTTATAACCGAACGTACTACGAAGCACTTCGGCCATTGATCTCACCAGCAATTTTGTTTCTCTCGTCAACTTGGTGGGGTCTTGCTTCTCCTCATATGATAATGCAGAAACAATCGCGAATATTTTTCTCCGCTGTCGGTGCGACTTTTTCGAACATTGCCGTAAGAACAAAATGAAAATCTTTGGAAAACGCACTACGCTTTACGTTCTAGTGCCGTCTTGTCGTGGCTCAAATGACCTCAACGCGTTCGGATGGCGTCAATAATCTTCTCTACTGTTTCGTTCCGATACAAATCATGTCTGTCTACGGTGCATTTAGTGAAAAAATGGAATTCAAACTTTTGTTTCTTTTGAATATTTTTGTTATTTTGGCACATTTACATTACGCCATTTGTGTGGTAAGTTCAATTTTCATGTGCTATGCTCGATACGGATTATCATTTTTGTTTTCAGGTTCGACAAATTTGTGATCATTTGAATATTCGTGCTTTTAAAATTACTGATCAATCGAAACAACCACCACCAGCTGAAGTTCATGTTAAACATCAATAATAATCAAAGCATCTATATATCTTTGTTTCTATTCTCGGCTTGTCTGTTCTATGTCTAATCTCATCTACTCGTTTCTCTCACCCGCAAAAAGAAAAAATAAAGATTTTCGTGCAATATATCTATAAATAACCTTTTCCTATCTACTCTAATCGTGTTTTATTTATCGATGTTTTTTTTTTGTTAATCAAGATTTATATCTATATCTCTACATATATGTTTGTGCTTTTGTTTTGTTGATGTAAAATTTTTCAGTCACGTTCAATAGGATCTACTCGTCATTAGGAAAGTATTCAATACTTTTCTTGACAGGATCATTACTGATAATATTCATTGAAATAAATGGCTTGTTTAATATAGAACTCGCTGTCAGTGGACTGAGGCTACGAAGGAGTGTTTTGTTCACATGAGAAGCAAACAGACCGATTCAAACCATTGCTCTCTTATTTGTTCATTAGATTTATTAGCAGAAAACAATGACTTTGTTTCAAGATAACAGTTACATAAATGAGTGTTCATTTCTTATATAGGATCGCATTCATCTCACATCATTTCGTTTACTGTTAAGAAAATACCGTTTGGATTTTAAAAAGTATCGTTTGACATTCAAGTGAGATTCATTGTCATCGCTATCATTGAGATATTCATCTAATTCACGTCGCGTTGGTAGAAATCGTCGTTTGGCCATATAACGATGAGTTTCCATCGATTCTTCTTTTGGAACATTCTTCAAACAGAAACTTCAACAGTAAAGCATCGAGTACGTTAATCCCTACTTACATTCAGCTGGTTAGTAGACGAAGTATCAGTAGCGTGTGTGCCAATGAACAGAGTAACGAAGAGAAGGAGACTAAGACTTAAGAGAAGGTTTTTCAAGGTGATCGGCATGGTCTCTAAAAAACAAATGAACGATCAAAGTCGATGTGTGTGTATGCATATGACTTACGTGTGGATTTGTTTTTTGTTTATTCGGCGAAGAAAAATGTAGTCTGTTACCAATGACCTGGAGGTGTTTTTATATGAATGGTATTCAACTAGTTCTTCTTCCTTTTCTCGTTCTCTTCGAACGGCTATTTCCCTTTGTTTGATTTACTGTTATTTGCCACCTTAATTTCTTCACATGAGATTGCTTATTTCTGAGTACTAGAATCAAACTAGCAACGTAGGCGATTGAACGAAGTTCTGCAAAGATTTTAAATGAGGGTAATTACTACCGCAGGTGAAATTATCTGTATTGCATGCCAATAACTGAAGCTATTCGTCTGTTTCGAAGTCGTTATTGAAGTGTTTAAATTTTAAGTAGGTGCGTCAGCGGAAATTTTTGTCTTTAATTAGTAGATGTGATAATTGAACAATGCATTCTCTCATCAATCGAAAACAGGTACACGGTTTGTCGTTAGCCCTTAGTTTCGCTACTCATGATCGTACAGATTGGTATGTTGTTGAGAATAGATCAAAGCCTCCGTCTCGACGTACGTTCGTTAATCAAAGTGGTAAAAGTCAAAAGAATCCTAGCAGCACAACTAGTACTGAAAAATATAGATTAATAATCCCGTCTGCTAAAACATATTGCAGGTTTTCTGCTCGATGAAATCGTAATCAATCGTGATATCGTTTGAATACGGATGAGTCAGAGACGTTTTATGTAGGCGTTAAAATCATAATTAGATTCTTAAAGTGCTTTCGTCGTCTGCTGATCGTCGGACGCTTACTAGTAGCACTAAAATGTGATTGGGATGACCTTAACAATCGAGAAGTGGAGCGAAAGTATAATCCTTTCATATGATAAATGCCGATGCTGAAAAGTTAGGTCTTCGATATGACTTGGAAATAGCGTCTAGAAATGGGAATTTTTCTAGAGGAAGGAAATGCATAAATGGAAGTCTCTCCAGTAAGTTATGAGAAAATTAATTTTCCATACTCAGGAATTAGCCGATTATGTTCTTTTCGGTCTGTGATAAAATAATATGAGAGGCTTGTAAGTTGTCGGTTGTTTTATTTCAACGTCGTTAAAAAAACCACACGGATAACAAGAAAAACACAACAACGGCTTGGTGAAACGAAAAAGAAAAAAAAAACTTGTTCTGTTGCTTTTGTTTTCTAATGAAATTCAGTGTTTTTGCTTCATTTCATTCTCGAAAAATGTCATGAGAACGAAAAAAGACGGCATTTATTGTCCACCTGGACGTAATGATGATAAGCCAGCGCGAAGAATCTCATCGACAAGAATTAAATTGGTCGCAATCGATGTACTCGAGTGAATCAATTGCTTTTTCACACGATAATTGTCAAGTATACCTAATGATTTCGGTTCCATAGCTTCACCCGTGGCAATATCGATGCCAACGGGAATTTTTGATGTTGCATATTCATGTTGAAGTTTAACAATTGTCTCCTGTTGATCATGTCCCGCATTTTGCGCAATCGCCTTAGGAATAATTAACAAAGCTTCGGCAAATGCTTGAACACCTAACCGGGCACGACCTTTAACTTGTTCTTTGTACTGAGTGAGAGCTTGGTGAGCAATAATTTCATATGCACCGCCACCAGGCACAACGCAACCTAGATAATGATGCAGAGTGCAAAGTAAGAAAGCAAATGATGAATACTAACTGTCTTCAAGAGCATTGGTAACAGATCGGAGGCCATCGCGAAGAGCATCTTTCAATTGATTTAATATGTATTTCGTAGAACCTTTGAGTAGTACTGTTACGGATTTCGGATTTTTACAACCCTCGATAAACGTAAATTTCTCTTCGCCCTACAAGGAAATATTCACATGTTTTCCTTGTTTCTGTGATATTTACGCTACGTACCAAAACATGTTCGTAGACGTCTTCAGCGAAACCGAGACAATCTTTTGTTAAATTCTCAACTGAGCTAATAGAAGAGAACGGAAGTGATGAATTTGATCGACAATTCAAATTACTTACTTCATTGCTTCGCCACCACATGCTAAAGTTATGCGTTCCATATTACGACGTTTCGCACGTCTTAAAGCGAGAATACCATCTTTAGCGAGAACGTCCAATGAAAATGGATCAACGCCTTTTTGATTAATAACAACGAATGATTTATCTTTATCATCGCCCGAGCAGACTTTGCGTTTTAATTCAACAATCTTTTGAACGCGATCGTCAATAAATTTACGCTCGGATGCAACAAGACGATCACGTTCTTCGGCATTTTTATAAAAGAATCCGGCATTAACTTCCCTAAAAGAACAACAAAGATTCATTGTACTGAATGCCATTCCATCATCTTACGTTTTTTCGTATTCGAGTGAAACATTGCATGTTAGAATAAAAGCATTTTTCAATGCTTTTGGCATCGACGGATGACGGCCACCATGATCTAAAACAATGCCACGCACCAGACGAGAGTCAGCTTCGGTACGATGTTGCATCTCCATGACTTCGACCATATTCAAATCAACTGGTTTGCCTTGTTCGTATAACGCTAAGATAGCATCAACAACAATCTAAATAGGTAACATATAGACATCGTTGGACGATAAGAAACAGTTTTCAACGAACATCAGTGAGAATGTCGGCATTTTCAGCAGATAATTTGGTACGTAAGGATGTTCGGGCTATTTGAACAAGTGTCTCACGATCTGTTGTGATCGGTATTTTACATTTGTCAAGAATTTGTAATGCTTCTTTCTTAGCCAAGTCAAATCCTTCTGCGACAATACGAGGATGGAGACCCTAGACGAATAAAAATGTGCATTGCATGAATTTCTTTTTTTCGTCGTTGTACTTCGGAGATGTAAAGATCGGCTTGTTTGAGTAGTTCACCAATCAAAAGAACAATCGATGTTGTTCCATCGCCAGTGATATCGTCTTGAGCAGTTGCAGCACGAGCAATCAATGATGCAGTTGGATGTTGAACTTGCTACAATAAATCCGAAGCATAATACATTTACACGTCCAAATAGTTTTACAAACCATTTCATGAAGAAGTGTGTTGCCATCCTTGGTTATCTTAATATCACCAGCGCCCGACACCAACCTAGAGCATCCTAGTGTGAATAAATCGAATGAAATTTATGGTGATTTACGTACATTTTCATTGTTCCTTTTGGACCTAGATTTGTTTTGAGCATTTCTGCTAAACCACGTGCTGCTGAAATGTTAATTGCTAAAGCTTGTGCTTGACGAGCACTTTCTGCTTTGGGATTCAGTGTTGTAATTGCCGACATGATTTAATCTAAAAAAATGTATCATTAATGAAAAAATTCGACGCAGAGATCAACAAAATATGAAAAGAAAAGGAAAAACAACAAGAATAAAGATGAACAAATATGATTAATGTCTTTTCTGGATTTTCTCTTTTTCAATAACACATATATCTATCAACAATACACGGTTAATTAGATGTATTGACTAGATTGATGAAACTATTGCTCAGTTGGCGCAGACGCTGTCGTCGGAATCGTTTGGATACGAATTTCTGGTGAGACTGTTTCCGAATTATCCTCAATAACCGATAAGATCGATGATGGAATGGACGAACGCTAAAACACCGATAAAAAAATCGATTACATATGACCATCTCAGAAACGTTCTTACTTGTGGTGCGGACATCGAACGTATGTGACGTATGAGACCTTCGCGTAGTTCAGGTGCTGTTTGCAAAACATGTTTTAATTGCGGGGGAGGTAGTCGGATAAGTAATGGAAATGAGTGTGGACGAGTTTTTTGACAGCATTTTATGAAACCTTCCCAGATTCGCGCTTGTTTCCATGCCTGAAAAAAACAAACTCATCAATACTCGAATGACATTTTCGTCAAATTTACTTGTTTCGTGATCAATCGCTGCAAAATATTCATAACAAAACCGACCATTTTTGGATAGAAACTCAGTGCTTGTAAAACCGTTCGCATAAACAAAACGGGTATTGGATTGATATCCACAAGCTGTTGAATAACAATGGCAAGAACATTATGTGTGTAGATCGTGCGTTCATTGAAACATAATGTAGTCGCTAGAAGAGAAACTTTCTTGTGATGAATTCTTTTTCACAAAGAAAGAATTTACCATTCATGACAGTCTTTAGTTCGCATTCTTCTGGTGAGATTTGATGTAGAGCAACTAATAATTCAAAGGGTAAGATGGGACTTGTGTGTGGTGCTTCAGGCGAAGCTAAAACATAGTCATACAAAACGAGAATGTATATGATAGTTCAATTTACCATTAAGACCTAAGAGTCGGTTGAAAACTTCCTTCACAACTGGTGGAGTTTGTTTGATGAGTTTAGGTAATGCACTGATAATTTCTCTCTAGAATATGTTTCGTTCACGTATTTTCAGGAAAACATCAAGAAAGAACTAACCTTTTCTAAACCGGTAAGTACAGGTATGAGAAAGCGAACATCCGAGACTCGCTTTTGGTACAAATCTCGCACTTTTTCAACTAGAGCAGGCGAGGGCGCAGCTGAAACAAAACGAAATATAGTTTAGAAAACAATCATAAATATACGGAAATGATCCTACTTTGCTCAGTGAGAATACTGATAATACGCGTTACTAACGTTTCAGCACCTTTGGGACAATTTTCAACTAGTTTCAATAGTTCAGGACTATTCATACCCATTCCACGAACCTTTATACAATAGGAAAATGTTTAATCAGAGTGAAGAATAAAACTTACGGGAACTTCCAAAACACGACTGATGACACGTTTTATATCACCGTTAACCGCCGTATAGACTGTTGCTAATCTAAAGAAAACATTCCAACAACTTCTCGTTTGACGCGTTCAAAAATCTCATACGGTTGTATTAGCTGATGATTCAATGGCATTAAATTGAGATATAATGGTAGACAAAGCCGAATCGATTCTTCCGTCCATGTATCAACTGGTACTAGACGATAGGCGAGACAATATTTTGTTTATTTATGGCAAGAAAGATTCTACTTGTTGATGCTTTTTTGTCTTCACCAAAAAGTGCTTCAGGCGGTTGAGATGCCGTTAAGTGTTTCAAAAATTTCAAAGCGTGTCGCTAGAAGTATAGGAGAAATCGAAGTCGATGTGTATCTATGATATTCGCCTACCTCAATTGATTGCCTGAAGTCTTCTTTTTCGTACAAACTTTTCGCGATTCGTATTGCATTAGTTCGGACAGAATTATTCTCATTATGAGTAAAATCAAGTAATATATCCAAGAACTTTTCACGCATGTTTACTCGACGAAAGACTAAATCTCTTAGAGTATTCATACCGAATTGACAACGATTCTAAATTATACGTCGTACAACTTTCTTTAGAATGTTTCGGATATCGTAGGAAAGTTTTTACCTCGTCTTGACAATATCTTTTTAAGACAAGTAAGGCATTATCTGTGATCAGTGGTGCACTTGTTAACAATCGAGAAAATAAACTAAACGAAACGATCAAGTTTAGAAAATATACCACCGCATAATTAATGTTACCCATCACGTTGATCTGGTTTTTCTTGCAAATATTCCAAGAGACGACACAGTGTGTCATCGTATTTAGTAAAATCTTTTCGTTTATTTGGATCTAAGATACTCAAATATCCGTTAGCATACACATATTCTTGGTATAACCATGCAAAAGCGAGATCGTAACGTTTACGAACTTCAGCAAAGATATAATCTTCGTAGACTAAGATACAAAATATCAACGTCGAATCAGTTCATCGTGGGAGATTTACTTACTATCACGAAAACTTCGTTCGGATAAACACACTAATGAGGTCATCGTTTTCTTTCGCACATGACCGACTCCAGCTGTTTCACAAACATCTAAATAGAAGCAAAAAGAAACGAACGATATTGGATAATCTTTATTGGTGAAGGAAAACAACCTTCTGAATTTAAAATTCGATAAAATGAATCGGTGGACATTCGTTGCATTTCGTCATATTCGATTGGTTTAATTGCGTCAGCTAGTTTAAATGGTTTCATTTTCTTCTGCTGTACACCTGGAATTGTTGACATGGTAGTAATTCCTGCTGTGGTCGATAACATATCATTTGACTCGTTGTCGCCAGCTGATAATACATTTGGTTTACTCTCAACATCTGCCGAAGATGAAGAGTAAGATCCATCACGAGCAACAGCTGTCGAGTTCGAAGCCAATTTGCCGTCGTCCATGTCGTTGTCAACGGATGTTTTTACTTGCTAAAATAATAATCAATGAAAGAAAAAACGTTCAGATTAGCGAGACTTACCTGTTGAGATTTCATTAATTCATAACCTTTGCCATATCCGGCTGCTGTCAATTGCGCGCCCAACAATCGTGCTAAATGCTCAATCTGCGCAGGTGTACCAGCCGCAGCAATAGGCGTATAGGTTGATTGAAATGATGCTGGCATCTTCTCGGGTAGATGAAGCATTGATACAAGTACGAGATCAACAACATTGCCAATGGATAATTTGCCAACAAGATCAGCAGCGGTGATATCAATCGCGGTTTGATGTTGAGGATGAGATGAAGATGAATGCATTGAAGTAGATGAGCCGCTCGGGCCATGAGCAACACCTGAAGATATACCCTTAGTAGATATACCGCTATTTGAATCGTCTTTATCGAACATATGTACATCATCCTGGAGACAAATAAATGAGATGGAAATATGAAAATCAATCGACATACAGTGCTTAGTTTTGATTTCTTCGCATTGATTTCATTATTGCTGAGCGTTAATTTACGTTTCGGTTCTGTTGGTCCTTTAGGAAGATGTTTGAGAACCTATGGGTGAATATGAAAACGAATTAGATTTGAAAATTGGCTCCGATGAAAAAGTTTACTTCTGCTTGTGTTGCACCAAGATCAGTCAATAATGTAGTGATTTGTGGTTGAAAGTCCAAGGAAGCCGGATGTTTAAGCAGGCTCAATAATTTCAACTTGATTATTTTACGCACACTACTAACTTGAGAATCCACCAAGGTCGGTGGTAGATTCACTGCAATAAAACCAAACTTTCCTTCAAGCCAAGATTCACCAGTCGAACTTACCTTGTAAGGCTTCAAATGTTTGTACAACTCGACTCATGTAATCTGGTCTTTGACGAGCAATATTTGCTATTGCACCCATGGCAGCGATTAGATTCACGCTAGATGGAACGAATACGGATAAATGACGAAAACAAAATGAGTCAATCATATACCTGGAGAGATGTTGTGATAGGGTGAATTCGAGTAGTTTCTCCATGACATCTTTGCCTTCTTGTTCCAGTTTATTTCGACATAGTATTCGATGATCTTCTTGTAATAAATTCAGTGAAAAATCTTGTTCGTTCGATGCAGGAATTATGGAATCCTATATGAGTAGACTATGATTCAACAGATAATTTACTTGATTTCTTCTCTCATACTTGCGAACGTCTGGATAAAACGAGTGCGAGCATTTCAATGAATTTGATTGCGACTGTACGAAGTCTAAAATGGTTCTATTAAAGTAGAACATCCTTTCATTTTAAACATACCCATCATTATCTGAATCGAGTTTGGCAATAATCGAATTTTTCACATTCGCCATACTTTTCCACATACTGCGTACATTTTCATCAGAAAGTCGAGATTTTGAAAGCCACTGAAAAAGTTCAGTTCAGAAAAGAAGCAAATCCAAATAAGTCCGATGTCTTACTTTCAATGTCAAACGATAAACTGTGATCATACTGACAACTAATTTTTTCTGTACAAGTATATTATCATCGTAGAGTAGAAGTTGAAGACTATCGATCACTTTGACGATAACTTCTGGATCATGTTGACTGAAAACTTCCGTTGAAGATCTTTGGACGAGATTTGAAATGTTACTTACCAGGCTTCTTCAATGAATGAGATGATTGTCTTTCGTACTTCTGGACTTTTATCTGATTGGAATCCAAGTACTTCCTAAACGAATGAAATATATTGTGACGATATGTTCGAAATTTACTCGTACTTCAAGAAAATTATCAAGTAAACTTGGATCTTTCCGTAGGATAAGTTCTTGTACATGACGAAGATGTTGAACGCGAACAGTATCTTTACCATAAAGTGATGCTTGATTAATCAACTCGACAATCTTTGAACATAAAAACCCGACATAATTTATCGATCTAGAAAGAAGCATGTTTGAGTTTACCGTCTCTTGGATATTCTCTGACATCCTTGTTTTTACAAAATCTAAAATAAACAAAACATCACATCTGTCGATACGAAGCTCGCTCAGTGATGACCGAACTGCCTTAGTTACCATGCGATCGGCTCTAGTCACACCTGATGAAAATATTCCATGGCATGCGGAACTAATGTCATTTTTACCTGTAACACTGAATGAAGTCCTACAGAACTTAGACGATCCTTTTCTGTTATGTCAAATATAGAACGTTTACACAATTGATATAACTAATTTCATTCAATTGAATCTAAGTTACATACATACCATTGTTTGAGATGTGTAATGTCCAATCAGATAAGATTCCTCTAATTTTCGTTGGTTTCACACGATTGTGCATCCGAAAACTTCCCTCTCATTGCCATCAGTGCATGAAATTGATGATAATTAATGAAAAACAATTCGTGTTACAGCAAACATGTGCTAGAGGGCACCACATGTTAAATTGGAAAATGAATGGTTTGGTGTAGTTTTGCACACATGTGCGTGTCTGTGGATGCATGAGTATGACTACTTGAGAAATTACTTTTTCTTTTTGCTATCAAAATCGCTGATTTGTCTTCATATCAATATTATTGACTTTCTTTTAGAATGGCCGAACTTATGAATCACAACAACAGCATTTCGCCATCCGTATCTTTTCACCAGAGAACTTCTGGGAAAAATATTCGATTAGATCAAACTGGATTCACAGCGACTCGTCACACATCATTTGATAATGGTAAGCTTTCTTCTTGAATTGCTCTTGCCAATCAACAGCATTGCTATTTAGGGGTCACATTCACTAGTAAACCGATAAAAATGAATGAACGTATTCATATGAAAATCATCGACATAGACGAAACTGGCCAATGGTTAGGATCGTTGGCTATCGGTAAGAAATGTCAACTGTTCGTTATTTGCAACTGAAACATCATTCTAGGTTTTACACAAATCGATCCGAGTTCAATCCATCGAGAAGATTTATGTAAATCGGCATTACCAAATCTTTGCCATAAGGATGGTATCTCTTATATGAAGCGTATCTTCGAAAAATTAACAAGAGAGATAGTCATTACTTTCTATTTTAATCAAGAGTAAATTATCAGGTCGATTCTTGAATCATCACGAAGTTCTTCTCTTTCTAGTGGAGGATTTTATATGCTAGATGGAAAGGAACAAGAATTGTGTAAAAATATTAACATATCTCGGCCATTGTGGGGTGTCATCGATATTTACGGAAATGTTAAAAGTAGTCAAACATACCTATAAGAAAACAAGATGACATTCTTCGTGTTTTTCAGGTATTTCGTTCACGACTGCGCCAAAAGTTACCGACGGAAGTAAAGCATTCTTTACAAAATATCATCATAAACCAGATCAATTACCTATCATTCACTTCACCCATTTAAAAGCAGCAAATCTTCAACCCATCGCCTTTCGCCATACTCATGGAGTTGAACTCGACCTCTTCTGTCACAATAAAGTTGCTTTTCGAAAAAGTAAATATTTGCTTTGCAAAATCGTTCGAGATGAATTCTTTATCGCGTTGAATAGATGTACATCGGTTAACACAACCTTATGTATTCATTGATTTACCAATGGCTACCGGTGATGAAATATACATACGAATATTGTCCATCGATCAGAACTATCGAACACCGTAGGCCACCTAGTTGATCGTATTTTCTCATAAAACTTCGTCTTTCTTTCTCGTTTAAGAGGAGTCCTCGGTTTTACCAATGCCGATCCAAGTGTATTTACTGAACATTTCGACAAGTTGCCTACCGGTGATCCCATAGCTCTATACGATCGTCCAGAATATTGGATCGTGCTTGAAGACGCATTCGATGAGAAACTAGCTGAACTTGATGAATATTGTTTCAAGTATGAAAAAGATGGCTCTATTCAAATGCAACGCAATAATGATCCGAAAACTCGTAGAACTATTGCACATGCTGATTCCTCGCAAAAGTTTTATTCATTCCTGTTTCTTAATGGTCGCATTTCAGCGTTTTCTCTAGTTGGTGTCTTAACAACAAATAGGGCACCTGTCAAGCCTAGACCAAAAGACGATACCGATGAAAATGACGGTCTTTGTCAATTATGCTATGACGAGAAAGCTAATTGTGTCTTTCTTCCATGTGGCCATTTATTTCTTTGCTCAAAATGTCGAGTTCGATACGAGAGTTCGTCAAATGAAAAACGTTGTCCAACGTGCCGCAAGCCATACCAGGATATTTGTCTAATCGCTGATGATTAACCGAGTGTTTTATTTTTATTTTTTGTATCAAAGAAATAAACTGTACGATATATAATTGTGCTATTTTCAAATAAATTCTAATAAACATGAACTATTTTCAGGTGATTTCAGCAAATTTATGTCTTCGAATGACTGGACGCTTCTCGTCTTACTTTCATCGTCCATCGAACAATGTCAATCGATTGAATTCCTGCCATTGACATCCACCAATGAATACACAGTTTACTGTTGTTGTGAAGAAACAATCTATCTCTGTGTCAACATTTTAGAACTCAAGGCGATCGTCAATCTCTGCTATTCATATCTTTTCTCGAAAACACATCAGGAAAGCTCGCAGTTGAATGTTCTTACGCGTGTTCTACTTTGTTGTATCACGGAATGTTTAACAAGTTGGAACATACGTCGACGTTTGGTCTTATCGAAAGCGATTGAAATTTCTAAGGAACTTCAGTTTGTTGAAGTTCTTCTTCGATTGAAACCGAAAAGTGAACAAGTCTTTCGGTATCGACGTTGGTTATTAAATCATGAAGATCAAGATAAAGTTCACTTAACAAATGAATTCAATCTTTGCAATCAAACGGCGGAGAAGCATTTTATTAATTATGCGTCATGGTTACATCGACGATGGCTGATGGAACATTTCAAGGTTGATATCGACGAAGAATTGGAGCGAAATTATCGTTGGTTGGAAAGAAATATATCGGATTCGAGTGGCTTCTCGTTTCGAGCATATCTAATCTCGAAAAAGGTGATTGATATGAATTTAATCAAACAAGAATTGAACGACAATGGGAATCTTTTGAAATTTTATGTCGATAGAGAATCGTTATGGATTTACAGACAAACATTGATCCTGTTAGCACTCAACCATTTCTCTCCCGATCAAAAGCGACTACTATTCACCGAAGAACTCGAATTGGAAAAACAATTTCCGGGAAATTTCTTTTCGAAAAGATATTTTCGTTTTTTAAATGTTCTTTCATCATCTGATGGCAAACAATATCGAAATTAACTTTCCTCTTCATGTGCGCATTCTATTTTTCACAGCACCATCCTCTAATTTATTCTATTTGTTATCTGATTTATACACACAAAAAAATAGAAGAAATCTATCTGACCAAATTACATCTGTGAAGCATTCTGATTCGTTGTTGCACCTGTGAGTAACTTTCGACTCTCGTTAAAATATTGATTAGGATGATTGATTCCCACACCATAATTTTTCACTTTATGTTGATATTCAAAATAGATCTGACAAGCTATCTGATAATGATGTTGTTTCGTTTTATCGATAATATCATTAACCGTCTCTTCGTTCATATCGTAAGTCGTTGTTAAACGTTGTTTAAGCGTCGGAATATCCCAATGTCGATAGGGACATCCGTGATGTTCATTTACACCGGGTGGAGGATCTTGAATGATCTTCATACAACTGTATGGTGTATAGGATGTATGTTTGCCTTCTTGACCATAGGCATGGCGAATGTTGTAAACATGTTCGCGTTCGAACTGGGCTGGGTTCATTTGACCATTTGTAACAAACTCATGACGAAAGAATTTCATACACTCATCTAAGGATAAGCCGATGCCTTTAAGGAAAAGTCGATACTGTAATCGACCTAAGTGTTTCAAATGGTGCTGCTGAATCATTTGATCGTGTAGGTAACGCATACACAAAGGAAATGAGCGTTTCGATAAACCATTTAACATTTCGAATGTGATTGTTTCGGTTTGTTCATTTTCATTGAATGCCACCATCGCTGTCTGGGTACCATGGATACGTTTCTTTCGTAACATTTTCAAGATTGATTCGATACGCGTATCCATTTGCTGAATGAATTCGTATTTTTTCGATGAACACGTCATTTGGTACGAAATATTCATCCGAAAATGTTGAAGGACAAACGAAATGATGTCATTATCCGAGACATAAGCATAGCCATGAGCAAGAAAGCATGAACGCTTGCGTATTAGGTCAGGTACATGTTGAAATCGAACGCGAAAGTAAGATGTGGTTTCGAACGATTTGGCGATGGTCGATGGATTGGCTAAACCTTTGATTTGAATCGATGCAATCAATGAATCTTTGTATTGTCGTTTTTCTTCATCGGAGACGAGTTCATAGAATTGTTTGATATTACTTGTTGAATCATTCAGATATGCTAATTGTTCAGCTTTAGTTAGAACTTGAAAACGATAACGAAATAATTCAAGTTCATGAGTGATAAACCAACGACGTTCTTCTTCGCTCGGACAAAAGGCTAAGCGAAGAATATAATGTGATATAATATCATTCTGCAGATCATTTGATGATGTACCAGTGAACGTTGGAAAAATAATGAACTGAAATCGGAAAGAAATCACTCAAATGAAGTTTTATCCTTCTTGACATACCTTTAAATGATGCAGTTTGTCTTTTAATTCTTTCCGTAAGAGTTTTTCGATTTCATCTTTCTTATACGTCGGTGCAGTTGACAGCGTCGTATTCAAACGTGCGAGAACTTGTTCGATCGTTTTCAGGATTTTCAAACGTTCAATTGCCAATGTTTGGAACAGTTCGAGCGAAATCGTCAGATCTTCCGGATAGGCATCGTAGTACGGTATATAAGGCCCACTCGTTGAATTAAGTGATAAAGATGAGAAATTCGTGGAATTTACATTCGAGTTTTTAATGGACGGTGATGCGGATGAGTGTAAAGAAAACCGTGTTGATCGATATTCCATTCGAGAAGACAAAATTATCTAGAAAAACGATTACTACGTGTACTATTTTATCTTCGAAACAACAAAAAAATGCTAACGAGTAGGAAAATAACATGTCTTGCAAATTTATGTTGACAACTATCCGATACCAAATAATCGTAATGATCATCATAATGATCTTCGTAATAATCCTCACTGGAATGATTCTTTGGCGACAGAACCGTTGAGTTGAAAGACGTAGAATTTCTTAAATGCAACGATGCACTTTCCAAGCCGTATGTTAACTGGATGGAAATCCATAAAACTAAAAGAATCGTGTACACTGATCGCATGACGAATGTTTGTCGGTGAGTTGTTCGTTTTCGACTCATTTGTTTACTCGGGAAATACATACGTATGATTGCTGAAGCATGACATAAACAAGGAAAACGTGTGTAAGCTATCGATGTAATTACGAACGGCGAATATGACAGTGATGTGTTCCACAAGAGAGAATCTGAATAGAATTGCTATTTATTTCGATTATTTTTTCCTTCTATACGACTATAGATAAAAAAAAATAAATAATTATTAGAAATGAACAAGAAACATGCTCTTGAGTATGAAAATCGTATTCGAATTGTGATCACTTCGAATAAGGACGGAAGATTTTGTCGATAAGTGTTATTCAGAAAAAAAAGAATGAATATTCGCATGTGGTTTTGTTCTTCTTTCATTGTCCTATTAGAAACTGAATAGGAGTGTTAACAAAGAAAATATTGTTAACCAGTGGTAGTGGTATTAGCTTGCTGTTGTAATGGAAGGACTTTAGTTACACGACCACTACCTTTCGTTTGATTACCGGATCGGAATATCAAACGCGATCCTTCATGTACGTATTCACAAAGATTACGGAAACGAAAAGTCACAGTTGCTTGTTCGTCAACGTGCAGTTCATCCTGAAACCAAATGTTGGTTTTAGTATTAGATCGAGGGAAGATTTTGCACATACTTTATCCATAGCAACGACCAGTACTGTTTGACGAATGTTTTCCATTTGAACTGTCGTCTCAAAACCTTTATGTATCGACGCATTCGAGTGATGTGCAGATAGATAAATGTCTGCAACGAATTCAAAACATGCTTCCGGATTGGATGTTGATGAAACCAAGACCATTCCCTAAACGTTTTCGTCTAGGTCAATGAAAACGAATTCTTCTTTACGCTTACCTTTCGTAATCGACTAGCTTCCACCTGAGCAAGAGAAATAGTAGCTGCTTGACCAGCACGTGCCATTCGCCTTGGAACGCGATACCGATGAATCGTCTTTACCTTAACAGGAAAAAATGTTCCATCAGACAATGGGCCAGCAAGAAGATTTTCGCCCTCTCGAATTATACCACTAAATAGAAATGTACTTTTCAAAATGATATCTCACTACATGTTCATACCTCCGTAGTATACCACCAACGATCACCGGGCCAGATGATGTATGATTTGCATAAATAGCATCGATCTAAAATGCGAATAGTTAAATAAAGAGAAAGTTCAATAGGAATCTTACCTGGTATTCCACTGGTAACTGCGAAAGTCTCTCTTGTTCTTGACTACTTAATCTTGGCGGTAGGATGTTCAGAAACTTTTTTAACAGGTCTATATTTTCGCCGGTTACACTTGACACAGCAAATATTGGACATATGCGCTTCTCTACGAACATATCTGCAGCCGGAAGGACATCTTCGTGCTGCTTAACAACATAAGAATCAAATTGAACCGAAGTATTGCCGTGTTTGAGTAAATATGTCAAACATCCGATTGTTTCTTGTATACTTGCTTTCGAACACAAATCAATTTTATTAATCACTACGAAAACAGGAACATCTAACGTGATCGCATATGAAAAATGTTCACGAGTGGTATCGACTAGAGATACAAGATAGAAGTACGAGTTTTTGCTGAGAAAATTCGTACATACCAACACTTGATGGCGCATCGACGCATAACATGGCAAAATCAGCTGCATGTGCTGAAAGACCGAATATCGTGGTTCTAACATATTTTGTATGGCCAGCGAGATCAGCGAAGGTTATAACTAAAAACGACAGATCAGTAAATGATTGGTCCAGAGAAAATCACGCTCGTACTTTTCGTCGATCGGTCACATATTTCTCGCGGTGTTCGATAAGTACCGTAATCGATGCTCTTGAAGCAATAGAAATAAGAAATTTCGAGGAGAAGAAGAACGGCGATAAGAATCTTACTTCGCCTGAATCATTAAATCCTAGAATTTCATGTGCTATCGAAGATGTTCGTCCGCTTTGAATTTCATGTACATGTCGAAATAGATTCAACCTCGCACGTCCATGTCCATTGTCTAATTCGCCATATGTACAAACTCCAATCAACGAACTTTTACCACTATCAACTGTTCCCAGAACTGCAACACGTAAATCAATGAAATGCTGATCATCAGGAACCTTCCGGACAAGAACTTCAACGATATGTCGATCATTTTCGACTTTGCGTTCGAATAAAATCGTTATCGATGCATGCAAACTATCTGCCATCTTCCTTAATGTTACTAGAGACGCTTGTAGTTCTTCATGACTAACACCACTTAACGTTCCACAATCTTCAACACCGATCTCGTACAATGCTTCACCATGTCCTTCTTTTAATCGCCAGTTCATTTGAGTTATTAAATGTTGAAGACGATCAGGATTTGGATCGATTAATTTTAATTTATATTCAATATTACCATCTTGTGGCTATCAAAAACCAAACATACAACAACTGGACAAGTTTTAGCAAATGCGTAGCTCACTTCTGGTGGTAAACCTGCGAGAACAAATGGTGAGCGTGGTACCTGTTCATTTTCATCATCATAATAATCGTTATTATCATTGTAATCATCATCGTTATCGTCAACTGGGCCGAATAAACTTGAGACATGTTTATCTACCTAGATAGAAACGAATATGAAACAAATTTTTTGTCGAACTTGTTTTGTCTTACATTATTATTATAATTACACTGAGATTTAGTTTTATTGGATATAGAATCCTGATTAGACATCTGAAAACAATATGCGTATGATTTGTACGATATTCAAGGAAAAGAATATGACTTAAGCGATGACTGCTGCCTTGCTATATATTGCATCATTTCCAATGGAAAGCTCTCTTGACGAATATCTCTCTTCTTTCCACACATTGCATAATATCGTTGCACGCAAACACGCGTGTGTTTGAGACGAAAAAGAGAAGAATAAATAGTGTAGAGATGTGCTGTTTTACATTTAGATTAATCTCCACAAATCTTTGTGGTGATTGAATGTGACACAAGGAAGGTGTGTCAGTGTTAGTACAAATAGATTTTCTATGAATTTGATATGTTGAGTTTATTTTCGAAGTCTTCAAAAGACAGTTGAATTATTCGATATTGACGATACGAAAAACAGTAATAGTGAAAGAAAAGAAGGACACAAACGATCAGTATGTGATTAGTCAATCTGAATTTCATTGATTCTTATTGTTATCGGAGGTGTCGCTAGGTTGAGGTCGAGTTATGAATAGGCGAACGGGTGAAAGTATAATGGATAATTTTCATTAAATCTAAGAAGCGAAGAACAGCAGTGACGTACGCGTATTAAATTTTCAGTTATATAAAACAGACGAGTTCATCACATGGATATAGTTAAGATTGTTGGTAGAAACGCACCCAGTCAATTTCCATTCGACCAGGGAAAATGTTATTATCAACACCTCTTTGCCCACCCCTAAATAGAATGAATTTTTTTAACGAAAACAAAAAAACTGATTTTCTGTTCTTACCAATTACCGCCAACAGCAATATTCATAATGACAAAAAATGGTTTATCAAATGGCCTGAAATTCAAATAAAAATCCTAAGGTAACTGTCAATCATTCAATCTTACCATTTCGTCCAATCGCCTTGTTTGTCCCAAGTAAAGATATGTTTAGCTAACGGATCGCCATCATCGCCAACAAACGTCTGGAGTTTATCTGGGTACCAGTCGAGGGTATAGATTTTGAAATTTGACGTAGCGTCATCAACAATTGCAGAATCCGTTTTATGAGTATGAATCATATGATTATGCGCTTTTGTATGTATAGAAGAATGAATGCGTGTTGGTTCATAGCCTACTTGTTCCATCAAATCGATTTCACCATTATCTGGCCAATATGTATTGCTATACGTTTGTCTTTCTGGCAACTATAAAAAAAAACAGTTTAGGCTTATTGTGTAAAAGATTTACTTACCATCCAAAGTGCAGGCCATAGGCCACGACCTGTGGGTAGTTTGGCACGGATTTGTAAACGGCCGTAAGTCCACTTCTGTTTGCTTTTCATACGAGCGGAGGTGTAGCTAGAACCATGCATGTGTTCCTAAACGTATGCGAATATACGTATTTGGAAGAACTATTCGTCTTGTCTTACATGACGTGCTTCAATGATGAGACGACCATTGTTGCTGTGTGGAAATAATTCGCAACGAGCATTTTCCCATCGGTTGTTTGTATAGTATTGTTTTTCGTTGTTACCTACATATGAGAGTTGTACTCAGAAACAGTGTTCTATGCAATGGAACTATCCTACGAGACTTACCGAAACCGTGTCCGCCTACATCAAAATCCCATTTTGTGGTATCAACATGACCGGTCCAGTCAAAGCTATCTTCCCAGATGAGCTTCCATCCTTTACTGTTAGGATCTAAAAGATCATTTTTCGTTCTCAGTAGTTAAAAAACGAACTTAAGGATTATTAATGTATTTACTTTTTCCGTTATTTGACACACGATTGTGATTTTGACCTAATACACCGCAGATCATACTTGAATCGGATGTTGAAAATGCATCGCTTTTAGAAGCCGACCCATGTTTCATCCAACAAGTACCGCCGTTCCATCTGCTCCAAGCGAAATGCGTGCATCTAGGTGTTTGCTCACATTTTGGACCACAATGTTCTGGTAAACTTCGTACATTCGAAAGATCATTTGCAAAGAAATCACAAGCTCTCGCCCAATTCTGTCCGTACCATTGAACTTTGCCTGCGATCACACGAGTCACTAAAACGCTGACACAGCAAACAAGGATCACACGAGAAAAAGGCAAGCAGTTGATCATAATAGAAGTTTGATATGGATTCGTTGAACAAATTCTAAAAAACGAATATGTTCACGTTCAAGGCAGTCATATTCAAATAAAACTCTGTTCCATCACAGTTTCTATAGTGTTTGAGTCATGACCATGGATCGATGAAATATTGTTACTTACTAATTATTCGATAAAACACTTCTATCTGTTCGTGTATTTATATAGTTTCTTTTGTATGATGGTGCTTTCAGATATACAAGTGGGATTTCCCACGGACACTATTTGTCATAAGAAAGAGAAATACGTGGGAAGATGGTAGTATCGATGGAATTTGCAAAATACTGTGTGACTTCATCGATGACGAGAACGAGAAAAATGATATCTGATCGAGATAACAGACGTCCAACCGCATTCGAAAAACAAGTAGCAACATTTGTATATGAGCGAAGAACAAAATAACACATTCAATACTTGACTGTAACATAGAAATGATTGAGAAGATATCAGAGAGCAGCTAAGTTGTGACAAAAAACAATCATTTACAATGCTATTCTTTTCTTTTGTCACCTCATGTTATCATTCACACGATCAGCAATATTTTAGCAATTCATAATCTAATTATACATCGTCAATTTTGTTTACTGTCTGAATAAAAATTCATTTACAAACAAAAATGTCATTGAGATACACATGAGACATGATGATGACGTGTTTTACAGAATTTCACAAAATATATTCCTACGTCTCATACAGAATGCAAAGGTGAAAGTAAGGTTAATCATATGTACTTTAAATAAATCATTCATAGGATCTGACCTGCTGTGCGAACAATATTTGATGAGTAATTCTGTTTAATTCAACATTAGTGAGTCAAAGGTGTTATTTTTCTTTTCCTCTGGCGCTGAAAAACGAAACTCATGTGTTGACGAGGAATATTTTTTTGTCCATTCTATCAAAATGATGATTTAATACAAAAGCTTCGAAAATTGTTTGTTTTTATCGTACTGCCTACGCGTTTATGTCGGAATAAAATTAAACGCAGCCGGGATTCTGGAAAAAACACACACACAAATTATAACTATGTTCGTGCAACTTCCGATGCCATAGTCACGAATCGCGCGAGTAAAAGAAAAAAGTATATATTCTTCGGTATAGCACCTATTAGTGCTATGCGTTATTGAAAATATGCCTCATTGACAGTTGTACATTACGAGTAGTTTTCTGCTTGGATACCGGTAAGTTTAAAGGTTTTCATATTGGAAATCGATACAGGAAAAGAAATCTTACAAAACTTATGTTATATTTGACTTTAAATAAAATGGAAATATATTTCAGATCTGAGTTTAGAACCAACTGTTATGCTGAATTTTACATCAACTAGAAGTATTCTTCAACTTCTAGCAATTTTATTGATTTGTTTAATCAGCCCGAGTTATCAAACTGTTTATTCTTGCAACGCATCCGCTGCATGTGGTTGTTCGAAAAATTCAGCCATCTTATCGCGAATTGTCGGTGGAGAGGCAGCTAATGCTTCAACATGGGGATGGGCAGTCTCGATATCCATCGATAATAACTATCTCTGTGGTGGATCAATCATATCTTCGTCATGGATTCTCACCGCAGCACATTGTGTTAACGGATATGCAGCATCAAAAGTTACCATCTATGCAGGTTCAACTCGCCGATGGGTTGGTAGTCAAACGAGAATAGTGTCACAAATTATTATTCATTCCAGTTATGACACAGACACTTATGAGAATGATATTGCCTTACTGAAACTGGGAACTGCACTAACAATGAGTGACACTGCTATCAGTACTATTTGTTTGCCATCGGTGAGCTCGGCGACGCTTGCTGCTGGCGAATGGCCTGCTGCCGGGACAACTGTGAGTACTCTTCCTTCTCGACAGTCAGTTTCAACTTTAGTTTGTCGAATAGGTAGTTGCTGTGGGATGGGGAACATTGAGTGAAGGTGGTGCACTACCATCGACACTACAACAAGTTACTCTGCAAACCATCAGCTACCAAGCGTCTAGCTGCAGTTCATCGATAACAGATTCGCGCACACAATTATGTGCTGGAGTGTCAGGTGGTGGGAAAGGTATGAAGATTTCGATGTATGTGTTGCATGTTGCATACGGCGATGTTTTGTTGTAGATACTTGTCAAGGAGACTCAGGTGGTCCACTGGTGATGTTTAGTTCGAGTAAACAATGGGTGTTGGTCGGTTTGACTAGTAACGGAATCGGATGTGCCCAAGCTAATTATGCAGGCATTTACACACGTGTAGCTGCGTTTATGAGCTGGATCAATACAAATACGAATGGCGCTATATCAACATTGTCTTCTTTGGCATCAACTACTGTATCTACATCAACTACTGGATCTCCAGCAACCAGTAGTTCTACTACAACTATTCGATCTGCGACAACTACTAGTTCGATAACAACTACCGGATCTCCAGCAACCAGCAGTTCTACTACAACCATTCGATCTGCGACAACTACTAGTCCGATAACAACTACTCGACCTACAACAATCACTAGCTCGTCAACAACGATTCGATCGACATCAACAACTACTCCATCTACAATAACCGCGGAAAGAATCTCTACCACTGTGCCGGGAATAACTAGTGGAGCAAGTTCAACAACTTATCGTCGTCGTTCAATTTTCTGGTTATTTTGATATCTATTGCCTGATTCATTATGTGTAAGAGCATCAATCAAACAAAGAATTGAGATTTTAGTATAAAAAGAAAAGTATTGCACACCTTCAAGTGAACTCGAGAACATTCATCAGAAGTTTTCTACATTTTCTCATTTGAATGTTTTGAAGAACTGTAAATTTCAGTCTCTACTTTTAATAAACTTAATTTATTTTCCGATGTAATCACAATCATTACAAACTATTCAGCGCACTTGATTTACTGAATCTATGGTGATAAATAGTTGCAAGAGACAGTCATGTTTACATATTTGTTTCCTTCTGCCAAATTTTCATGTATTATAGCATGAGAAAAAAGAGAGAAAATGTCATTCTCCTAGCGCCGAAAAAGTACGTTCTTTTCGTGGCATAAATTAAGCTTTTTAACTAGAAAGAAGTTCTATTGACTTGCCATTTCATGTTTCCCGTGCACCATGCTGATTGAATCAATACGTACTCAATTTAGTTGACAATTTATATATTAATCTGATCGTCAGCTCGACCACAATCTAAAGTATGTAACTTTTGGGATAGGTCAACGCACAAGTCACAAACTGACTGGATATAAAGTCGGGGGAATCTATGTTGGTAGTTCTGATTTCCAAACAGTATAAACAAGACAAATGTAGAAAAAGAAAATTCTTTTCTTTCCTTATAGCCATCAACTACTCGGGAGATTTTTTCGTTTTTCATTTGTGTGTACATTTTTTCATTACTTGAAGAGAAGGGAGAAAAAGAATCATATAGTTTTGCGTCGTAAAATTCTGTTATTTTGTTTTTGGCAACGCTCTTGAATTGTACCTTCCAGTTGTAATTTTCGCGAAGAAAACAAAAGAAGACGGAGTTCGATGGGCACAGAAAAGAAGTGCAACTGACATATATAACTGTGAAACTTTGAGCAGAGAAAGACATAGACGAACAGCATTGTACTATTTACATGACAAACTTCTGTACAATCATTGGCTTTATACTACCTTCTTCCAGACTTTTCACGGTATCAATTATTGATCACATCAATGAACATGTTAGCCAGTGAAATATTATACATACTAGTTGTTCTTTTACATATTACCGTTGGATCCAATGCTCAAACTGTTTATTCCTGCAACGCATCCGCTGCATGTGGTTGTTCGAAAAATTCAGCCATCTTATCGCGAATTGTCGGTGGAGAGGCAGCTAATGCTTCAACATGGGGATGGGCAGTCTCGATATCCATCGATAATAACTATCTCTGTGGTGGATCAATCATATCTTCCTCATGGATTCTCACCGCAGCACATTGCGTCAACGGATATACAGCATCAAAAGTTACCATCTATGCAGGTTCAACTCGCCGATGGGTTGGTAGTCAAACGAGAGTAGTGTCACAAATTATTATTCATTCCAGTTATGACACAGACACTTATGAGAATGATATTGCCTTACTGAAACTCGGAACTGCACTAACAATGAGTGACACTGCTATCAGTACTATCTGTTTGCCATCGGTGAGCTCAGCGACGCTTGCTGCTGGCGAATGGCCTGCTGCCGGGACAACTGTGAGTGCTCTTCTTTCTCGACAGTCAGTTTCAACTTTTGTTTGTCGAATAGGTAGTTGCTGTGGGATGGGGAACATTGAGTGAAGGTGGTGCACTACCATCGACACTACAACAAGTTACTCTACAAACCATCAGCTACATAGCGTCTAGTTGCAGTTCATCGATAACAGATTGGCACATACAATTATGTGCTGGAGTGTCAGGCGGTGGGAAAGGTATGAAGATTTCGATGTATGTGTTGCATGTTGCATACGGCGATGTTTTGTTGTAGATACTTGTCAAGGAGACTCAGGTGGTCCACTGGTGATGTTTAGTTCGAGTAAACAATGGGTGTTGGTCGGTTTGACTAGTAACGGAATCGGATGTGCCCAAGCTAATTATGCAGGCATTTACACACGTGTAGCTGCTTATGAAGATTGGTTAAATATAGCAATGAGTTCCAGCAATAGACTCACGCAGCGAAAGACTAAATCATTGCTCTTTTTCTTATCATTATTCTTATCTGTTCTATTTTGCTAAGACATATGTTCTTCCTAAGTGGATTATGTTTTCTATGAAGCTTCTAATAAAGAAAGAAGAAAGACATCTTTCTTGACATTCCACCATGTTTACATGCTTTTAGAACCTATGGTATTCCTCAGATTTTTTATCGTGAGAGAAATCAGCCAAAACGAACGACGATCTATTGAATACAATAGCTAGAATACAATTATTGATTCTGCTCTATTCAAGTGTCACTAGGGAGAATGCATACATTCTGATATGAATATGCAACTATGTATTAATGAAAACTGACAACATGTTATTTACAGTTAAGTTAACTTTTACACACTGCATATTATATGAAAATACATGTAGGAACATTCGAACTTGTTCATTGTTTATGTTTGAAGCTAAACAAGAAATTGTCCGCATTGGCCTTCGTGCTTGTAATTCGGATGTGCGTAATATTATTCGGAAATAGAAAATGAAGCAAACAAAGATTTAATGATTTCCGAAGATACATAAGGAGGTTATTTCTTTTTGTTTGAGTTAGTCAAAATAAGTACTTGTCAACAATACATACGTCACGGAATTACTTTGATTAAACATGCATTTCTCTTTCTTGAACTGCAACACACGGTACGGTATCGATAGCAAAACGAAAGCAACTCCATCGGTTACCCTTACTTTTAATCAACTGCGCACAAAACAAAAGTTAATCGAAAAAAGTCAGTTATGATATGTTTACACAGTTTTCCAATAAACATTTCTACTGTTTCATCAGGAATAAACCAATGACAAGACTTGCAAAACAAACAGAAACAACAAGAACTTGATTAGTTCGTCTGCCAATAACATCACGATAAACTTTATAGGAGAAGACAGACCCGATCAATGTATGTGTTCGTATATTTCACACGAGTTTTCATAATTAAAATAACTGACTGCTCATGTCAAGATGTTTATCGGACAGCAGGAGATGTCTAAATTCGATAGCAGCTAATGTAAGGCAGTCAGTTGGAAACTTGTCTAGCAACTACTTCCGCTGTGCTATTATCGATTTATCCGTAGAAAACAACAACACATACGGAATCAAAATATGTTATTTATCGTCTGCCAAAAGAACACATGATGAGCAGGTTCATTGCTCGTTTTGCTTAATAGCAGGATCTTCTTGTTAGGAAATTATAGAAATTGTATGCGACTCAGAAAGAACGAATAAGGAAAGAAGAAGAAAAAAGGGAAAACATGAGTTTAGGAAGAGTAAGAATAGTAGACGTGCACTTCAAAAAGGATACATCAGTGAGAAGTTCAAAATATAGATTATCGTGACAAGCTCATCGGTGCTCAGACGGGAGGAGAAAAAAAACGTTCATGTGACATCAAAATGTTAACAATGTGCTTTTCTACAACCGGTAAGTCAATATTTCAGATGTAAACTTTTCATAAATCGATCTACGAATCAAGAACTATTTCTCTCTTTGAGTATCCTCTCTTCTTGTGATTATTGCATTTCGACATTCTCAATGACTGTTTATAAACCGAATGAGGAGAGCGGTAACATAGTTGTCAATTATGAGAGTAGTATTCCTGCCAACTATGACAGCTTTTTTTTATATAGTCATCTATTAAGACGAAACGCAACTTCGCAAATAAGATTGTCTACATTGTCATAGTACGTCTATCTATGAGTTTTAATCTAGTTAATCTGAAATATTTTCCCATAGCGTACATATTTCAATGCGAGATAGTCTTGGAGAGCTTCCTTCTCTTTCGCTATTATTCGCTGCGACTCGGTTAGTAATGCCAGACTTAGTTTGATTAAATCATATGAGAATGATAACTAAGTTAAAACGGTTAGCATTAATTTATAGTTGTTTTGTTCATTGAATCGATAATGTGTATGAACTGATTCGTAAGCTCAATGCGACTCGTTCTCGATTGATCAGCAAGAACAATCCGGTAGGAGAGACGATTGTGTTTGGGTGTCTCATCGATCGGAAACAGAGAAAAACAAATCGAAGCGTAGTATTAAGTCGAGATAGAAAGAAAAATATGACAGATGTTATTACTACATCTACAATGACGTTCGTCTCAAACACATCGAGATATATTTATCTATTTGCCTTTGATTTCTTCGGAATCTCCTTATTTGGTTTGCGTCGATTTTTCCTCATCATTCTAGCATTAATAAACAAGAGAATAAATATAATGACATATCTAATGAATGACATATGTTCATTTCTGCATAGTCTTCTAACCGACACATGATCGCACACTAATATGACAGACTGAAAAACAACGATTGGGCTGAAGATTCCGATTACATATTGACGAATGTAATTAATTTATCTCAATTTTCACCAGTAAGGAAATATGCCGAAGTGGCTTGGTAAGTTGATTTGCCCATATATATATATATATATGTATATCAAGTGGACAGTATCTTGAATAGCGAGTCTATCGCGGGATTGTTATTTCATCCAGCATAGAATTCTTGCCTGTAGAAATAGTTTTCAATGTAATATTACATTCAACAAAAGCGGCTCTTTATCACCATTGATTGATTCCTTTTTTTTGTCGAAAGGAACAGGAGTTGTTCGAGATCAAAAGCAAGAATGAAGCGTAGATTAGCTATTAGAAACATAGTCAAATGAAAAACAAGCATAGCGAGGGAGAGAGAGAGAAAACATAGAGTAGATATCTGCTTTCGATAAGAATCGATTGCTTAAAATGCTATGACTTTCATGAGAAATCGCATCATTCTATGCAGTTATTTCTCCTATCAGTTTATTGCACGAATAGCGAATGACATATGTTTAAATTACAGAAAAAACACGATCAACAAATAAAGTCATCGGGTAAGTACACATGGAGAACGCGAGAGCATCAAATTCTTTTTTCAGAAAGTTATTCTTTTTTTCTCGCCTTCTGATTTGATAACAACCTCCGATACTCTTCATTTTAATTACGTTTTGCCTCTGGAATTCAATGGCTTAAAAAATGACTGTGAGAAATATAAATTAAGGAAATCAGAAAGCAAGTCTCTCCGCTCCGTATGGTTACTAATGGTTGTAGCAAGACGCAATAGGATGCTAGGCGGAGAAGAAGAAGAAGAAGAAGAAGAAGAGGAGTAGGAAACAAAAACAACGAAGAACGAACGGGAGGGAAAAAATACTCTGAGCACGCTCTACGTCTGGCTTAGTAGCTGACTGGTAAAAAAGGAAAGGGTGAAAACGCACGTGTCATTGTCCTTTCACATTCTGTGCGCGCCCGCGCGTTTGCATGTTTGCTGTTGTGCTGCAAAAAAACGAGAAGACGTAAAAGAAGGAAACAGAAGACGACCTTGTCAGTAGAGTGAGACAACGATTTTCATTCGAGTCTTGTTCTTCTAGCACAATTACATCTTGTTTAATCATTAAAAATAATGACATACAACCTTTTTTTACGCATTTTATTAACGCTTTTCAGTACGAAGCGCTGAGATGCTAACATTCCTCCCTTTATGTTTTTTTCCTAATCTTTTTTATGCGAGTCAATATTGACTTTACTGCGTGCTGTTTTTTTTCTGTTTCTGATACTTTCGAATGGAATTGTGTCTTGATCATTTGATTTGATTTGTTCTGTTTTTTTAAAGAGAAAATGAGTGGCTCATCGGCGAGCAACTCAACTATACCGATCAACGGTGCGTTAACCCTTCGCATTGTTGACGCTCAAACAAGTGTCGAAAATGGACGTAAATTCACCAAATACAAAGTTTCAGTAAATTATAATGGACGAGAGTGGGAAATCTGGAGACGCTACAAAGAATTTAATGCCTTGAATGAGAAGGTAGATAAATGGGTTCTGATGGAAATCAGGTATTTCCATGTTTATATTTAGCTTCGTCGTGTTCGCTCTGATCTGAAGTTACCCGGTCGTCGGCTTTTAGGAGATTCTTTTGAACCTGACTTTATATCCAAACGACAGCGTGGCTTGGATGATTATGTTCAACAAATCGCTTCAAATTCTCAACTTGTGAATACGTGAGTGTTTGAGAGTAAAAAACAATATACCTGTTTTCACATCTTTTGCGCACTTCTTGCGAGCCATATCGTTATGATTATAGTAATTAAATCTGATTGACGTGTGACACATCGTCAATATTAATGAGATCATTCTCTTTTTTTTTTATTTAGGCCTGATTTTATCGAGTTTTTTGGACTTAGTGTGACCTCATCGAATGGGTCAGGAGCATCAGCTACTGGTGCATCATCAGCATGTAATGGAAATAATGATACAACAGCTCGAGCCGATAATGACGAAACAGAAGACCCGTCGAGCTCGGTAACTAGAAAGACAAAACGTTTTCCTCCTTTTCTTACTTCTTTTCCTTACTTTCATCTAGTCCGATACTAATCGTGTCAATTTGGGAAAAACCGAAAAGACTTCGTAAGAGACAAGATGAAAGTAGCTCGCTTGTCTACTTGATTTTGTCCTCTAGAGTGAAGCCTGGTGATTTTGAATTTCGTACATGTATTGGCAAAGGTTCATTTGGCAAAGTGTACTTAGCCCGACATAAAGCGGAAGATATGATCTATGCAGTCAAAGTAGTCAGTAAAGCACTAATCAAACGAAAACGTGAAGAACGTCACATTATGGCTGAACGTGATGTTTTGGTTAAGAACACCCGTCATCCCTTTCTCGTCTCACTTCAGTATTCATTTCAAACGCCTGACAAACTTTATTTCGTCATGGATTTCGTCAATGGCGGTGAAGTATGTTATTCTTTCGTCAGGCATCGTTTTAATCGAATTTCGATTTAGTTATTCTTCCACTTGCAACAAGAACGAGCATTCAGTGAACAACGCGCGAGATTCTACGCAGCAGAAATTACATCAGCTATTGGTTACCTTCATAAACTAGACATAATCTATCGAGATCTGAAACCCGAAAATATTCTTCTAGATCGAGAAGTATGTCATTCACAGAAAGAAATGATGAGTAGCTCTCTAATAACTTCATTTCTTGTTCTTCAAGGGGCACATCCGTTTGACAGATTTTGGTCTATGTAAAGTAATGCTATCAACAGAAGGACGAGAAGGGCGAACAGCAACGTTCTGTGGAACGCCAGAATACCTCGCACCTGAAGTCCTCCGCCGTGAACCGTATACAAAAGCTGTGGATTGGTGGTGTTTGGGTTCAGTCGTATATGAAATGTTATGTGCACGAGTATGTCAGATGTCGTCTATTTCTACAGGGCATGAGCAACCCTCGAAAACTTCTTTTTAGCCACCATTCTATTCTCGAGATGTTAATGAAATGTATGATAATATATTAAATCGTTCTCTTCGTTTCATTGGTAATATATCTGAACGTGCTAAAAGCTTGATCGAACAGGTCGGTTTGAGATAATCGAATTGGAAAAACGCAATTCGTGATTGATATTTTCTTAATTTAGTTGCTACGAAAGAGCCCGAGTGAGCGTTTAGGCAGTGGATCGGAAGACGTGACTGAAATCAAACGTCAACCGTTTTTCGATCAAATTGACTGGGAGAAATTAGAAGCGAAAAAGATTCCACCGCCGTGGAAACCATCTGTTACTAGTCCAACTGATTTAAATCAAATTCCGAGAGAATTTATTGATTCCGGTGTCTCGCCCAGTGTTCATGAAGCATATGTTGGTAGTGTAACACAAAATGGCTCATCATTTCCTGGTTTTACATATGTTCATGACGCAGATTTAAATAGTTAGATGATTTTTCTCATTTTCGAAACGAAACCAGTGATGATTATTAAAGTATACACATATTTATGTCTGTTACTCATACACACACTTACTCTCTCTCTCTCTACCTTTGTCTCTCTTTTTTGCCATCACATTCCGTTGTTTCGTTTTTCTTTTGGGCGTGTATTTCTTATCCATGCATCTACCTTTTTCTCTTGTATAGTTATTGATTGTACGAGTGCTCTCTTCTTCTTCTTCTTTTTCATAAATAAAGAAAAATTCTACTGATAGACATCGAACTCAGTATGTGATGACATATCAATGGAATCGTCAAACATTCTATTCAGTCGCAGTTTTAAAAGGGAACTTAAGACAGGAATACTGGCATCAACTTTGTGTAGGCGTTCAATTAACTGCGATGTGCACTTTTGTCGCTAAAGCTAATCTCGCATGCACATGATGTTATAAATAATGACAGAAATTGCGCAGTCAAAAAATGCTAACACAGGAATCAAATGAACACGTCTTGTTGTAACAATGACATCAGATACTTGACATTGATGATTAATTGTCGTGCTCAGGAATATTAGACTCATCAGACAGCTAATGCAAGATACCATTCTTGGTACGGATGGTCTAATAGGAAGGTCAAATAAGTTAACACAGGCCAATTTTCTTCTATTATCACTCAGCAAAAGTGCGCATCGAAATGATTTACTAAGTTTATATGGCAACAAATTGACGCTGGAGGGAAACAGTTGTGATTATAGAAAGATTTTCTATTTGAATATTTCATCGAATTGAGAAGTATCGAATTATGTCCCAATTCTTTTCACGATATGATCATTATTGATTTAAGCGTTTCATAGCTTGTTTTTGCATGACTTTTATTTATTGAATTATATAGTATGTTCAATGGCTCATAAGATTTTCATCGGGAAGTTGACTATATTTTTCTTTCATAATGCTTCGCTTGTGAAGGAAACAAGTTTACTCGTACAGGAATATATCTTCATTGAAAGAGAAATAATATATCTAAATCATTCGAATCACCGCGGTACTACGTTCGGCTACACTTCCGACTAGTAATTCTATGAAATTACTTTTCCTTTTACAGAAAACACGAAGCAACCATCCTCAACTTACAACTCTTAACAAATTTCAATCATTTCTATTCAAAATAGTCTCATCACAACGGAGAAGTTCTCTCTCGATACATACTCCGAAAGATGAGTCGTGATTACGGCATCATTTAGCATTCTGTCTCAAAGGTAAAAATGCAAAAGTCGATATGTCATAGAATCAGTCATTTTCATATTGGATCCTGCGATCAGAAGAGCCATTACTCTGACGCTGCTCATCATGATAATGTTCAGCTTTTGCTATTGTTGAAATTCTGCTATACCTGGATGATTAGTGTATCATTGAAGAGAGAAGATTTTTCTGAATTTATTCAACTAACTTTTGTTTCCTTTCACAGAACAAATATACAATCAACACACTAAATCGCACCGCCCTTTTCCATTTCCTTTCCTTGAATGATTCGTTTACCATAACCACCACGACCTGGATCATAATCTTGCCGGTATTCATCGCGCACCTGAATAACAGAAAAGTAGACAAAACAGTCGTAGTAGAAGAAATCAACGAACCTGTCCACCACTTTTTCCTCGCCCATATTGACGTCCATCGATGAATCCAGCATCCCAATCGGTTCGGATAATTCGATCATCAAGACGAGTCTGATTGATATATCTCATCGCTTGTTCAGCATCACTTCTTGTATAATATTCCACAAAACAAAATCCACCTGAAATGTACGAATCAAGAAAATCAGAAGTGAAAGATCTTGAAAATATTACATGGCGTTTTGGATTGTTTATCTAAACCCATAATAATACGTTTCACATCACCAGCACGCGAAAACAGCTCATGAATTTGTTCTTCAGTTGTATAAAATGAGAGATTCCCGACGTAGAGCGTCGTGCTTTGTAACAATTTCTTGTCTTGTTCGACTTCGCCGCCCTACGTTCCCAAAGATGTCTCAAATGAAAAATTTTCTTTCATCATCTCTTACCGAAAATCGCCGATCACGATACGAGCTGAGGGAAACAGACTTTTGGAAAAGAAACGGAACACTTAAGTCCGACATGATTTATCTGAAAAAAAAAGGAAAGAAACAATCGATGATTTCAGGCGATTTTCATGAAAATTATGCACCAATTCCCATCATCATTATAGGAATTTACAATCTTGGCTTCTGGTATGTGTGTCAATGTACGTTCAAGCTCATGTCTAACAAAAACATGATAATATCTCAATAGTTTTTCGTTCGGTTTAGTCCATGGAACAAGACAATCCGATCGTTGAAATTCCGTTCGCGGCGTATGAATGCTCAATTCCTTGGTTTCTTCATGTGTAGAATGAATCGGACATGGCGGCTTAGCATTCTTGGTAATATAGGTACTTTTCTTATTTTCAACTTCTTGTTCTTTCGCCCAAACAGTAACCAACGCTTGTCCGCCTGGCTTTAATAGCCGTACAATTTCCCTCAAAGCCGCTAATCTTCGGTTCTAAAATGGAAAGGGAAGCGCTTGATAAAAGATGCTTGTGTTCGTTTACTTCAGTACTGATGTGATGAAGAACAGCAATACAAATAGCACCATCGAACATATTCGTTGGAACAGGAATCTTCATGCAATCAGACAGAAAAACTTGATAGCCGCGATCGCGACATATTTTCAAAAGGCCTTCGCTTCGATCACAACCAATCTACTACAGAACAAGAAAACCCATATGAAAAACACCAAGGTTTGGTCTTACCATCATAAAATCATCTCGAATATTCATGTATTTACCATTACCACACCCCACGTCAAGTATCAGTGAGCCACTTGGAAATAAACGAAGAAAATCTACAACGCGCGGCCATGGCTTGTGACGTGTGTCACTGAAATTATGCGCGATATCATTATAAACTTTATGCACGTGTTCTTCTTCGAGATGACTTGCATCGAAGTCGGATATAGGTAGAGTAGGTAAGGTCGATCGTGACGAAGCGTTCGACATCTAACGAAAAACATCAATAAAGTGAACATTCAAATAACTAGAATAAATAATGATAACGTAGATATTTATTTATTTTGATTAAAATAAAACATTTAACAGAATCAGTTAATTTTTGGCATGCACAACACCGACACGATCGCGTGGAATAATTCGAAGTTCCGCGCCATGTTTGAGAAAAACATTTCCTATATGAAAAAAGGAAAAAAACTGATTCGATCAAGGAAGATTTTCTCTTACCAGCTGTTTGCGACGGATTGATACCTATTCCATCATTGGTAATAATCGCACTTGTCGCTGCTTGGACTTTGAACTAAACAATGGAGACTATGACATCATTTCTCAATCGAATCGATTCGTACTTCTTCAGCAGCGAATTTCAAAACGGCGGTAAATGGTGTATTTTCCGGTACACTCAGTCTAGAACAAAATCAAATCGATTAGATGTTAAATCAAATCGAATGATATTTACACTTTGAATGGTAACTTCGGGTCCGATGTTAAAGTGATCTTGAATGTCACTTTTGCATTGCTAGTAGACGCTGTCGGTGCCGAATCATTAGATGCCATCTGAAAAAGAAGATTTCACGTGAGAAAATAAAAAGGAACATTTCAAATATCTCGTTCATAGATTTCTAAATGGCACACAGACGCTTTGTCATTCTCTTCTCGGTTCTCATCGGTACAATCGAAAAATTGCTGATATTCAATAGGAATTGGTTTGATACGTTTGAAATTCGACACATCAAACGACGACCAAACAGCCGTACAATGAAAATCACCTTTCACCCGAGTTACGTATACACGCTTAACAAGGTTCGTTTTCATTGCTTCTTCATAAACCGAAACGCCACCTGCGATAAAAATATTCTCAATAGTCGTGTCTTCTTGAGCACGTTTAATGGCATCGTTGATTGAATCGACGCGCGTAGTATTGGGATAGTTTGTATTTGGTAATGCTGAATTGCGGCTTATAACAATATTCAATCGATTCGGTAAAGGTTTGGGAAATGTTTCATAGGTTTTACGACCGATGATAACCGCATTCTGTTTATTCGGATCGATTTTCTTCGATGTAACATGACGGAAGAACTTCATATCGTTTTTAAAATGCCACGGAATGGTGTTATCACGACCGATACCATTGCAATCATCCAAAGCCACAACAATCGATAATGGCTTTTTGTTCATCTGGAGTCTTGAAAAAAAACGACGAAAATGAGACATCAAGAAAAGAGAAGAACATTTTTTTTTCGATTATTCTGTCATTGTGAAAGAAAAACTAATCCGCATTGTTCATTCATTCGTTTTACTCATACACACACACGACTGCCTATTGGTTGTTTCACATTACCAATCGAATAATTATGATGATATATTCAACAGATGACAATATTTGATATTCGAAAAAATGAAACTTTTCAATAGATTTTGTATTTTTCTTATTTTAATAAAAGTCATCGGAGGATTAAGATAAGTCATCCGATGATTAACATAAGCCAATGAACATGGTAATGACGTCATCTGATTGAACACGTCGGTTGCTCACGTCACGTGGAAATTCCTTTTCGTTCTGTTTTGATTTACTACCCATGGCCGAAACGACAAATTCGAACGAAATCCAGCAAAATCCTATTCATGATACGCCTGTGTTAGCAACAGCGGATCAATCAACAATAGATTCGAGTATTACACATGAACCACCGAGAAAAAAATCGAAAATTCCTTCGCCTGAGAAACCTCGTTTGCTCGAAGAACGAATCGGTTCAATTCTTTCATGTTGTATATGTTTGGATCTTTCAACATTAGCGATGTTTCAAGTAACGAGAGAAGAAGAAACTGATTCCGAATACTTATATCATATTCGTTCTTCTTCAGTGTGTCAACGGTCATCTTATGTGTGCATCGTGTTTTAATCATTTGTTAGCTGATTGCAAACTGAAAGATGAACAGACAACATGGTAATCGAATTTGAACCCTCATCTAGCGATCGGAATACTCACTTTTGTATTTCAGTCCGAATTGCCGTTGCGAAATATCGAAATCGAATTGTACAAGAAATTTAGCTGTAGAGAAAACCATCTCCGAACTACCAATTGAATGTGATTATTGTCATCAGATATTTTTACGTTCCGAAATCAAACTTCATCAAACAGAAAAGTGTTCTGATCGGTATGAACGAATGTAAAGGGATATTGGAAATCCTCAACAAATCTTTTGTTTAGTTTAACAGTTTGTGATTATGCGTTGTTGGGGTGTCCATGGACTGGCTCTTTTCATAACTTGTCAACTCATCTAGCCGGATGCCAATATCCATCGAAAACAGGGTTAGAATTGATTTGTACCATTCAAGAGTATAAGAGAGCGTGTGATGAAGAGAAGAAATGTCTCGAAACAGTGGTCGACCTACTTTCACTTAATCAAATCGGTGTCAGTGGTAAGTTCAATTGTGCGACAATGAGAATCTCCTTTCATTTTTCTAGACTTAATTTTAAAACCATTACGAACTGATGACTTCGTCGCCAAACTATACTTCGAAACTTCACGTTTCACAGCCTTACAGTACCAATGGCAACTTCGTGCTCGTATTAACGATAACAATCCACACCCGCATACGACAGTAACACGTTCACTCAGTTATCAATTAGTTCTGAAATCCAAAGTGAGTCAAACGATTGACTTGAAGTTTTTTATTCTCAAAGGTCCACACGGTGACCCATCAAATGTGTCCATTCAACCGATTATACACCACTTTGAATTCAGTCCGAACAACACCGAAACCGAATACTTAAAACTGCCAATCAGTTCACACGAATGCAATCGAATTCTCTCCTCGCCATCGATTAGTTTTCGTTTGCTGATGGTACAATTAGATAAACCGTAGAATGAACGAGTTCATTTGCCATGCTTTTATTGTTCAGATATATCTTGTGTGTATTTTATCCTATGCTGAAATCTCCATGTAATCGCGTATATCGACATACGTTTGTTTTTCTTTTTGCTCTTCGATATATATGTTCTATCACTATTATTTTAGAAATCTCTATGAAAATAAATTAATCACGGAAATGGAATTTTCAAAGGTTGATTGCCATGCGAAAAAAGACCGATTGATTATGTGCATAGTGATTTTTTGTTTTAATGAAAAGATTAACGCGAGTGGAAAAGCGGCATTCTAAAAGATGATCATTCATCTCCTCGATGAGGATCGACATATTGCGTAGTCTAGATTTGGTTATCTTCTAATAAACCGTATGGATAGAAAGAATGATTTTTCCCGAAGAAAAAATATATTCATGCGTTCAGTACCCCTGAGTAATAAAATATGCGATAGAATACTCTTTCTGATTGTTCCTATCGATAAGGGTTGTAAACTAGAGTATCGTCAACTGAATTATAATGCTGAAATTCAACATGGGCGCTTTGTAAGAGTCACTCTCTTCGAAACAGATTGTCATAAAATTGAAAAAGGGCATTCATCTATTAGTAATTGGTGACTTGTTCGAGAGGTAAAATCGGCAAAAAAAAACTACGAACTGTTCTATATCTACCAATCGTAAAAAGAAAAGAAAAACGGAAATCTGATTCTGATATGAATCATCTTCACTCCCGAGTTTTTTTTTCTTCTTTACTTCTTTCTGTCCTATGCAATCAAATGCTATTAGAAGTAAAGAATAACAATAACAAGACACTCATGAGAATAGCTTTATATTGTCATTCTTTTCCATTTCTGGCATCACTCATCATTGTCGATCTGTTGAAGATCCGTATCGATCTCCTTTTCCTTCTTTCCTTCTTCATTTATCGGGGTTTAAGAAAAGACAGGAGAAAAAGAAAAGTTGATTGAACTGAGAATAGAGACATCCACTCTCGTGTGACATCTAATTGGATTTGTCAAGATCAAACAACAACCTACTATTATATTATTGACATAGATAATTGACGACAATTTATTTCATCTCAAGTTCAATATTAATCATAAAAATTGACAAAAAAAAAACTCTTCTTTTATGGTATGTACACTAAGATGAAACAGAAAGCGAAACAGTCGACGAATGTTTTCTTTTCATTGTACGTTGTTGTCATCCATCTTTTCTTTTCAAAGGTTCACGTCAAAAAAATATGACTTCTGACATCGATTTTGTTCGGAAGAAGTTAGTCGTAGTCGGCAATGGTAACGTTGGCAAGACATCATTACTTTATGCATTTAAAGACAACCGATTCTGTCATGATTATGTACCAACATTATTCGAAGGGAACACGCATGTCATTGAAGTTGATAACAAACGTATCGAATTGTTACTAATCGATACGGCTGGCCAAGAAGAATATGCACGGTAAGAAGAACTTTTCATTTACTTTGCAATCGATTGTCATGTGTCTTAGACTCCGTGTTCTCGGCTATCCAAATACTCAAGTTGTATTGATTTGTTTTGCTTTTGATTTACCAGATAGTTTAACATGTGTGTTAGATAAATGGGCACCTGAAATCAAACATTATTGTCACAATGTGCCGATACTTTTAATAGCTAACAAACGTGACCTACGTGACGATCCTGACGTGCACGAACGCATACGGAGTCAAAATCAAAAGCTGATTACAACGGAAGATGCGCTTCTATGTGCGAAGCGAATCGGTGCGAAGAATTATCTCGAATGTTCAGCGAAAACACGCGAAGGTGTACGAGAAGTATTTGAATACGCCGCCAAAATTGCCCTAGATAAAAAATCGCATCAAAAATGCTTTTGTCATTGTGTTTTACTCTGATACGATCATATTCATGTTTCTCTTTTCTATCAGTGAACAAAAGCTCAATTCCGTCCACGATTGTTTTTCTTTTTGTGTACATTTCTTTTGAATAGAAATGAATGATAATTCGAAGTCATGATGCATTCAAAAGATATTGATGATTTATTTTCTCCAACCTTGTTTGTTTACTGAGCTAAACGAAACACGTGCGTAGTATTTACTGAAACTTTCGTAATGTGGGTGTACAAATGTTAAGAACACGTGCATAAACATTTGTCGACGTACGAGTAATGTTTTTCTTGTACAGTTTGACGATTTCATTTGCCGATGTCATACAAAACAACATTTTACAATTTACCGCCGAAAATTCACCCCGAATGAGTCGATTAGGCAGTTATGAAATGTCTCGATTGTCGGTATCAATATGTATGGTTAATAGTATCGCATAAGGGATTGGAGATGACAAGTTAGAAATGAATTAGATCAATTAGTCAAGACAGTAATTTGCCCTTTCGATGGCTAGACAGCTGAAATGAAGATGAATGATAGTTTTACTCTTGAATAGATTCACTACAATGCAGAAGAAAAATTGAAGCACAATAAAGTTCAGGGTTTTACACGAACGAATATGGGTCCATTTCGATTTGCGAAGAAAAATATTTGTTTCAAATGACAACATCATTTGATAGCTGTTGCCATCTAGAGGGATTTATCATGGACCTCTTTCTACTTGTTGAAATATACAACAATGACAACAGTATAGTAATCATAAATGCCGAGCAAATAGATGTGTAATTTTTAGTGAATCTTACGCAATTACAGAGTTTAGGCAATGTCAATACCTGGGCAAGCCAATAAAGCTCTGCGAGTTTCTACTATATAAATGTACTGTATCCTCCTGGTAAATTATTCTTCGTTTCAGTTTTCGACAAATTATGCCGCAAGATCTGTCGCTAAATGATGTCGTAATGCCTAAATGCTACACTCGAGCGTTGTGGATATTCAATTATAAAATTGATGATCTAGAAAAGGCATTTATCGAGTTTCTCAAACAATTCTGTCCCAGTGCATTTGGTCGAATTGTATACGATGCAGCTAAACCAAACTACGGTCAATTGATCGAATCAACATCGGAATCAAATAATGTTTTTAGTCGAGCTGATCAACCTGATCAATCCGTTTCCCATTATATTCATTGTAGTTTTCAAGAAATGGACTTTTTTCCATATGGAGCTCTGCCAACCGACACTTCGCCGTTGATTTTTCTCCATCAAATCAATCTTTGCGATGGAACACTACTAGCATTTGGTATACATCATCATTTCACAGATGGATATGGATTTTTCACTTTGATTGATCGATTCTCCAAATGGTTTGTGCAGAAAGACGATTGTCAAATACCGAAATTCAACTTCAATCGAGCTTTGCTACAACCAGGATCAGACATTCGTTATGATCATATTGAATACACCATGATACCACCGACATTTTCCTTTACATCCATACCAGCCATGGATGTTTTGGTGAAAAAATATACCAAACAAGATTTGTTCACCAAGCTGAACATTACAACAGCAAATTTATCGTTGAACGACGTTGTCGTTGCCTGGTTAACCCGAGCGATTAGTCGAATACGCCAAATACCATCGACCGAAACCGTCAATGTCGGCATGGCCAGTGATGGTCGTAGAGAATTAGGACTTGATATCGATTATTTTGGTAATTGTAATTTCTTTGTTTGCTTTCAATTCCCAATGCATGATCTTCTGACAAAATCAGTGAATGAATTAGCTGAACGAATTAATTCTGAGAAGAAACAACGGATGACGAAAGATTATATGACATCAGCATTGGCCATGGTGAAAAATGCCACGAATGCTATCCATCCAGGTTTTCAATCATTCCTCAGCAAGGATTTAGCGTTCACGAATTGGTCTCGTTTTCCATTGTACCAAGTGGATTTCGGCCACGGGCCACCACAACGTGTGACACTACCAAGTGCTCGATGGGACGGCTTAGTCTTAATTTTTCCCACCCAAACAAACGAAGTCGAATTGTACATCGGCTTGAAACAGGATCATGCTGATCAACTTCGACAAGAGTTACAATAAAGCATTGTGATTGTTTCTAAGCGAATGAAGTTTTCTATTCTTTGCGCTCATGTTTTTCTTCAATAAATACCAACAATTGATTGTCTTTGCTGTAATTTCTCTTCTTTCGTGTTTGCTCAGTTTGTATCTGATTGTGTCTACCCGAAGTCATCACTCACATTCTCAATTCTTTGCACTCATCTACCGTCGCCGTTACACACCAAGTCAATCTCGTGTGTATTGGCCACACAAACTTCAAACGAATACATCTGACGCTCGACGGTTCTTTACTTTTCTGCGCAAATTTCTGTTCGACACATGTAATGAAAGTCAGTATTTATTGCTGGCTGATATTTTATATCGATGAATTAGTTTGATCAGTTTCCTAATTTCTCTATTCTTTCCTTGCAATTCATAATCTAGGAGTCATTAACTCATCGAGATGATTAAACTGTTCTCATGCATCGTCATATTCGCTCTCTATTTACTTTGGAAATCTATGCACGAACCGTTCATCTATCTGACTGTTCAACAATGTCGGAACGGTCACCCATTACCGTCGGAAAACTATCTCCAATCATTCTTCACTGAACAATATAAAAAAATCCTTAAGTTCATCTTTCATTCTTCCTCGGCGACGAAAAAACCAACTGATTGCCATTCCTACAAAATCAATCTTCAACTTCCGATTCTATTCTTTATATTAACATGTTCAAGCGCCCTCTACTGTATCAAACTTCTATGGAGATATCTCGTTTGGGTCTATACGCAACAATGTTATTTTATCCTACGAAAACAAATTCAACCATTCGTGCACATCCGATCCGTTGCGTTCGTCAGTCGCAAGTAGTATCATCGTACTACCTTCAATGCACGTAACATGTGTAATGGGTTATTCAGCAATCTAAATAAACAATAACAACACGCCCTTGTCGCCAGTATCCAGATTTTTCGTGAATCTTATTACGCTGCAAACGTTATCCCACACTAAGCACGTCTTCTGCTTCATAATATGAATCAGAGTGTTCGTTTTTTGTTATAAGAGCAAAGGAAAAGGTGACACATTTATTACAATCTAGAAACCTGCGACAAAAAATGATTTTCTTTCTTTACATTGATAAATACACTTTCGACATTAGTTAACAATCTTATCGCATTTTATATGATGGTTTAAATAAGCATACACACATTCAAGAGAAATCAGAGAGAAAGAGAAAAGAAGACAAAAATGTACAATTTGAAACTTCTTGTATTTGCCAGCATCGATATATAATTTGCTTGTAATATCGCATTATCCAAATGTATTTTCACCTCCATATGCAATATACAGAAAACTATCTTCATCCTTGTGTTCCGCATAGATTTGACCCATTGTTGAACTAGAATTAGAAGATGGTTAGAAGAAATTTCCGGAGGAGTTTCAGTTGACAAACCTTGATTGCGGAATTGTTTTGTTAACGAAGAGAAAGATAGCCTTTTCCGGTGCCAATTGGATACGTTTTCGAATGATCCACATAAACTGGGCAATGGTTATATCGTTGGGTACCAAAAATTTTCGTTTATCAATATCTGGAATTTGCGATTTTGGTACACGTTCGACAACAACTGGAATACGTTCGGGATATTTAACCCGAATTTTCTCAGCTTCTTGCTTACGTTGCTCTACATAAGATAGATATAGTCAGAATCCATGAAACATGTGAAATGGTATCTTACCGGCTGGGGTTTCTTCCTTGAATCGAAATTTCATCGTGTAAAATGGTTTGTGAAATAAATATGAATAAACAGTGTGAAAAACTAGAAGTCAAGATATCTAGAAGCACAATTTCGATGAATCACAGTAATGATCAGATGACGATGTAAATGTAAGGACTGAATAAATATTTTCCCTATAGAGCGGTCTGCTGACTGCAGTATGGTGAAATATTTTCGTTTTCGCCTACCTATATATACACTTACCTTCTGACGATCGAACGAACAATGACGTTGTCGTCGGATTAGAAAGGAAAAAAGCTGAGATGGAGAGGGTAATATATATGATGCGAAAGAAAGGACATGTGCATGGAAGAAAAAGAATGTAATGTCACATGACTAGTGATCGACCGTTAATATGGACTGACGTTTGCGGAAACAAAGAAGAAGAGAACGAATGAGAAATACAGCTGATAATGACCTCTGCTGTGCTCGAGCGAGTCTTTAAATGAGTCAGAGAAAGCAGCTTGATAAGGTTAGAATTGCAGAAGAAAATGGTAGAGAAACGTGTATTGCGCAGATTTTTAAAGCCATGATTACGAAAAGCATTTTTCATTAACCCTCACAAAATAGACGTCTATAGATGTCGTTGTATGTCGTGACAGTGTTAGCAATGGGGATGTAGATCAAGTATTCAATTAGGTTGGTACAGAGCATCTTTGCCAAATGTGTATTCTCGATCGTTGATTACCGGTGAATCTCCATGAGAGGATTTGGTCGGATGAACAAAACTTGTTTCTTCGTCTTGAAAATCTTCGTTGAAATACAGTTGGATAGTCTGAAAAGGATAGAAACAGATGGTTTGACTTCTTCTGTCAAATACTAACGACATAACTCCGTTGTCTGAAATCATCTTCACGAACGTACGTTCCATCTCATTCTAGACATCTAGGATTAGAGTGTAACTTTGCGCTTTCTCTATGACTTAACATATGATTGTGCAATGACAACGAGTTTGCACGAGAACGGGATGATTTGTTTGTTTATTAATCTACTGTTAACAAAAACAAGAGAAGCAAAGGATGTGTTTCGTTCATAGACGCTTTTTGTACAATGGATCTGTAATCTTCTTATTCCAAACGGTTATTGGTTTAGTATAGTCAACAATGTCCGTGACGAAGTAGCCATATTTATCACAATGACAAACATGCTGTTCATTCACTTGATCGTCATTTGAAATAACTCGACGTAAAATATCACTCTCGCGTTTGAGTGCAGCCATCATTTCATAAAGTTTCGTTGTTCCAGAAATAAAATTTATGAATACGTAACTAAGTCGAAAGACATTTAAAATGACAAGTGCTTATTTGGGTTCGCTACTTACTGGCCTTCGCGATAAGTTTGCATATCATTACCAAACAAACGGATGGGTAGTCGACGTAAGCCAAGATTTTCGAATGATTTTATGATACCATTATGATCCAGGATACAAGTCGCTGCTGCTTTTATTCCCGTCATCAATTCAGGCTAGAGAGCAAAGATGGAATGAGTAATTTGATAGGGATGAGCGACAGTAAATCATTACTTTAGGTAAATTTTTGAAAATACATAACAATTGATAATTCGGCATGATGAAATGTAGAAATCGAATAAAGATTCGTTTGTTAGTTGATTGATCGAGAACTTTGAGCAAAGCACGGATCGAGAAAGAAAGTAAATCATGGACGCAAATTTAACTGGTTAGTATAATACCGTGCAACTACGTAATTCGTAGCGGCCTCTGTACTGTGTTCTGTCGCTTCAAGAAATAGACCGTTTATTTATACTTTGATAAATTTTAGATAAGATGTCCAAGATCTATGTTTTAGCATGTAAAGAAAGGAAATACTATGTGGGTAAAAGTTCAAATGTGGAACGTCGGTTTGAAGAACACATACAAGGAGATTTTGGTAGTGAATGGACAAGACAATATGAACCGTTGCGTATTGTGCAAGTGAAAGACATGACAACGAATTATGACGAAGCGAACACAACGTTAGATTACATGAAAAAGTATGGCATCGATAATGTTAGAGGTGCACAATGGTCAAATATGATATTGACAAATGAACAACGGGATACAATACAAACAATGATGAATCCGAATGCATGTTTTAGATGTGGTCTTGTTGGACATTTTGCAAATGAATGTTACAGAAATGTTTATAAACCTTCATGCAAACGCTGTGGTCGAGATACACATTCAACTCGTGGTTGTTACGCAAGTTTCGATATCGATGGCAATCAATTAGAATGTGCCCGGTGTGGCCGAGATTCGCATGTGACAAGCAATTGCTTTGCTAAGACTGATATAGAAGGCCAATTATTATAATCATAATCTTTTTCAATAATGCACTCATATTTCAACTAAGAAAAGGCTGCTGATGTCTGCATTTTATGAAATATATTTACTGCTTGTTTCCTTTTGTCACTCAAGGACAAATAATTACTTTGTGATAATTGATTATTCACTTCGTTGTACCGAACAAAGTTTTTCTTGTCTGCTGACGTTTTTCCTTTCAACTAAAGCTTTTAATTCAAAAGAAATTACCAAGAGACATTAGTGCATTTCGCCGTGCTGCAGAAATAAAGGGGATGCAGGGTATTTTCCACCTTCTCCAATACCTTTTAATTTTGTAACAAGAGACTGCTGCTGAAAAGACGAAACAACTCAGTCAATCTTTTAATCTGCAGCATTTTCTGTTGCTTCTTTAGGACCACAATCTTCTTTCCGCCTTCATTTGTTCCTGTACCTGTCATATTTTTTTTTAAATAAAAAGCTCAAACAATATAATGCGTAGGCTGTCCTATTGTCTTGTCAATAGACAGATCATAAAGTAGTCTATGTTGCGCTAATACAAATCATGGCTGCTAAAAATAGACAAATGTCTAAAAGTGCCTTCGATCTCAATGAGTTTGATTTACAACAAATGTTCTTGCAAATCTCCAGTGATTTGAACAAAGCAATGTCTATTAGCACCAGGCCAATGATTATTTGCATATTTAATTTAGTATGCACTAATAGTACTGGAGCCTGTGATGTTCTTTGGTTTATTTATTTATTTTTTGGTATAACAATCAAGTAATTGAATACAGGTTATTGTTGGACATACAAACTACAATGGAGAGTTTTACTCTTGATTTCTTTGATTAGATTCATTAAGATTCGTTGTTGACGTTCCATTCGACGAGACTTGAGTATGAAGTTCATCATCGTCGTATGGAATATGTAAATGATGCGATGACAAGGCTTGCTTCATAGGTTTCAGATTCCATTTGATTCGTTTTTGTTTCGGTTTGATATTTAGTTGCTTTAAATTGATTGCTACATCTCCTTTAGTTGTATACGAATTGCAATGTCCGTTCATCGGATGCGATGTATTGCTATTTTCGATGGGAGCTCGCTGCGCTTTGATTTGCTTGGAAAATGTTTGATAATTTGGATTCAATTCATTCTCAGGATTTCCTTGATTGATAAGGCCATGCGTTTGTTGGTGTTCACGCTGTTCATCAGGCAGAGTGAAAAACCGTCGTAAGCCGCTAAATACGGGATTACCTTGAATAAATCGTTGATTCAGAAAATAATTACAGCGCGCGATGGCAAATGCTTCTTTCAGAAACACAATGGAGGTCAATGAATAAAGAAAGAAATTTAGTGTATAGTTCAAATTGCGTATCGTTAATGCTAAATAGCGTATTCCAATATTAATAATATTAAATTTGAGATTTAATTCTACGCCACTAATAGCCGTTGAAAAAAGCCAATACCACAAGATTTGATACGGCATTGTGAATGTTATAAAAGAAAATGAGACTGCAATTAACATAACACTTATGTGGACACGTCGCGGACCGCTTGAACGTATTCGATTGCGTAGTTTATATACTGTTATTATACTTAAGGTTAGAATGAATATCGATGGTAAGACATAGATAAAGAAGATCTGTATGGAACCAATGATTTGATATGTTCGGGAGAAGAACAGGAGACACTCGTCAACTTTCGATGCGACAATGGCGATCCCAAGTGGAGCTATGAGTGCAACGAAAAATAGACTGAAAACAATAATCCATGCTTGCCGACGATTGAAACTTGTTCGAATGAGAAATGGCTTCGTCACCGAAAGATAACGTTCTACCGCAATCATCAATGTCAACCAAGAGTTCATCGACGAACCGACTAAGTCAATATAAACATGGAAGGCACATAAAAAACGTGAACCAGTCACGACGAAACCAATGAGTACTTTGTGATTGAGCCATTGCATAGTAACCGGACCAGCGAGAATGAGAATATTTGCTAATGACAACATCGCCATGAAGACCGACACTGGATAACGGCACATTCGTTTCCGAAGAAAGATTATCATAGACAATGCATGTGTTGGAATACCTGGAAGAGAAACATGATGTTTACAACATAAGAAATATCTTACAGTGACAAACATACCAATAAGTATAAGTACTGGATTAGCATAGAGAAAAACTTCATCAGCTATGTAATAGAATCTCGTATAACCTTTGTAATTTTCCCAATCATCAGCAAGACTCCCGTTAGATTCGTCCTGTGCATAACCACTCGTTGTGTTCATTTTGCTAATCTGAAAATGCGAACAAGCAAATATATATCTATATATATATATAGAACCACAAGGTGTATTATTTTACAGGCCGAGGAAATGACTACTGGAAGATACGATAAATAATTAATGTAAAAAAAGAAGGCATGTAAAAGAATAAATATTCTAATTAAATGCTCTTCTCTTTTCCACTTCAAATACCGAACTATTAATATACAAACGAAGAAAAACGTAGATGACACCTTCATAGCAGCAGTGGCAAAGTTCTACAATAGCAGAATTCTAGAATTTTGCTAAAATGTATAATTATTAGTTTCTTATTTAACAAGTATAAGAAAAACAAAATTCTTCAGAAAACTACTTCTTTACATCAGAATTGTGCATCTACGCGTGTCGACTGTAGTATGAATATAAAAGATCTAAGCAGAATTGTTTTTCACAGCAGAATTCATCCAGAATTTTGGATTCTCTACAGAATTATGTGTCTACACATGTCGATTGTAACACGAATATAAAAAATCTAAGCAGAATTATGTTTTTCACAGCAGAATTCATCCAGAATTCTGGATTCTCTACAGAATTATGTATCAACACATGTCGATTGTAGTATGAATATAAAAGATCTAAGCAGAATTATGTTTTTCACAGCAGAATTCATCCAGAATTCTGGATTCTCTACAGAATTATGCAACTACACGTGTCGATTGTAACACGAATATCAAAAATCTAAGCAGAATTATGTTTTTCACAGCAGAATTCATTCAGAATTCTGGATTCTCTACAGAATTATGTATCAACACATGTCGATTGTAGTATGAATATAAAAGATCTAAGCAGAATTATGTTTTTCACAGCAGAATTCATCCAGAATTCTGGATTCTCTACAGAATTATGCAACTACACGTGTCGATTGTAACACGAATATCAAAAATCTAATACAGAATTATGTGTCTACACATGTCGACTGTAACACGAATATAAAAAATCTAAGCAGAATTATGTTTTTCACAGCAGAATTCATCCAGAATTCTGGAATCTCTACAGAATTATGTAATTAGCGGCACCTTTAAATTTCATTTCGTCTTTTGTAAAATTTATTTGGAAATATAGTGTAAACAGTTTAAATATGCCAGAAATGCCAAATGCATTGATTTCTTGTATTATGATGAAAGAGGCAATTTAGAAAATGTTGATGATTTTCTGATTCGTGTAGTAGTACAATCTGATAGGACTATGTTTAAGAGAATCGAAAGATCATATAGTATTCCGTGAGATCAATTGAAAGTGAATAAGACGTTGGAATTTTTGCAATGAATTACATCTGTCGCAACATTGACAATGCAAGTAAAGTGAAGATTTTGCCAAGCGTTATGTTTTCACCGCCTTTGGCAAAATATGTGAATGAAGTTGCGGATGTGCATTCTGTGCATCCTGATTCTTTAGCGATTGTTTTGATTAATTGTGTGGCTGCAACATTGGAATTCTCATACGTGTTAAGATCAAACTGTTCAGCTAATCAAATACCAACCAATATCTACAATATGGTTGTTGCTAGGTCTTGTAAGTATGGATAATTACGTGCTTAAATATCACTTGTAAAACATTTTTTAAGCGTATGGGAAATCAGATTTAACGAGATTGCTTCGTGATATGCTCAAGTCTGTAGCTGATAACCGATCAACCAAATTTTGCTCTGCTGCTCAAATTTCCGCTGGTGAACTAATCAATCCAACTTTGGACGAAATGTCCAGAGCAGGGCTGATCTCCGCTCTTGATGACTGCACTCGAATGCTAGTGTGTGATGAAGCCGATATGACTTTTTCAGATGTTGGGTTATTTTTGACCAATAGCACCTATCGAACATCCCCTGAAATGAACTGCCGCGGTGAATTGGATTTCTGAATGTTATCTAGTAAAACTTTTCCGTTCTATAGGTCTTGTAACATCGTTATTTGATCGTGTATCTCATCCATATGTTAGACAATTGGCAAATCGGACTATCTTGGTAAAACGTTCGAAGTTGAACATCTTGGTAAGTTCACCTTTAGATGAATAGGCGTAGCGTAATATTCTACAAAGATACGCTGTTCTTCGCTTTCAATGTTCTAATAACACTTATTTCTTTGTCAGGGATGTTCAACGGGTGATATCATTTCCAGTATGGTCATCCGAATGAAGTCGGGCGCTACTTTCGACCCATCGATTGGCCGGTTTTTATTTTGGGCTCTGGATGGTCCAGTAATTCCAGATAAACTGAAACGACGGAATATCGACAATTCCGTTTTTCCAACTCTCAATCAATTCGTAGTAGTCTTATCATTTATCGAAAATACAATCTTCGAATTCGATCTCGATGCAGTCGAGGCAATTGTAGAGTGGGGAAATTCATACAAAACACAAAGTTTGATATTGACCGAAAATTATTGACACTGGTATTTGTCTCTTAGGTTATGACGAACGAAATAATAATGAATGTTTGTCTGCACGTATGGGAAAATCTGTTCAACATGCCTATCGATTTGCGGCGTTTCTACAAACTCTCGAGATTGGATTTAGCATTTGTGAACTCTTCATACAATCTCATCAATATTTTCCCGCCAACGGTATTATTGGAACTGATTTCGTTGCGAAAGTTGCCTCACTATATCATTCAAAATATTCAAATCAATTTGCGCAAAATAGTGCTAGCCCTTTCCTGATTTCGAAAGAGGTGGTCCTGCGGGCAATTGATACGATAACGGGCAACATGCATCAATTTATGTTGTTATTTGATAGTACAAATGCACCACGTATATCAGCAGTTGGTCGTCAAGTGATTGTTGTTTCGCCCGAACAACAGCATGCATCCTCGAATATACAAGACTCATCACTGAATAAGAAGCAACTGAAAAGTAAATAATTTTTATTGATTTTGGTCAATCGAATAATATATATTTCAATCCATTTCGTAGAAAAACAACGAAATGATTTTAACTTTAACAGGGTTGCTGTTGCGATGATTTTATATCCCAGTGTTTGTTTTACTATCAAACAACTTCATCAGGAATCATCATTGCACAATTCTGGTGGAATTCGTCTGAAAGATGTAGCCAAGACATTAACTGATTCGGATGTTTTGATTGTTTGTTCTCACGGGATACGAAACGCTTCGAAAACAACACCTGTTTTCATTAAGCAATTGCCACCTGAGGATGAAGTTGATGAAGACACTGTTCTTCAATCGGCTCTATCGGAATACACAAAAGACGGACAACCCGTTTCTTTGGCCTCATACAAAAATTCTTGCAACTTGTTTTCGCTATTAACTGATGGTGTTGTGCATAATGACATTTATCGAATACTTTCTCAACCTGAATATAGCACTTGTGCTTTCTACGAATCACTTCGTTTTCGAAATTCAACAACAGATCAAACACCGTCTTCGACTAATGATGGTCAAAGTAAAAATGCTTGCTTGTCAGCTATTTTCTCTCGTTACACACTATTGTTGTTTCAGGTGCTGCTGATTCTGTTTATGAGATCGTTTCAGTTATGGACGATCCAGATCAGAGAAGTGTTGCTCCCGATATCTTGTCTCCACTTATGCACGAAACGGATGCGTTCTTGTCAATGATTCCAGTGAATGAACAACAAGACCCATTCGAAAATATCAATCTTGATCAAATAGCTTTGAATATTGAAATTTCCGACATTATTTCAGCTGAAGAACAGAGTAGTGATCTCAATTTGCATTTTGCTCCTGATTCGATAGAAACTAGCGCGGCAAGTATTATTGCTGTTCCTAATAACGACAAAAATGATGAACTGAAATACACTACAAATGGCGATGATCGACAACGTATTCATTCGAGTGCAGAGACCATTACCAGCCACGAACAAAACCGCAATGCAAATGAGATTTTGTCTTCGAATAAACGAACACTCGACAAACTAAACGATTCTTTTTGTAGTCCACCGTCTTGTCGAACTCGATTGAAATTGAGAAAAAAGAATAAAGTCTGTCAGCGAAAAAGTATGCATCGAACCACAATGACAAACAATACTCACTTCTGCATATGATTTTAGATGTCACAACCACTACTGTTAATCGCACTCAAACCAATCATCGGAAGCGAATAATTAACAAATCCTATGATCACATTGAACAATGATCGACATGAAAATCAAGCTGACATTGCTGTTTGCTTTTTCATATTTCTTAGTAAAAACTACGTGAAAAAGTGTGTCAAACTTATTAAGCGCTAAACTTCACTTTTGTGTCTGATATTGTCTACATTGATCATGCTGTTCTTGCTCAAATTAATACAGATTGATACAAAATAGCTTCGTTTTCTTTTTTTGTTCAAACTATTAAACATGCATTTCTTCTCTAGAAAAGAAAACATGGACTTAACTGATTCTTCCATAGAAGTATGTGATAATAACTGACATTTGTTTCTTTCACGCTCGTCTTCAACGGTTTCAGCAACTTGTGAAGGGAAATACAGCTGGCCTACCAGTAAACTTACAAATCTTAGTGCGTGTCTTTTATCGGTCTGCACGTCAAATATTCCTCTTTATTTAGCATATTCGGCAGCTAAATGTTGATGTTGATGGAACATTGATCGCTCGCTTGAAACTTTCCGACGGAAAGCATTATTATGGAGGTTGCAAAAACATATGAACACTAGTAGAAATTGTTCATTAATTTAGGTTTTGTGGTTGATATCCCTTCATTAACTAAATCCCATGCGGATGTATACGCGGTCATTCGGATCAATCACCTGATGGCTTTGAAACATTCGCAGGAAAAGTTATTTAAATCCTTTTTGTTTCATTTGAATCACTAAACGTTTATTTGCAGATTTGTTCTACAAATTCTTCAAATGGACTTGATTTCTCAAACTGAGAAATGCCTTGGCTCTCCTGAACCATGGTACAAAGGGACTGTTGATGTGTCAACATATATCTGTCAGGATAACACTCGCAATGCAGGAGAATCCCCCGTTTTATTGGAACCAAATAGAATGCCTGCTATTATTCCAATTGCTCAACTTTCAACGTTGATTTCGACACGGTATTGCTGTTTAAGAAACAATCTTCTATTGCTAATTCGTTTTTGTTTCAAGAGTCGTCGAGGGGGTAATTATTCGTAAAAGCGACGTTTGTACGTTTGGAGGTGGATCGGGAAAGTTTTTCAATTTTGACATCGCAGATTTGCACTCTGAAATACGATGTAAAGCGTTTAATGAAATTCTTGATATGTTCTTCGGATTGATAAAAGTCGGCCAGGTAAATACTTTAGTTTTTTAAAATTTGATTAAAAGCTGGCTCTAAAAGGCATACCATTTCGAAAACTTTGTCCTGATTCGTAGCAATAAACTATATAATCATTTATCCCACGAATTTGAAATAAATTTGACGAAAAATACTATTTTGTACGAAATTTCTGACCATATATTTCCAACTATACCTGTTCCTTTCAATATGGTAAACATTTCGGACATTGCAATTTCCATGGTTGGCAAATGTGTCGGTTAGTGCCAAGTATTTATTTTTGAGAAACGTCGAGGGTCTTCTTTCAAATCTATTTAGATGTATTTGCAACGGTGACATACATTAATAATGTGGATTTGATTTTTGTTGCGAAAAGAAACACTCACTGCTATACAAGAAACGTCAGTGTTGCTGATGATACAGGCACGATCGATATAATTCTTTGGAATGACTTTGTATGTTGATTAACAAATTGATTGGTTTCCGCAGATGGTTGGTCTTAATATTTTAGGCGACGAAATTTTCAACAGTGGTGAATACAAAAGTTCGGTTTAAAAATTTACTAGTCCAACTATTCAAAGGTAGCATAAATAAATGCATTATCTCTTGTTGTATTTTCAATCTAGGCAAACTTCAACTTACAACAATCATGACAACGGTCATAAATTCAGAAGACGAAGCACAACAAGTTTAGTTTCTAATTTACGATGATATCCAAACTGTATTGCATACTTAGACAATGCTTCTTCATTGTTGATAACTTTTGGTTTTGATTTTGTTTCAACTTACCTTTCTGTTTCAGATTTTCAATGGGTAATACTCACAGTGATTCCTTGAATCATAGTTTCAAGCGTCTTCGTATGTCCGAAACACAACAGCTATTGCAAATGTCCCCTGTCTCGATTAGT